AGTTGACTAATTTCAGACCTTCTCTCCCACCCCGAAGATGACCACTCTTCGGGTGCTCCTGCACATAGCTGCTCAGCGCGACTACGAGCTTCACTCTCTTGACTTCAGCATTGCTTTCTTGTAGGGTAGCCTTCACGAGGAGATCTGGCTGCGCCGCCCACCTGGCTTCACTGGGACTTTTCCTCCTGGTACCCAGTGGAGCCTCCGGCGGCCAGTTTACGGTCTCCGCCAGGCACCGCGTGAGTGGCACGACACACTGAGGACTACGCTTGCGGCTCTTGGGTTTGTTCCCTCTACTGCCGACCCGTCGCTGTTTCTGCGCACCGACACCTCTTTGCCGCCGTTCTACATCCTCGTGTACGTCGACGACTTGGTCTTTGCCACTGCTGACACTGCTGGACTCGCCCACGTGAAGTCCGAGCTGCAGAAGAGATACACGTGCACAGACCTGGGTGAAGTGCGCAGCTACCTTGGCTTGCAGATCACCCAGGACATAGCACGCCGCACCATTACCCTGACTCAGTCACACATGGTGCAGCAGGTCCTTCAGCGCTTCCGCTTCACGTACTCCTCGCCTCATGCCACTCCTCTGCCTACTCGCCACTCGCTCTCAGCTCTGCCTTCGGATGAGTCCGTAGAGTCGAATGGCCCATACCCAGAGCTTGTTGGCTGCCTCATGTACCTGATGACCTGCACACGACCTGACCTTGCATACCCTCTTAGCATTCTTGCACGCTATGTTGCTCCTGGGAGACACAGACCGGAGCACATGGCTGCAGCGAAGAGGGTGTTGCGCTACTTGTGCAGTACGTCGGGCATGGGGCTAGTGCTTGCAGGGCAGAGTCCAGTGGTCCTCACTGGGCACGCAGACACTTCTTGGGCTGACGACCAGGCTACACAGCGGTCGTCACAGGGTTACACCTTCAGCCTTGGTTCCGGCTCTGTTTCGTGGCGGGCTACTCGCTCGTCTTCCGTTCTCGGCTCCAGTTGTGAGGCTGAGATCTACGCAGGAGCCATGGCTGCTCAGGAACTTCGCTGGCTCACCTACCTGCTGACTGACCTCGGAGAGCCGCCTCGTTCTCCTCCAGTGCTATACGTAGACAACAAGGCCATGCTGGCCTTGTGTCGGGAGCAGCGCCTGGAGCACAGAACGAAGCACATTGCTCTCCGCTACTTTCTTGCTCGTGAGCTGCAGCAGCGTGGTCAGTTGCGACTTGCGTACGTGGCCTCTGAGGCCAACACTGCTGATATCTTCACCAAGGCACTTGCGCCTTGTGATCATCAGCGCTTCTGTACTCATCTTGGTCTTGTGCCTGTCTTGCCTCACTTGCTCACTTCTTGACCTTGCTTGTACTGTCACATATATATACTCCTGCTCTTGCTTGTTTAGCCTTTTATGTATATATATATATATATATATATATGCTCCTGCATGTGAACTGGCCTTTTAGCCTTGAACTTGTTCTCGGAATGTGTGGTGACTTTGTGATCCACCCTGAGCTTTGCTTTGCTTTGCTTGACTGGTCTTGTGACCCCTTGTTCTCCCCCTCTTTGCCTATGGGGGTGTGTCAAATTATAATGTTGTGTAGGTTGTAGTGGGGTAGCCCATATGGGGTACACATTTCTAGGGTTGCATATTTGTACCACTTTCATTCCTTAGTGCAGTTATTCCCGTTTCAACTTTCTCAGGTTCATGCAACCGCCGGCCAGAATCGCGCACGGTGGTGCGTTCTTACTGTACCAGTCACTTCTTGACTTGTTTGGTCACGTGTCTGTGCCTCATGTGAGAAGGTGATTTTCACCTATTGGGCCACTTGCAGCGGAAGATTCGCCAGCATGGCGACACCGAGATAGTGGGAGGGGGGAAATCTTGGCAGATTTGAAGTGAAAGTACACGCGAAATTTCACCTAGGGAACAATTCTTGCGATATCCTCCCATAAGGAATCGAACTCGGTAACAGCTATAATAGGAATCTATAAGAAAAGGGGGGTGTTATAGAAAATCACCCCAAAAGGGGGGGTATAGTACAAACGGGGTCGGATATAACACCCACCCCGTATTAGCTACCCGGGGGTGTACAATTACGGGGGGGTGTTTTATCCGGGAGAATACGGTACTCTGAGGGGTACATTCCCTTATTAACTGTATTGCATAGCTACAGTAACCGTGACTATTGCTATCCTCGTCAGTTACCATGTTGCAGTGAATTAAATGTCGCGCAGTTACTAGATTGTCAAGGGTCACGACCGTTGATTTCCTAAGACGGTTGACCTTCGGGTGACCCTCGACATTCCGCATGCTCTATATGAGCTGTTGCCGTACTGGTACAGTGGAACAGCTTCGGGAATGCTTTATATAACCTTTCGGTTATTCCAACAAAAGGACCAGACTAGCGCAGCCACGTGACCAGGCGGAAGAAAAATGCTCAAAACGAGCGCTTCCACCCCAAAACGCGGAAGGATCCGCACATGTACAGGAAGTGCAACGGGCGCTCTCCATTTGCGAGCACCGATGACCGATGATGCTTGCAACCTTGTCATGCCCTTGCTGGCTTGGTAATAGGCCTAGGAAGGCGTAGCCGCGTGATCCGACAGAAGAGAAACGCTCGGAACGTACGCTTCCACCCCCAAAACGCGGAACGATCCGCACATGTGCAGGAAGTGCAGCGGGCGCTCTTCATTCGCGAGCGCCGATGACCGATGATGCTCGCAACCCTCCCACGCCTTTGCTGGCTTGGTAATAGGCCCACATTAGCGAAGCCACGTGACCCGGCAGAAGAAAAACGCTCGGAACGTACGCTTCCACCCCCAAAACGCGGAACGATACGCACATGTGCAGAAAGTGCAGCGGGGGCGCTCTTCATTCGCGGGCGCCGATGACCGATGATGCTCGCAACCCTCCCATGCCCTTGCTGGCTTGGTAAAAGGCCTTGACAAGCGCAGCCATGTGACCCGACGGAAGATAAACGCTCGAAACGTACGCTAATACCACCAAAACGCGGAAGGATACGCACATGTGCAGGAAGTGCAGCGGGTGTTCTTGATTCGCGAGCGCCGATAACCGATGATGCTCGCAAACCATCCGACGCCCTTGCTGTCTTGGTAATAGGACAAGACGTGCGCAGCCACGTGACCCGGTGGAAGAAAAACGCTCGGAACGAGCGTTTTCGCTAGGGCTGACGTTTCAAAAAACGCCTCCCTGTTTTTGACCCGCAATTTTTTTTTCTACTCTGACGGCACTTCGGCCACAAAATGGCCACTCTGAGCGTGTTAAAAGAAATCAGGGTTGAAAAAAACACAACGCTGGTCCTTCAGTGTTGGGGAAATGACTTCAGAGTCGCGGTTTTTTTTTTTTTTTTTTTTTTTTTTTTTTTTTCCTTCTGGTTTGTCGGTGAGCTTCAAGGGCGAGAAGGACTGTTGCAACATTGGCTCGATCTGGCACAACTTTGCAAGTGCCAACTGGGCAATCTGCCACGCAGCTGAGCTGGCACAAAACACAAACCACCACTTGGCGCGCGAGAATTTGCCGGTGCCTCCGCAACATAAAATTTCAACCTATGAATCAGGAACAATTTATTTCAAGTGCTGTGGTGCGGAGAAATTTTCGATTTCAGCACCAAAAAGTGCGATACATTACGTGTGGCAAGATATCCTCTCCCACCCATTCGCCGATTTGTTGTGCTATCCACGAAGACATCACTATTGGGCTTCTTTTTCTAGCCCGCTTCAACGGTTAACCCACAGTGGGACACAATTCAACCTGCGTGATACTGCCACAGATAGAGTGTATTCAGATATCGCAGCAGGTGCTGTGTGCTTTGCTCACGTGTTGGCATTTGCTACCACCTCGGAGGTGGGTGTATCGAAAGAAAATTTCGAGGAAGCTTCCTCCCGATAAACTCGCATGCAGGGACCACAGAACGCATACGCTGTAGTGACAGACTCCAGAAATGACTAACACTTAGGCCTATTACACTGAATCAGGGGCCATAAAACAATAACCCAGAGGCTCTCAGTGATGAAAAATTGACTACTCTGGAATTCCATTTTTCACTAACTCGATGGTCTGATCCGTCAGACTAATCAGACTATTTACTCTGATAGCGTCAGCCCTGGCTTTTGCCCCAAAAACGCGTAAGGATCCGCACATGTGCAGGAAGTGCAGCGGGCGCTCTTCATTCGCGAGCGCTAATGATCGATGATGCTCGCAACCCTCCCACGCCTTTTCTGGCTTGGTAATAGGCCCAGACTAGCGCAGCCTCGTGACCCGGCGGAAGAAAAGCGCTCGTCTGGTGATATAATGGGAACACGAAGATGGCAATGCCCATTGTTTCGTCTGCACACGAAACAATGGGCATTGCCATTATCGGTGATGCAAGCCTTGTCATCACCACCATGTTGATCCTAGGGAGCAGGCGTCCGTCTACTGCAGCACCCTGTTCGTTTCCCTCTGCATTGGTTTGGTAGGTACAACATTGAGGAACACTAAAAACAACACAAAATTGGACCTGGGGAGGAAGCCCCAGAAAGTTATCACACACGACGGACACATCCAACGGCACACACACACTCTATAGGCCTAACTGCAAAATTGTGGAAGGGACAGCACTGCATTCGCGAGTGCCAGCCCTTCGTTTGTGGCACACTGCTGCCTGATGGAGTCACCATAGCATCACCGCTGCTGCTGCTGCTTTATACACGAATGCACTCATACACCCATGTCATCTCCGGGTATCTCAAGGTGCGGTTGCCATACACACACCTCACAGGGGGTGGCAGCACACACCAGCTCCGTCAGTGTGACCTGTACACACTCAGTGCTTCTGCTTCACCTGCTGCAGCACACCCTCTGCAACCCTCTGCTGCTCTTACAAGCAGATGCTGTTCCTGTTCTTCCAAATTCCATACTCCCACTGCTCCATCCCAGACCTTTCGCCCCTGCTCTCACCTGCACCTTAGCCCACCCCAAACTCCCCACCCTCCTTTCTCCCCACTCGTAATTACACTCTCAGCACGGCGCACCCGAGAATGGCGCCCTTCCCGCCGCCCATGCCCCCCACGGCCTGCCAGTTGAGCAGCCGTTCGGTGGGGCGCATGAACATGGGCGCGGCCAGCCCCTTGGGCCTGCGCGCCTCCTCCTCCCGCCCGCGCCTGCGCTCCTCCTCGGGGTCCCAGCAAAACACTTCCTCCAAACCCACCCTCCCGCCATGGCCCCACGCGTCGCGTGCGCCGCCCAGCAAGAACAGCTTCCCCTGGAAGGCAATCATGCCCACGCCGCGCGTCGCGCTGTTTTGCCGCCCGAAGCTTCCGACGCCCGTGCTGCTGACGTGGAGCGAGGGGATCGGCCCGCACTTGCGCCATTCGCCCGTGGCGGCGTCGCGCACGACGAGGCGCGACTGGTGGACGGCGTAGAGGTGGCCGTTAAGCACGGCTATGGGGCCCGGGATCTGCGGGGGGAAGGGAGAGGGAGGGAGAGCAGGGAGGAAGAGCGGGGAGGAGAGACAACTGCGGTGAGGATTCTGATATTTCTATCTAATGCGGGTGCTCGACTGAACGTCGATGCTGCGTTGCTGCGGCAATCGGCCAACAGGCAGATCTGGAGGGCCAGAGACTGACTAAAACTCTCCCCATCCGTCGCTTCCCTTTACTCTCCTCTCCCACCCGCTCCCCCTGTCGCTCGCCCGTGCCTCACCTTGCCGTCGTCGATCCACGCGTTGGGTACCAGGTCCCACCGGTCGCTCTGCCGGTCGTACACCTCGATTGACGCCGTGCTCTCGCGCGTGTGCCCGTCTCCGTCATGACGTAAGCCCATGACGTCAGCAGTCGAGCTGTCGTGACGCTGCACCTCCCCTGCGATCACCGTCAGCTGCCCCCCGAGCACCACGGCGCGGTGCCCGCATCTCACGGCATGCATCGCGCTGATGCTCCGCCATTCACCGATGTACACGTCGAAAATCTGAATCAGATTATGGGACCGTGGGCAATGATGAAAGGAAAACAAGTTTCTTTGAACTTAGTACACTAAGATTCTTCACACTCGTTCAAATCTTAAGCAGGTGGTCGTTAGTGGCACTACTGTGAGGCATCTTCCAATTGCGATTGAACAATTAACGCTGAGATGAGACTCACCTCGGCGGATCGCAGAAACGCGTGTCGGCCCTGTCCGCCCGTAACTACGATGTAACGGCCGTCCAGCACCTCCGCGGCGGGGGAGATGCGCGCCTCGCTCATCGGCGCGCAGAAGTCCCAGCGCCACGCGACGGGGTCGAACACGCGCACCCGCGCCGTCGCGACCTCTGCGCTGCTCACACCCGAAGACGATGCTGACGTGACGCGCTCGCAGCCGCCAATGACGTACATCTTCCCGCCCGCCGCCACCGTCGCGAATTCTGAAAGCCCCTCATTCTTGGACCGACCGGGAATGGCCGGCACGGCGTGCCATGAGTGCGAGATCGGGTCGAAGGCGCGGAACGAGCCCTGGTCGGGGTCTTCTGGGAGAACGAAGAGCCACTCCTCGACCACTCCCGCCACCTCTCGCGCCTGGAAGAACGCTCCGCTGGACACGGCGGAGCTCCAGGACTTGGAGACGGTTTTGAGCGCACCGTGCAGGTGGCGCGGGAGACGTAGAAGCGCCTCGTGGGAAACCTCGTCGGGAACTGATGCAAAGATGGTGCCAAGGGAGTGGTGGCAAAGATTGGTCTCATGAAGCGTACCCATCACGTCAGGAGGAATCGGGAAGAAGATGGAGGGGTAGTGGCAACACGATACGTGGACGAAGTGCTATCGCACGGCTTCGGAAACTAGAATTAGCACAAACGGCCGCTAAGATTCTGGTCAGCGTGAGAGGTATGGGGCAAGCAAGAAGAAAGATGATAATAAAGAATTGAGGGCTCGGTGAATTTACGGCTAGCAAAAACTGAAAGAGCGAGAAGGAGAGGTGGAGGTCCAAGGCGATGGGGGAAATGCGTGGAAGATTTCGCCAGATGCTGTGCGACATCTGTGGTGGTGACGTGCCCGGAACCACGTGGGGATTCATCCACCCTTCGGAACTCCATGAACCACCAATAGTGATTCTTGGTCTCTCGAAAGGAAGGGAAACGACCTTTCATGACGCGAAGAGTCATGAAATGACGCGTCTGAAAACAGAGCACACGTCACGCTCGAAGGCATCATGCGTGGACCAGCGCAGCTTCCGTTGCGATGACTGGCTGAGCGACCGTCTGAATTTTCTGGCGAAAACGAAAACGATGAACAGTGCTCAACTGACCACACACCTGCTTGACACCCTGCTTTCCCGTAATGCGATCCTCTCAACCATGCGGTGCGACAGAGGTCTGATGGTGATTTTCCACATCGCAATCATCACCCTCTCCACCACAATCATGGCTCCCAAGAGGCAGCGCTCCTGGCCAAGTTTGTTTTTTCACACGTGGCAAGGGTGGAACCCTACACCCTGACTTGATTTCTATCGGGAACTGAGTTATTTTGCGTGGATGGGTGAACTGCATTTATTAATAAATTACACTAAAAGCCAAATATTTGCAGCATGGTACAGATTAGTGTCATTGTCAGAGAAATTGCGCCATGCGTGCATCTCTAGGGGTGTCAGGAACTTGAACAAATGGTAGCTTCAGAAGCTGTTATGGAAAGGGAGAAAAAAAAAAGGGGGGGGGGGGGGGGGGGGGGGGGGGGGGGGGGGCAAATTTGAAGAAAAAAATGACCCAAAGTTGCACACCATGAGGAAATGAAGGTCGTACCCAAGCAGTCACAGGAAATGTTCCAACAGAGGTAATTCATAGGTTCATATGCGCAAGCAGTTGCTTCAAAGACCTCCACATGACATGGTGCACGAAATGAACATCCCATCTCACCTCAGTTGCAGACGGTCTGTCGTAGGGCTCTATGTGGAAGCACGCCTCTAGGAACTCGCGGCCCTCGTCTGATATGCCCTCGGGAATGGGCGGGCCCGTGGTGGTCTTGGCGATGTGGAAGATTGCTGACCACGTGTTGTCCATTCCCGGCCATGGGTGGCTGGTGAAGGGTCATGGGGATGGAGGGAGGGGGTGTGGAGGCGGAGAAGGTTGGAGAAGGGAGTGTTTAATGGGAAGTGAATACTGAGAAAACGAGGTGGAGGAAAGACATGTGGGAGTGAGTAGTAGGGGAAACGACAGACCCGTCACCTACCAATGAGCACCCATCACCTGCCGGTGACCTGACCACCCCTCATCTCCCACCTGCCAGTGAGCATCTCAATGATGGTGCAGCCAAGGCTCCAGATGTGAGCCAACTACACCCAGCCCTACCTCACCCAACTCCACTGCCCACTCTGCGCCCACCTGCCAGTGAGCATCTCAATGACGGTGCAGCCAAGGCTCCAGATGTCAGCACGGCGGCCGTACCCCTCCCCCTTGATCACCTCCGGTGCCATCCAGAACACCGACCCGCGGATCGACTTGCACCCCTCTCCCACCGTGCCCTCGTGGAATGCCTGACGGAGGCGGGAGAAGGGGAGGGCGAGGTTGCAAAGAACGGACAAAGAACGGGGTTGCAATCAAGACCATGTCAGAAGCACATGCAGAATAATACAGAAGAAGTTTGCCCAACTCGCCCTCCTCGCTTGCTCAGCGCACTCACCCCGTCTTCCACTCAACCCGCCCCCGCGCCGATCGCCCTGCAAGGCCCACCTTGGAGGCACCAAAATCAGCGAGCTTGATGACCCCGTCTCTATCAACAAGCACATTGCCGCCCTTGATGTCGCGGTGGGTGATCTTGCACCCGTGCAGATACTCCAGCCCCAGCAGCACCACCACCTCATCCCACTCGCCCCACCTCCCACGCACTCCACTCCACCCCCCACTTGACACTGACCGCTTTGCATGACTCACCTTGGAGGCACCAAAGTCAGCGAGCTTGATGACCCCGTCGCGGTCCACAAGCACGTTGCCGCCCTTGATGTCACGGTGAATGATCTTGCACCCGTGCAGATACTCCAGCCCCAGCAGCAGCTGCCGCGTGTACACACGCACCAGCGACTCACTGAACTTGCCGAATTTCTCCAGCATGCTGGCAGGAGGAGAAAAAAGGGGGGGAGATGCAGGGGAGAGAGGAGAGTGTGGACGGGGAGAAGTTGGAAATAGGCCAGGCATGAAGGTAGACCCACACCAGCAACTCGATCATCATGCCAAAATTCTACAAGAAGCAACGAGGGAGGCGGCCGCGGAAGAGTGCAAAGGCTACACACTGCAGCCGGCATTCCTTGGCTGTACCCCACGATGCGCCGGTGCCGCATTGCCTGATACAGCATGATCCCTCACTAGTGCATCTAAAAAAACAGACTTAACTACAGGCACCTCCCCTGACCTGTGCAACGAACCACCCGAGACAAGCTCGAGAAAGATGTAGATGGAGCCGTCGGCCTCGTCCTTCTCCATGTCGATGTACCCCACGATGTGCCGGTGCCGCATCTGCCGGTACAGCACGATCTCGCGCTCCAAAGAGGCGATCAGCATCGCCTTCTCGTCGCCCGCCGTCGTCATCTTGATCTGCTTCACCGCCATCAGCTCCCCCGTCATCTCGTTCAGCCCCAGGAAGACCTGTGGTGGGCGGTGGAGGGAAATGTGGACGGGCGGTGGTGAGTGGGGATGGCAAGGCGCGTGGTGAGTGAATATGGGAATGGGAATGGGAGTGGGAGTGGAGTGGCAGTGGGAGTGGAAGTGGGAGTGGGAGTGGGAGCGGGAGTGGGAGGAGGCATGGGAGTGGCAATGGGAGGAGTATGGGTGTGGGAGCGGGAGTGGGAGTGGTAGTGGGAGCGGCAGCGGGAGTGGGAGTGTGAGTGGGAGTGGGAGTGGGAGTGGGAGCGGAAGCGGGAGTGGGAGTGGGAGGGGGAGGGGAAACGGGAGTGGGAGTGGGAATATGAGTGGGGAGGGAGGTGACGGGAGGCAGTGAGAAGACTACAGACTACACCACACTGTCTACAACGCACCCCTGCCCTCCTTGCTATACGCTCTCCCATTTCCCTGATCTAGCCTCCTCCAGCCCTCACCTCCCCCAGCAGCCACCCCTCCATGACACTCAGCATGCAGTGCGCCTCACCTTGCCAAAGGCGCCCTCGCCCAGCAGGTCGCCCTTCTTCCACTTGAGCGTGCCCAGCGGGGATGCTGACATGGACACCGACGCTGACGCTTCCAGGGCCTTTGCCACGCTGGCAGAGGTGGTCGTTGACGTGGCGCTGGTGGTGGCAGTGGAAGGAGAGGAGGAAGAGGAAGAGGAGGAGGTGGTGGTGGTGGCGGAAGAGGAGGAAGGGGAGGGGGACTTGCCGTCACTTTCATTCCCCTCACTGCCACTGCCTGCACTCCCATCCTCTGCTCGTCCCTCCCCCTTCCCACCCTTCCCATGCCCCGCTTCACCCTCCTGCTTCTTTCCCTCCTCCCCCACTGCCTCTTTGCTCGCCTTCCCGTCCAGCACACCGCCCTTCTCTTCCCCCTTTGCCTGCTTCTCCGCGCCCTTCTCCTCCCGGCCCTCCCCACTGCCATCCGCCTTGCCAGAAAGGGGCGAGGCGGAGGTTGTGGAAGGAGAGCGGGGCGAGGGGGTGACGGGGGAGGCCAGGGGGGAGGACTGGTTGGGCGGGGAGGCGGAAGGGGAGGGCGCAGAGGGGGAGGAGGTAGCAGGCGAGGAGGGAGACGAGGGGGAGCCAGCACCTGAGGGCACCTTCCCTCTGCCCGCCGCGTCACCCTTCTCTTCCCCCTCCTTATCCCCTCCTGCCCCCGGTTTCCCATGCCCTGCCAGCCCCCCTGCGGCAGCAGCAGCAGCAACAGCCGCTCGCCGGCGGGGGGACACAGGAGGGCGAGGAGACATCCGCCTGTCGCCATATCGCCGGTGCCTCCTCACCCCGCCGCCCTCGCTGCCACTCTCCGTCTCCTCCTTCCCTGACCCCCCGTCGCTCTCGCCCTCACTCTCGCCCCTCTGCCGCCCATGCTGGTTCGGGGAGCCATCGTCGCCAGCAGAGGGCAAGGCGAAGGAGACGGACTTGCGCACGCGGGCAGGGGGGCGGGATGCAGTTGAAGTGCCACTGCTGCTGCTGATGCTTCTGCCCACCGGCGTGTGGCTCCCACTGCCGCCAGCAGTTGCAGCTCCAGCAGCAGCAGCAGCAGCAGCAGCAGCAGCAGCAGCAGCAGCGGCACCAGCAGCAGCAGCACCGGTAGTGGTAGTGCTTGCACCACTCGGGCTGGTGGCAGAACTTACGTTAGCAGCATTTGCACCACTCGCCTTTTCAGCAGTGGCATTAGCAGCAGCAGGGGGAGAAGCAGAAGCAGAGACGGCAGCTGCAGCCCCCCCTCCTTTACCCTGCCCTGACGGCTGCAGAGCCTTCCTCTCCCCCATCGCCGCCCGCTCGCCGTCCGTCAGAATCTCCCCGCGCACTGAAGACGCCCTCCGCCACCCACCCGACGCGTGCGCGGACGGCAGGCGGGCGGACATCGGCGTTTTCACCGACACTTCAGTATCACTCGTCGACACCTCACCCCCACCATCTGCCCCTCGCTCCCTCACGCCCCCTCTCTCCCTCCCCTTGTCACTACCCAAAGCACCAGTCAGCCTTAGATCCCTCACATGGTGCTGCTGCTGCCTGCTGTTGCCTCTGTCCAACCCTACCCCCACCCCTTCCCCTGCCACTGCTCGCATGCTCTCAATGTGTCGCTCCCCCAGACTGCCCACTCGCAGCAGGGGCCTGGCGTCTGGTGCCCGCCTGCCCTCTGTCTCCGACCCATACTGTGCGTCCAAACGGAAGTTCTCCAGCTTCGACCCCCTCTCGCCTGAGCCCCTCTCCACCGAATCCAACCCCACACCATCGTCAGCACCGGCCCCCGCCCCCGCACCTATTCCCGCGCCCACGGCGCCGTCTCTCCTGCCCGCAGACCCCCCTGCTGCTGCTCGCCTTGCCTCTGCGCCTGCTCTGCTCTGCCCAGCGGCCTGTGGGCCCAAGGGAATGCCGCCCCTGTGTGACCCGTCCAGGCTGACAGACTGAGACCGCGCGTGCCTCCCTGCTCGCACCCCCCTCCCCATCAGCCCCACTCCCGCCCTCCCTCCGCGACCGCCCCGCCCATCCATCGCCCCTCCCCCACGGCCTCCTACTGACCGCCCTGCTGCGTTTCCCAGAGCTAGGCTTGCGGTTCGGGACCGCCGGACCTGGGAGTTCGGTCCGTCCGCATCCAAGTGGCAATCCGAGCCTCCAGCAGGGGAGGCAGCGCTGCTGGGGGAACCGTGGGTGGGGCTGCTGGCAAGCAGGGGGGAGAGCGAGGTTGGGGAGGGCGAGGGGCGGTGGCCTGAGTCACTGAGAGTGCGATGGTACCGCAGGTGCGGCTGGGACACTGTATGCGCCGCTCCCCCCTGTCCCTGCGCCTGTGTCCCCCCCTGTCCCTGCGCCTGTGTGCCCCCCTGTGACTGCGCCTGTCCCTGCCCCTGTGTCCGCACCCCTACTGCTGTCCCCCCACCAGCCTGCCCTGCTGCCGCTGCTCCCCCTAACCCCCCTGCACGCCGCACACCCACCCGCCTCCTCCGCTCACCACCGCCGTCCGTCTCACTTGAGCTATCACACGCCTCCCGCCCATCCTCCCCTCTCCGTCCCCCCCCCACACCGCGCACCCCTCCCCTCTCCTGCCCACTGCCGTGCTGCTCCCCACCCGCCCTGCCAGCAGCACCGGTGGGAGCGAGGGAGATGGGGAACGTGGGCGAGGTGGTATCGTCATCCCTGTCATGCTCCCACGCCTTCTGAAACAGCTCCTCCTTGCTCTCCAGCCCTTCGCCCCCAAGCCACTCCGCGCCCTCCCCCCTTCCCTCCCTGCCGTTGCCGCTGCCAGCGCCATAGCCCTGCTGCTGCGAGAGGCGCTGGTGGGGGGCTTGGGGCCTGTCGATCTGGTTCTGGTTCAGACTGTTGCTGTGCCCCAAGCCCTGGCTGCCACTGTTGCTGCTGCCGCACCGCAACAGCTCCCTGTTCCCCCCATCCCTTCCCCCGTCGCCTGCGTCAAAGCCAGTCCGCGCCCTCAGCTCCGCCAGCCACGCCGCGCCCCTCTGACTCCTCCCCCCGCCCCCTGCAATCCCCTCAAACTCCCCCCCCATTCCCCCATCCTCCTCCCCCTCCCCACCCAAACCCAACCCCAACCGCCTGCCAGACCCAGACCGCCCCAACTCAGGCCTAAACCCGCCAATATCCTCCAAGCCTCCCCCCGAACCTCCCAGTAGATCCGAGCCTCCCAAATCCCCTGAAAGCAAGTCCCCTTCCTCAAAATCAGTGCTTTGGCGGAACCCCCCGAGTCCCCCCGCGCGTGTGGCGGCGTCCAGGGGGCGAGCGGCGGGGGAGGCGGAGTCAGGGGCGGCGCAGCGCTGGTGGTAGTCGTGCAGCTTGCGGAAGAGCGCGCCAATGCGGTCCGACGAGGTCAGCTCCTGCGGCAGCAGCCCGTCGCGGTTGCGCGCGTACATGTTGGCGCCCGCCACCAGCAGCAGCTTTATTATGCTCCTGGTGCGAGGCAAGGCAAGGAAGGGAGAGCAGGGGAGGGTGGTTGCAGGAGGTGAGGGTTGGTGAGTGAGTGGGGACGAGCACAGGGATGGGGCTGTGGTTGTACATGCTGCGCTTGTACATGCTGGCGCCCGCCACTAGCAGCAGCCAGGGAGAAAGTGGAGGAGAAAGGGGAGGAGGGGAGCAGAGGTGCGGGAGAGCAGGGGAGGGCGGTTGCGGGAGATGGGGGCTGGTGAGAATGGACGAGCGATGGGTTGGTCGCTGCGACTAGCCAAGGTCAGAGCCCGAATCTGTAAGAGCGCGGCAAAGACCCCGCCCCAACCCCTCCCCTCTTCCCTAGGTCCCATTTCCACGCGCGTCCTGCATGCCATGACGGCCAGGTGAGTCCCCCCCACGCACCTGTGGCCGGTGGCGCAGGCGTAGTGCAGCGCGGAGCAGAGGCGCGCGTCCGTGGCGTTGATGTCCGCGCCGTTGGTCAGCAGCAGCCGCACCGCCTCCTCGCTGCCCGCCTGCACCGCTGACATCAGCGGCGGCGACTGCCCTCCCTGCCCGCCACCGCGTTCCGAAGGCAGGGAGGGGGAGGGGTGTAGGGGCGGAAACAAGGAATCAAGATTGGGGGGGGGAAGAAGAGGAGGGTACGGAACTGGAGCGGAAGGAGGGAGGCACAAGCGGGTGGGGTGGGGTGGTAAGCCAACCAATTTAACAAGTGTGGAAGAGGTCCCATAGCACCAGACAGAGCAGTATGAACCGCCCCATTATGAACCACCCAGAAAGCAGCCCTCCATGACCCTCCGCCGGCCACGCATGCATTTAAGCCAGGGCGCGTGCCTCACCTCGGCGGCGGCCGTGCCCCCGTCGGGGTCCGCGCCCCACTCCAGCAGCAGCGCCGCCGCGTCCAGACTGCCCGCCACCACCGCCTCGTGCAGCGCCGTCCTCCCCGTCGCTGCGCCTCACAGGAGCCCACGCGCGCAGAGGTTTTACGGGGAAGAGCGCCCCACAGGTGGTGAGCGTGGGGGGGGTGGGAGGGGGGGGTGTGGTGGGGGAGAGGGGAGAGCGAAATGGGATATGGGAGTGAGAGGATGTCGGGAGGAGGGTGAGGGTGCGGCTGTGCGCGCTGGTGGGAGTACGAGGGGACGGGGTATGCGAGAACGGACCAGCGAGAACGGGACGATTCCAATTCATGTGAGCGGGAAAGTTACCTGGGTGCAGCGTGGTGAGAGGGAGTGTCACATGGGTGCAGCGGGGTGATAGCGACCGTCACCTTGGTGCAGAGCGGTGAGAGCGAGCGTCAGCAGGGTGCAGCGCGGTGAGAGCGAGCGTCACCTGGGTGCAGAGCGTTGAGCAGCGCGGTGCGCGAGGAGGCTTCCTGCAGCACGCTGTTGACGAGTGCCGCGTCGTTGGCGTGCGCCGCCTCCACCAGTTTCAGCACCGCCTTCAGCTGCACCCCCGCCCCGCTCCCCCCACTCATCCCCGCGCCCGCTGCCCCCACTAATCCCCCTCCCCCGCCTCCGACACCTCCTCCCCCTCCCAAATCTTCGTCCGGAAACCCCAGCATGCCTGCGCCAGCTCCGCCGAATCCCCCGCCTCTGCCTTGCCTGAGCTCCCCCGCCAGTCCCAGGAGTTCCTCCGCGCCCATGCGCCTTCCCGCCCCCGCGCCTGCGCCCATCCCCATGCCGTCATCGATGAAGTCTAGAGTCGACGAGCCTCCGCCGGGCTTCCCCACGAGGTCTGCGAAGCTGTCCGCTCCGCCCCGCCACGAGCTGGCGGAAAAGGAAGCCTGGGGAAAGGGGGAGTGGATGGTGCGGCAACGAGCAGACTAGGATTAAGGGCACTCCGAACCTGTAGACGACATGCCGGAAAGGAGCAACGGGGACTCGCTGACGTCGCATGGGCAACAACGGAAAGAAAAAGAAAGATCGAAAAAAACGACTAGAGCGAAAAGCGATGCTGCTCGTACCGGATCAGTGGACAGATCCGACCACGCGTCCTGGCGCCCCGCATGACCGTTGGCGAAGTCACTCTCCCTGTGACTCAGCACCCTCCGTAGCTCCGCTGCCCCGTCCCCTCCTCCCAGCCGCATGCTCCCGCCATACCTGCCGCCACCCACGCTATCGTATCTCCCCCCCAGGTCCCTCCCTGCCGCGTCCGCCAACCGCTCCACGTCCATGCTCGCGGATCCCGCGCCCAGATGCCGCCCCCGCATCGCCGCGAACAGCGCCTCGCTATCCACCACACTGCTTCCGATGCCGCTACCTAAGCCGCTACCCATGCCGCTCCGCATGCCGCTTCCCATGCTGCTGCTGCCTGTTCCGTCCAGCGACGTCGCGAGCGACGACCCCCCCCTGTGGCCATACGTGTTAGGAGTGGACGACGATCCGGGTATCCTCGTGGCCTGCTCGCTGCGCTGCCGCAAAAGCTCCCCTTCTGCGCTGCCCAGCTCTCCGTAGAGTCCCAGCATACCCCCACCTACGCTCTGGTTCTCGCCAGCGTCGTGGAAGTTCTGGTAGATCTGCGGCCGCAGCGCCGACGACACGGACAGCGTTCGGCGATGGTTGTTACGAGTGGGTCGATCTCGTGCAACCTCGCCGCCCGAAGTGAGAGCGGGAGACCACGTGGTCTCCTCAAAATCGAAATTGTCGCCACCAGCATCTGGCTCGTAGTTACTGTAGCTGTTGTAATCCCCATCGGCTTGTCTGTGAGGGAAGCTGTTGGACTGACCGGTGCTGCGGCTGCGAGGATACGCAGGAGCCGCTGACAATTCCGCATCCCCCTTAAAGCGCCGAGAGAATGAGTCTGTCCGCTGCATGATTCCAGTCAATGAGCTACTAAAAACCGACTCGTCAAGCTAAGCATGACACCAAGAATTGGCTATCTGATGGCATGGTCGCGAAAACGTTTTGGCTACGTCACGTATTGAAAGACAGGCAGCTAGACACATTACGGAAGAAACCGTAAATCAAGGTCTCACTTGACCTACGACAACAACAAATCACGGCAAAAGCTTTGTCTGAGCAATGTGACAACTGCATAAGTTAGGGTTGTTCAGGAGGAAGCAAGCTCCGTACAACTTAGTTAGGTGGAACTCAGGATAATGAAGCGACAAGTGAGGTACTGGGAGTTGGTCCTAGGGTAACATCTAGGTGCTGACCTAACCTGGTATGGCAGTGCGGAGCTGCAGCAGCCACAGGCGTCGGATTTGACAGATAGGTTTCGTCGTTCGGTTCGGGGGCAGCATGACATGACCGAGCCACACCACAGTCCACAGCTCGAGCCCTAGGGAAAATCTGTGGGGGGAAATGGGCGGTGTGGCGGGGCACTGGGGCACCACGACATGCACCGAGGAGGATGATGAAAATTGAGGAAGCGGGCAGCGGAAAAACGTCGTCACCCGCAAAGTTCGTTTTCTAGACTTCTGACCTGAACGGTTCAAAAAGGTTGCAGAGGTGATGCCATATGAACCGCAGCTGTTTTCCTCTATAGCAGCTGAAGCAGTTCAATTCACTTATCTCGTCAATAATGCTGAAGGTGTTCCAGTATAACCATACACTTAAACTCCAGTATTACTCAGATTTTGGAGCATATGTAGATTTTAAATAATATGAAATAGATATGAATCCGTAAAATATTTGGAAAACAAAGTCAAAAAACATGTAACCAATCAAAAGAAAGCCTTAAAAGGTACTATATGTAAGACTTCGTAAGTACGAGCTTCAAACTTGCATACCCGTTATGATAATTCTACTGGTCATAGTTCAGGGATTTTCGCATGCTTTCCGTTTCTCGCCAACGAGCCGTTTCTCCACTTTCGTGCGCATCCACATCCTGCTTCATGTTGGTGAACTTCTTGCAGTCAGATCCGCTCCAGGCACAAAAAGTAAGGAGATTTCTCTGTTCTGGCTGCTGTCGCCTAGACCGTCGTTCTTCCAGCAGCAGGTCACATAGAAGCCGTAGCCATGAGCGGTCACGATTCGAAATATTTCACGACAACAAAGAAGGGCGAGATTCATGAATTGAAAGAGGAGTTAAATTCTCCGTACAAGGTGCCATTTTGAAACCAGGAATATTCTGTGGACCATGGCGTAGTCGATCTTTGGTTATCTCGCAGATGTAGGTTATCGAGTGTAGCATTGAAATACGATTTGTGGATATGTGTTGCAGGAGAAGAGGAAGGATGCGGTCAAGAAGGTCATCGCAGCCATGACTGTAGGCAAGGACGTGTCCATGCTGTTCACAGATGTTGTGAACTGCATGCAGACTGAAAACCTGGAGCTGAAGAAGCTTGTCTATTTGTACCTCATTAACTATGCCAAGAGCCAGCCGGATCTTGCCATCCTCGCCGTCAACACATTTGTGAAGGTGCCTAACACCTCAATCATCGATTTTCCTTGGTGTAGCGCCCTTTCATCCAGTCACTGACATTTTTTTTCTCCAGGACTCGCAAGATCCGAATCCGCTCATTCGGGCCTTGGCGGTGCGAACAATGGGCTGCATTAGGGTTGATCGTATCACGGAGTACCTGTGTGACCCACTGCAGCGATGCCTGAAGGTACATGCCAACCTTATGTTGACCTCTGTAACTGAGGTTTGGTTGCCTAACTAACCGTTATTCTCCTATTGTACAGGACGACGACCCGTACGTTCGGAAGACCGCAGCAATCTGTGTGGCCAAGCTCCACGATATCAACGCAGAGCTTGTCGAGGATCGTGGTTTTCTAGACATACTGCGGGATATGATCTCTGACAGCAATCCCATGGTAGTGGCCAACGCAGTTGCCGCTCTGTCCGAAATTCAAGAAGGCAGCAGCAAGCCTGTCTTCGACATCACGCCTAATACAGTCTTTAAACTGCTTGCTGCGCTGAACGAGTGTACCGAGTGAGTGTTTTTCTAAAAGCTTCGTATCCGACTCTAAGTTGCGCATGAGTCTAACGAGCGACTTGTGCCGTGACCTCAGGTGGGGACAGGTTTTCATCTTGGATTCACTTTCCAAATACAAATCACGTGATGCTCGTGAAGCCGAGGGGATTGTCGAACGCGTCACTCCTCGCTTGCAGCATGCGAACTCAGCCGTTGTCCTTTCTGCTGTTAAAGTGCGTTTCCTGGTCCTTGTTATCGCGCTAAGTTTCTCTTCCTGCTTGGTTATGTACGAAGTTTTCAACATGTTCGCTGCTTTGACCAGGTCATTCTGCTGCAAATGGAGCTTATCACAAGCACTGACTTGATACGGAACCTTTGCAAGAAGATGGCACCTCCGATGGTCACTCTACTTTCGTCAGAGCCTGAGATTCAGTATGTGGCTCTGCGAAACATCAACCTCGTCGTGCAAAAGCGGCCATCGATTCTTGCACATGAAATCAAGGTTTGTGAAGTCAGTTGAGAACTCCTTCTAAGTATTGTCGGTGAATTACTCCCACTAATTCCTTGCATCATTTTTTAGGTTTTCTTTTGCAAGTATAATGACCCCATTTACGTGAAGATGGAGAAGCTTGAGATCATGATTCGCCTTGCATCCGAAAGAAACATTGATCAGGTATTCGCTTTCATCTTCTTGCCTCGCTATTCATGTAGTTTCTGTCAGGGTACTTAGCATTAATCGGTGAATTTGGTCATCAGGTGCTGCTCGAGTTCAAGGAGTATGCAACTGAGGTGGATGTGGACTTCGTTAGGAAAGCTGTTCGTGCTATTGGCCGGTGTGCCATCAAGCTTGAGAAGGCTGCAGAGCGATGCATCAATGTCCTCTTGGACCTCATCAAGATCAAGGTCAATTACGTCGTCCAAGAGGCCATTGTTGTGATCAAGGACATTTTCCGCAGATATCCGAACACGTAAGTGAAGAAAATTGATGTTTGGTAACTTGTTGGCCATACATCCACTAATAACTGGTTGTTCATGCTGCCGATTTGAACAGGTATGAATCCATTATCGCAACACTCTGTGAAAGCTTAGACAACCTGGATGAACCGGAGGCGAAGGTACAGATGGCTATTCGTCATGGCTTTTGTTGAATGCAACTCGGTGCATCATATCTCACGTGGCCATTGCATTTTGCAGGCGTCGATGATATGGATCATTGGAGAGTACGCTGAGCGCATTGACAATGCCGATGAACTCTTGGAAGGTTTTTTGGAAACCTTTTTGGAGGAGCCCTCACAGGTTCAGCTGCAATTGTTGACAGCAGCAGTAAAGCTCTTCTTGAAGAAGCCAACAGAGGGCCCACAACAGATGATCCAGGAAAGTCGGTTTTAGTCTTGCTTCACTGTATGTTGTACCTTTTGTTTGTTACTTTTACTGAGGCTTGATGTTGTTCTGCAGACGGTTCTCAACAACGCAACCCAAGAGACGGACAACCCTGACCTTCGAGACCGTGCCTATGTGTACTGGAGGCTTCTCTCAACAGACCCTGAAGCAGCAAAAGACATTGTCCTTGCAGAGAAGCCAACTATCAGTGACGAGGTTTCCGGGCTAGACCCGGATTTGCTGGCTGAACTCCTTCGAAACATTGCAACCTTGTCTTCTGTCTATCAGAAGCCGCCTTCAGCCTTCGTCTCTCGTCTCCGCTCTGCTGTGCCAGCATCAGCAGCTGAGCCGTCTGAAGAATATGAGGAGTCGTCTGCTCCTGTTTCAGGAGGAGCTCCTCCCCCAGCTGCACCTCCAGCTGCTCCTGCTCCATCCCCTGCTCCTGCTGCTCCTGCTCCTGCAGCTGCTCCTGCCCCACCTGACCTTCTTGGTGACCTTATGGGTCTGGATGCTGCCATAGTTCCTGTGCCTGAGGCGCCTTCTGGGTAAGGCTTTCTCTGCTTTCCATATGTAGCTCCTGGATGTTCTTGTTCAATTGTCATACCGGGCTGGTTGTCTGATCGACTTCATTTTTCATGCAGACCTTCCCTTCCAGTTCTTCTAGCAGCGTCAGCTGGGCAAGGGCTGCAGATCAATGGTCAACTGGAGCGCAAGGATGGTCAGGTGGTTTACCGTGTCAAGTTTGACAACAACTCCAGCACAGCTCTGGATGGCTTTATGATGCAGCTTAATAAAAACTCCTTTGGCATATCTGCTCCAGCTGGCGTATTACCTGTAAGACATGTATCCAAGATTGATGCTGTTGGACGTTGGTAGTCTTGTCTTGTGTTGATGTTTGCGTGTTTACCTTATTGCAGGTTCCACCTCTGCAACCAGGTGCATCAGCAACAGCTGACCTGCCATTGACCCTCTTTCAAAACGTGTCTCCTCCTCCTCCATCATCGGTCCTCCAAGTTGCGGTGAAGAACAATCAGCAGCCAGTTTGGTATTTTACCGACAAAATCAGGGTGCAGGCATTCTTTACTGAAGAAGGGCGCATGGAACGTGGAGTGTTCCTTGAGGTAAGCATTTCAAAGGTGGTCAATTTTATTTTTCTTTTTGCATTGCTCTCGCTGTTGAATGAATTTTTGCTGCTGGCTGGCAGTCAAGCTGAGTTGGGTTCTTATCATTCACTCAATTCTCCATACTCCCCTTGTACTGATCCACAGACATGGAAGGCGCTTCCGGATTCCAACGAGGTCTCCCGTGATTTGGGCGTATCAATCGCGAACATTGACTCTGTCTCAGAAAAGCTGGCCTCGAACAACGTCTTCTTTGTGGCAAAGCGACACCTCAAAGACACCAACCAACACATCCTTTACCTTTCGGCAAAGCTGGCCCCGTCCATCCCTATTCTTCTGGAGATTACGTTCTTGCTCGGGGTTGCTGGCTCGAAGTGTGCCATCAAGACACCAAGTCCTGAGTGGGCACCTCTTGTCTTCGAAGCGGTTGAGAACATTCTCCAGTAAACCAGTGTCTGGATCTGTATTTGACATTCTAACTACCGTAGCTTTTAGAATGGTGCTACCTCGCTGAGGTAGTGCTGAGCAGCTTGTGGATATTAGTAATGCCAGGTACTTGGTGTCTAGTAAAGTGCGCACCAGAAATATGAGCTTATGATTTCTAGCACAACAACAATAATGTGAAGGCTCAGAAATTCTGATGCTGGAAAACAAATGTTTAGAATTTAGTTTTGTATTCAAACAATATCATACGTCTGGATGGTGTAGTCGGTTATCACGCCAGTCTCACACACTGGAGGTCTCCGGTTCGATTCCGGGTTCAGACATGCAGATTTTTGTCGTTTTGTTCTGTTTCTTAGCTTCGTCGCATTGATGCATGACGTGAAGTCATTACAAGTCAACACGTGGATTTTAGTTCCCAGTCACTTCCGTCCCAGTCTTGTTCTGAAGACTCCATGGTTGCGCCCTCAACTTGCCTCGACATTTGGATTCCCTGTGGAGCATTTCTTGTCCGCGCAAGAATGCTGTACCGCTTTGAGTGGTGTGCGCTTCAGTGTGCGGGGGAACGGCACCATGGCACGTGGATTAAAAGCAAGCTGTGGCCAGGGAACTTGAGCACAAGAGGTCTACGTCAGTTAAAAAAGGGGGGGGGTTGCGTGCGTAGCAAGTGGGTAGCAGTGGAGAAAGAGACGAAACGTGACTTTCACTCGAAGTGTGCGCTGAACAAGCAAGTGGCGGGATTTGCATACGGTATCTCGCAGCAGTTCCGCTGCACGTGTAACTTTACTGGCCTAAGCGGAATCTCTACAAAAAAGACCAGTTCATTTAGGTTCAATAATCTATGCAGCAGCAGAAGCGAGTGATGTCAGAGGAGCGCGACATGGCGACCTGTGCGACGTCCGGCGCGCGGGCGACGACGATAGCGGTGGTGGGCGACTGCATGCTGGGTCGCCTGGTGAACCACATGCTGCTGCGACGAGGCAAGGCCGTGCTTCGGAGCGCGCATGAGCACGTCGACCAGCACTCCTCTGCCCTTGCAGCTGTAGGATCGTCGTGCCACACACACCCTCGTTTCACGTGTGCAAATCCCTCTCCTCTCCAATCGTATCTCCTGCTATCCACCTCACTTCTCTGCGCCTCGTCTTACCCACGTTATGTTATAAGACACCCTACTCATCCACTGCACCTCACCAACCTCGTCCTCGCATCAGGCATGGCAGGCAGAGCAAGGTGCTGACGAGGATACTGCACTCATACCCGAAAGCTTCTGGCCCGACACTTCAGCGGGCTCATCTGCAGCCACGTCAGCAGGGTACATCTGGGATGGCTGGTTGCCGCTGCTACGGGCGGCTGACTGCCGGATTGCAAATTTGGAAACGAGTGTGACACGTCATCGCGACAAGTGGCCCAATCAGGCGTTCAACTTCAAAATGCACCCGGTCAATATCGATGCTCTCACTGTAGCTGGGTACGGCCTCTCAGCCCATCAACATGAATGCATGCCGGAAGTGGTTCGGCATGCTGTTGGTATCTACTAGAATCCGCTTTGTGCCCGCTTGTCTCATTCTAGATCATGACTCCCTCCTTGTGTATTCCTCTTTCACCATTCCCCCACCATTCCCCCACCATTCCCCCACCATTGCCCCACCAATCCCTCTCCATTCCCCCACCAACCGCTCAGCATCGACGTCTGCTCATTGGCCAACAACCACGTGCTGGACTTCCAGGCTCAGGGCATGCACGAAACCATGGAGAGCCTGACACGTGTCGACATCCGATTCGCTGGCTGCGGGCGGAATCTGGCAGAGGCATCTGCACCGGCGTTCATCACAGTGAGTGTGTATGTGTGTGCGCATCTGCGTCGTGAACCCAGTGCCATGCCACGTGTCATGGCAACATGCATGCTGAGCCTCATACATGATTGGTTGGATGAGCATGGATATCCGCTTGTGTCCCTGTGAAGATTTTAGGGGGGGGGGAATCGGTCTCTTTTTTTCCTGATAGCAGAGTTAAAGCAGTCCTTACGTCCTTCCCCCCCAACGCCTCCCCCTTTTCCTCACCCTCACTCCACCACACTCTGTCTGCCATCCTGCTTCCTGACCGCGCAATCAGCTCCCTGGTGGCAACAGCTCGTTGCCGCCCATCCAGCTCGCACTGTTCAGTGCTGCCGACCACTTCAAGTACTGGGCGGCTACTGAAGATTCGCCTGGGATCCACCTGATAGACCCTGAGAGGTGGGCTTATGATTCAAGGCCGCTTGACCACTTCACGCTTTATGCAACATCTTATCATTACTTATCGGCCTCTCTGACTGTGCATGTGACTACATTATGTTGTCTGGGTTTGCACTCCATGTGCTCCAGCATGACACTGCATTCCACTGTGTCTCTTCACTGTGTCGCGCTTATATGTTCGCTTTGCCCTTCCTCGCTTTGTTACATGTATCTTTCTCCCCCCTTCTCACTCAACAACCCTCTCCCTCTGTCTCTCTCGGTCTCTCTCTGTCATTATTTCTCCCTCCCTCGTCTCTTCCGCCACTGCTGCCGGCCATGCCCAGAGTGACTGATGCCGACCTGCACCGCATTGCCTGCCTCGTGGCGGCCGCAAAAGAGCCCTCCCAAACGACAACTGCTGGAGAGCCGGTACCCTCAGCAGCAGCAGAAGCAACAGCAGCAGCAGCAGAGGCAGCGGGCAGCCTTCCTACAAGAACCCTGGCAGTGGTGTGCATGCACTGGGGCCCCAACTACGCCTGGCACCCCAGCCCTGCCATTCGCCGCCTAGCCCACGCCCTCATCGACCGCTGCGGCGCCAACCTCGTTATAGGCACGTCCGCGCACCACATACAAGGCGTGGAATTCCACCACGGCGCGCCCATCCTGTACAGCTGCGGCGATTTCATCGACGACTATGCAGTCGACGAGGAGTATCGCAACGACCTCTCGTTTCTCTTCCACCTCCACCTCGACCCCGTGTCGTGCTGCTTCACGAGCATCAGCCTCTTCCCCAATGCCATTCGGCGGCTGCAGGCGAGTGTGCATGTGAGTTTGGAGGAGCGGCGGTGGCTGTACTCGCACATGCGGCAGCTGTGTGCTGCCATGGGGACCACTGTGACGCCCGTGGATCGATCACTCCGGCAGCTTGAGATTGTGCTGTCAAGAGAAGAGTAGCACCGGTGCAGCTGGTTGGAAGGCTCATGGTTGTGCTCCTTACTGCCCTGGGCCCTGGCACGGTTGGTTTGAAACCCCTTTCCTCATGCGCGTGCTGCGTGCGACCATGGGGACGAGTGAGTGTGACGCCCATGGATCCATCACTCAGGCAGATGGAGATGGTGCTGTGGAATAGTACTCTCACAGCATACCAGTATGTGAGGAGGTTCTTGAGGCACCTCAATAATCAGCATACTGATTTGTGAGGAAGAGGTTGATTCAGTAGGGAAGAAGAGAATCTTTTGTACAGGAAATGCATGTACATATATTACATGATAATGCTTTGGAATGTACACAAGAGCGAACAACTTCAAAACACATCTGCTAGCTTTCTTCAATGCCTGGCTTCACTGCCGTGCCAAATACACTCTCAACACCCCGTGCTGCCGTAACCACCATCACTCCCTGCAGCTTTGCCCGGGACAGCCCGTCAGCCAGGCACACAGGCTCAGGCACACAGTGCGTGCAGCAGCACAGTGCCGCTACAACACGCACACATCAGCACTAGCTTTCTCCTTCGCCTGTCTGCTCTGCCACAGATTCACTGCGCTCATCCCCTGGTGCTTCCGCCACCGTCACTCCCCGCAGCTCTGCTCTGGACAGCCCGTCGGCCAGGCGCACGGGCAGGGCAACTTCTACCCACGGCGGCTAGCTTTCCCAACGCCTCTCTGCTCTGCCAAAGAGCCACTTTGCTCTCCACCCACTGCTTCTGTCACCGTCACTCCCCGCAGCTCTGCTCTGGACAGCCCATCGGCCAGGCGCACGGGCTCGGGCACGCGGTGCTTGCAGCAGCGCTGCGTGATGGCCACTGCTGATTGCAAGGAGACCCGGTGGCCCACTGATACATACACTGGGTCGTGACTGCCAGGTCCGCCCCGCACCAGCTGAACGCACATGTGCAATGAGAAAGGGGGAACGTGGAAAGGCAAATGCAGAAAAGGGAAGGAGGTAGGGGGGAAGCGGGCTGAGACATGGGCTTGGGCACACGGTGCTTGCAGAGGCGCTGTGCAGTAGCGGCTGCTGCGGTGATGGCTGCCCGGCACCCCACCGCCACAAACACCAGCGCCGTGGGCGCCGTGACTGCCCGGCCACCCAGCACCAGCTCATGCCAGGTGTGCCGTGTGGGGGATAGGGGCTAAGGGAGCGAGGAGGGGACCGGGAAGGAGAGGGGGGTCGGGAAGAGTGGGAAGTGGAGGAAGGGGAGGAGGGCGACAGGCGTAAAGTGTGGGGTGAGGGGGGGTTGTGGATGGGACCATGATGTCACATGTGAGAAACCGATGCGGTTCAGGCAGCGTGGGGAGCGGCACTCACGGCGGCATGTGTGGCACCACTAGCGCCTGTGAGTGCTGCCCAGTCGCCCGGCTGGTGCAGATGCTGCTGCTTCAAGCCGCCCACCTGCTCGTCCGTCATGCCATCCATGTAATACATCTGATGATGCAAGACGAAGGGGTGGAGTCCGAGGGGAAGGGATGGGTTCAAAGATGCCTGAGAAGTCACATGCGCATCCACCATGTCATCAGGCACGGCATGCTTCCATCATCCTTACAGCTGAAGTGTGCATGGGGGCACGAGGCATGGTGTATGGCATGGTGCATGGGTCATGGGCGTGCGTGCTCGAAAAAACATGGCATGCGGGGCATGGCACACATAAGGCATGGTACAGGTGGCATGCATGCTGTGCAACTCTCACGTTCTTGGCGACGCCAATGGTGGGCACGTCTGCCTGCACGCCCAGCTGACACGCCAGCCCAAAGCCTGCATGCACGGGAGGGATGTGGGGGGGGGGGGCATAGACATGGAAGGAGTGAGGAGAGGAACTAATAAGAGTGAGGGTGAGAGAGAGTGGTGTGTGGGACGGTACATGCAGGCGTGACAGACATCAGTACAGCCCAGCACGGTGTGGCATGGCATGGCATGGCATTGCATTGCATGGCATGCCATGGCTTGGAATTGCACAGGGGCTTACCCTGCGGATGGAAGATGCCGTTGCCATCCACCATGATGACCTGTGGGCGGTGAACCAATGGGAAATTGCCATGTGGCAGAAATTATGGGATCAGACTTAGCAAGCCTGAATTGTGATTCCCATCCCCTAATGCACCCGTCTCGTTCTCCTGCTCAGCTTTCCCCCCTCCCTTTTCTCACCACTCCTTCCCGTCCCTCATCCATCCCTTCCCATCCCTCATCCATCCCTTCCCATCCCTCATCCATCCCTTCCCATCCCTCATCCATCCCTTCCCATCCCTCATCCATCCCTTCCCGTCCCTCATCCATCCCTTCCCATCCCTCATCCATCCCTTCCCATCCCTCATCACCCGCTCCCATCCCGCATCACCCCCACCTGTGGCACGAGGTGCGGGAGCGTGTCCCTGAGGCGGCGGATGAGCCCCTCCAGCACACCACACTGCCGGCACGGAGGGGCGAGAGGGGGAGGTGGCGGAGGGAGGAGCACAGTGGGGGCATGACGGACAGAGAGCACCGGCGACAGAGAAGGCGGAGGAAGGAATGGGAACCAGGGGGAGTAGGCGGAGGGAGCGGTAAGAGGGGACAGAGTGCTGACGACACAGAAACGGGACAGAGAAAGGCGACAACACACGCAGAAACTCGAAGCCTTTCACACCGCACCGCCCTCCTCTGCGTCCCGTCTCAATCCCTCCGCACCTCTCTGAACGCCAGAAAGCCGGGAATATACGGCTGCGTGACGCGGGTGAGCGCGAGTTCGTGGTGCAGCAGGCGCAGGCTGGGGAAGGCAACAACTGTGAGGCACGCCGCCGCCAGGTCCGGGTCGCGCCGGTGGAAGCTCACGTCCACGCCGCCCACCAGCGCCAGGGGAGGTCTTATCTGGGGTGGATGCACCGGGGGCGGCAGTATTGGGGAAAGCTGTATTTGGGACAGCTCCACATTCCCCGCTCCCTCCACCTTCTCCGCATTATCGGATCTCTCCGCCATCTCCGCATTCCCCGGAGCATGCAGGAGCGGCGGCGGCTGGCAGTCGAGCGCGTCGCCAACGACCAACCGCTGACGCAGACGATGCTGCTCCTGGCGCCACGTGTCCTTGAGTTGCCTCATCTGCGCCTCGGCTCCTGCAACTGTCGCCTCCTCGCGATCTCGCGCGCTAGCTGTCGCTGAGTCAGCATCTGCCGTTGCGAAAGAATCGCGCGCTGCACTCGGCGGCAGCAAACGCACGGCGTCATCAGCGTCGCCCTGGACGCGTCGCCGCGACGACTCGGTGGAGCCTCGGCGTGCTTCCGACGATGTGGCGCTCGTCATTCCGTTCACCAAGCGTGGCAGTAGACCAGGAATAACTACCAGGAACTGGATAATCTTGTGAACTTGCCTGGGCTTGCTAAATGCTGGCGTGCTCTGCAGGTACTTCGTTTTCTGCAGGTTCCATCCAATAAGCGCTTTTCTCGCGTAACTTACACGCAATTGTTCGAACGCGCGTATATCGAACGTGAAGGTGCACTAAGGCGTACAACAAAACTCGTCAAAACCCTTCGAGAATTGGTCGTGCGTGGCTCTCATAAAAAACCCTTTCCAAGGACATGAAACTTGCCAGGTCTCAAGGTCTGGTTCATTCAAGCCGAGCCTTGAGAAGTCTGTGCACAGCACATTCTTCATTTGACGGCCGAACATGAGCGCGACGCGGGATGGAATCTAAATGGCATCTTGCAATGAACGACTCAGATCAAGGATTCCAGAATATTTCTCAGATGTGTTTCCACAGCCAATAAAGATTAACAATGTAAAACGCCATGCTGGCAGGAAGCCCAGTCACAATGCAGTTGAAACATAGACTAAGGTCACGTGGCAAGCCGTACCTGGAGCATATTTCGCTAGATGGTAAACTCCACACCATGAATGCAGAAGCCTTTTCCTGTTTTGTGATGACCCGAATTCGAAAAACATTTCTTCGTTGGCTCAAGAAAAAGGTGACGACTGCGGGCACCATCCCTGAGCTCTCCAAACTCAAACAAACACTCTATTCCTCACTCACAACGTGGTACTTTTAACCATCAAATGTCCCTTGCTGTCGTTTGGGATAACATTAGCCCTCATAATCATCCATTTGCTTCTAGACCGCCTTGCTGCAGAAAGGCGAACCGTGTGGCGCGGTTCCAGGCTTGGTTGGGGGTGACAAAGCACGCATTCACGGATCAATTCTCCATCACCAATTCACTCGTCCTTATGCTTACAAATAGGCTGCAGCCACTTCAACCTTAATAAGCGTAATAAGTCTGTCGTAGCTTAAGTGCAGTTCAGCTTAGAAGCAAGCTCCAGCTTCTAATGCACGTTGCCCCGTACATCTGGTGAACTACATTGATACTCTATTGGGCCTCTTGGCGAGTGCTGGTGAAAGTTAGCCGCCATGGCCGTTGTAATGCCCGTACATTCGTACACATGGATATTCGTCATGACCATGCTCTTCGCGTTTTTGGACGCCTACTCCATTGGTACGCGACATTGTCGAGTTCCCTACATTCTCTTGTCATTCCTGTCGTCTAACTTCCCGACCCGTCACAAGTGCCTGGGTCGTTAAATTCTCGCTGACTTTCTTCTTTCTTTCACTGTTTTTTGTAATCGCAGGTGCCAATGACGTCGCCAATTCCTTCGCCACGTCCGTCGGGTCACGGTCCCTCACCCTCGCCCAAGCGGTCTGCATCGCCCTTTTCACGGAATTCGGAGGAGCAATTGCGCTTGGTGCAACCACAACCAAGACAGTGAAAGACGGAATTATTCAGACGAAACTCTTCGACAGTCGGCCCGACCTTCTAATGTCGGGGTTCATGTGCGCTCTGGTCGCATCGTCCTCATGGGTCATGCTTGCGACGTACCTAGGCATGCCCGTGTCCACTACACATTCCATTATCGGCGCGCTTATTGGAATCGGCGTTAGCGCGTACGGCGTGGACGCCGTGAACTGGGGCTGGAACGGCAAGGGCGTGGCGCAGATCGCGACGTCGTGGGTGCTCGCGCCGACGCTGGCCGGTATCCTGGCAGCTATCATCTACACCATTACGCTATACGCCGTCATGAAACGCAAAAACTCCCTCCGCGCAGGCATCTACGCCATTCCAGTCTACTTCACCATCACCACCTTCGTCGTGTCGTTCTACGTCGCGACAAAGAACGGCAAGTCGACGCTCGACTTCAAGCCCTCTACCACCGGCGGTGCCATCAAGGTCAGCGGCAACGTCGCCCTCGCGTTCGGCATCATCGGCGGGGTTACCGGTGCGATGCTCATCTTCTGCGTCGCATTCCTCGTGCCCTTCTTCATCCGACGGCTGGAGAAGGAGGAGAAACTCAGGTGGTACCATCTGTTCTTCATCTGGTGCGTGCCGGAGCAGCCGCAGGACCCGAAAATCGACCTCTATCTGAAGCGCGCTTTTACGCCACAGCTGCTGAGCGACGACGAGAAGAAGGAACTGGGAATGCCCGTGGAGGATCCCGAGGACATTAAGGAGAAGGAGATTGAGAAGCCCGTGCCTAAGAACCCGGTCGTGCGCTTCGTCAATCACATGAAGCTGCTGCTGTGGCGGTCGATCTTCATGGACGTCGCGAGCCTGCAGCACGACAACAAGGGCGCGGTGCGCGCGCACGAGGTGGCGATCCTGTACGACAACAAGACGGAGTACCTCTACTCCATGCTGCAAGTCATCACCGCCGCGTTCGCGAGCTTCGCGCACGGTTCCAACGACGTCGCGAACGCGCTGGGGCCCCTGGCCGGAGTGTACCAGATCTGGGAATCGGGAACGTTCAAGTCGGACGCGAGCGTGCCCACGTGGATGCTCGCGTACGCCGGTCTCGCGCTCGACTTTGGCCTCGCCTTCTGTAAGTCGCCCCTGCCGTGCCATGGCACTTTTTGTGTGCCTCTACCCTGCACTGCCCACCGCGGCCTCTGCCCTGCGCCAATGCCTCACTGCCTCTGCCTCTTGCCCACTTCGCCTCTGCCTCTGTCTCTCCCTTTCTGCCTCTCTTCCCCGTGCCTGACGCTGCTGCCGGCATCCGGTCGCGCGTCTGCGCTTGTCATTCACTGCGATCATCTCCCTCCCTATCCCTTGCTGCAGACGGTTACCACATCATGCGAAGCCTGGGCAACAACATCACGTACCACTCGCCGTCGCGCGGGTTCTCCATGGAGCTGGGCGCCGCGCTCGCCGTCATCACCGCATCCTTCCTAGCGTTACCGGTCTCCACCACTCAGTGTATCGTGGGCGCGACCGTCGCCGTGGGGCTGTGCAACGGGAATTGGCGGGCCATCAACTGGAGCATGGTGGCCGTGGCTGGGTTTGGTTGGATTCTCACGCTCCCCCTAGCGGGTTCCTGCTCGGGTCTGCTGTATGCGGTCATCACGCGCGGGCCCAGCTTCACCATGCCGCCGGGCATGTAGGCTGGCGGCAACGATAGCGTGTAGGATTATGCTTTTGGGGTTCATTAGATAGGAGGGTTAGTTGGTCCATAAAGTCCCCTGGTTATAAGAACGTTAGCCTTGTAACGAGTACCTTGAGAAAGGCACTAGCAATTTTGACTCGTGAGCCCCAGATTTTCTCTGATACCGTACACACCAAACTGTAAGCCAGCACCCCTGCACATGGGTAAGGACAATGATCACTCCACTCATTGTTCTACTCCTATGCTCCACTCCTTAGTAACCAGCCCTCCTATGTCCATGTGGAAAGTGATCCAGTAACACACGGTTGTGTCACCCCAATGTGGTAGTGTGATGTTCCATGGCTGGTTGTGTCACCCCAATGTGGTGTGGTGTTTTAGGGCTGGGTGAGCACAGCTGCCGTAGTTAACCATTTCGCGCCTTGTTTTATTCCACAGCATGCATACCGTACGTACACCATACATACATCTCTGAAAGCCTAAATCAAGCCAACTGCAGGAACACCCTTACAGAGTCCTTGCCTCAAGCCCTGGGTGTCAAAATGCTGCAGAGCCAGTCACTGTGCAGCCAATTGTGACAATAAGGGAGGGTACATCGGGAACTGCCTCAGGAACCTGAAATCCTCATCAGTCTGCAAATCTTCCAAGGAGAGCCAACCAATAGCTGCCAGCCTGGCGAGAATGTCTGCTGACTCAGCAAGAGGGCCTACCAGCGCAGCGGCACACGCCATGTTGTAGAGCCCACTGCACTGGTCTGCATATGTCATGCCATCTGAGGCTGGTTGGGGTGAGAGGAGCGGGTTGGGGGGACGAACGGGGTAGGGGCGTGGGGGAATTAGGTATTGATCCGGTGATTCGAGGCAATCTTGCATAGTGTGCTGTGCACATGCAGGACGCAGAAGGTATGAATGCATTGCATAGATGGATGGATAAGGAAAGAGGAACAGCCCACACCTTTCATTGCCACTGCAGCATCACGGTATGATGACATGGCACGGTGCAAGTGGTCCACCACTTCTTGAGGCAGAGATGCTGCCACCTCAGCACCCATGTCGTCTCCCCCACCCTCCCTGCTGCCATCACTGCCGCCCCTCTCCCTGCCCGCCGCCCGCCCCATAAGCAGCCGGGCGGCAGACAGGTGCACATCTGCCGCCCCCAGGAGCGCCTCTGGGTGGCGAGAGTCGATTCTTAGGGCGGCAGAGAATCCGCGGGAGAGAGAGAGGGAGAGCAGGTGCAGTGCCTCTTGTACGTTTGTGGTTGAACACGCTGATTGGCCCCCTTGGATACGTAACGTTTCCCCTCGTGCAGATAGCACCTCCCCCTGCGCAGATAACACCTCCCCCAGAGCCAGACGGGAGGCGATATCTGTAGGCTGAAAATCGGCTGCCCTTTGAAGCTTCTCCGCAGCTTCTGTCAGAAGCCGAACCTCCTGGTCAGGCTCGGGGCAGCGCTGTAAGAGGTCGGCAGGGGAGAGGAGGGAGGGAAAGAGAGAGAAGAGCGGGTGTGTGCAATGAAGCAGTTGAGGAATACTGTGACATGCTGTTGCGGGAAAACATGCCCCCCATAGATGCTACTACGGTGGTGGGGGTGGCTGCTCTGCCCTCACCCCTCACCTCACAGCAGCCTCACCTGCGCAGCGGACAGCAGCCCCACGCCCCAGTTGTGCAGCAGCCCTGGCAGGTCGTCCCCCACCCGCGCGTCACACCGCGAGCACGCTGCGCCGTACGCCCCCATGCCCCGCTCGTACTGCCCCCACGCCCCCGCCCATGCTGCCCCCGCCCCCTCGCCCACTGGCCGCTCTGGACACTGGTGGGGGGAGCAAGACGGACGACAAGGGGGAAGGGGATTGGGGTAGGGAGGGAAGGGAGGATGGCAAGGGATGCCCGGTAGCTGCAGCGAATGGGCATTGCCTGTGACATTGACATGACAGTGCTGCTCACAGCCTCGCACACACAGTCAGTCTCACCAGCAGCTCAGCGGTCTTGACAGCACAGTCCCCCAGGTTGGAGAGCAGGTCCGTGTCATTCGGTGCCGCTGCTGCTGCTGCATCGTACCGTGCTGCCGCTTCATGCAGCAGTTGTGCCGCCCTCACTCCGCCTTGCCTCGCCCGCTCCTGCTGCTGCTGTGCCTGCGCCTGCTCCCCCCCATCCACTGCCATACCCTCGCAATCTCTCCCCCCCCTGTCCTCTTCCTCCTCCACCTCCCCCACCGCCTCTGCCCATGCCACCAGCGCATTCGCGGCATTCACTGCTGCCCCTTGGACCATCTCCGCCACGTCAGCATCCCCCCAACCCACCCCCCCTCCCCTCCCTCTGCCTCCTCTCCCGCCTCCTCCGCTGCTGACGTCAGCGCCTGACTGGGCACCCCCTGCTGAGTCGGCAGAGAGAAGGGTGGGGCCCACATGGCATATCTCATCAAATGCCTCAAATGCGAGTCGGCATGAGTCAGCAGCTGACGTGGCAGCCTCCCTCTCCAGGCATTTCACCGCTTGCCACGTCAGCACAGGCTGACTCATCGGCCCCCCTGCCGCCCGTTTCCCGTCTGCTAGCTGCGCCTCCCCGAGCCCCAGATAAGCCTCCCCCATGTCAAACAAAACGGAGAGGCGGGCGGCGGGAGAGAGGGCGGGAGAGGAGAGGGCAGTGTGATAGTAACGAAGGGATGCTTCAAAGTGGTCCGTTGCTGGGCCCTTGGGAATGGTTGGGGCGGCAGTGGTGGTGACAGTAATGGGGGGACTGCTGCTGGTGATGATACTGCTGGTGCTATTGTGGGTTGCACCGCTGTTGTCACCTTTGAATACAGTCACAGCTGTGCTGCTGAGACGCCGCTGCCCCGCCTGCTTCCTCCTGCCAGCCTCTTATGAGGACGAGGGGGTGGAGGAGGAGGATGGGGAGGGGGAGGTGGAGCAAGGTTGTGAATAAGAATAACGGGGGGTGAGGAAGACAGAGCGGGAGTGGGGGAGGAAGCGAGACGAGGCGCGGGAGAAGGGAGCAAAAGGAGGGTGGGAGATCCGGGCGGCAAGTGGCACTCTAGTGTGGAACGTGCAGCCCCAACCCTCCACGCTCCGCCCTCAGCACCCTCCGTCCACCCTGTAAGGGTCTTCGGAGCTTCATCCAGCGCTCGTCCCCACTCCCTTCCCCCCCACCAACCCCCCACCCTCCCGCGCCCCGCGGCTCCCCTTAGCCCGCACCTTCCAGCAGCGACTGCAGCGCCTCTTCTTCCGCCGTCATCGCCCGCCCTTGCCCCCGCCGCCCGCCCCCGCGCGCACCTCTCTGCGCCTCCTCCATTCCCCGCGGCTGGCGCCCTCCGCCGAATCTACCGCCTCCGCCACCCACCTCCGCCTCTTGCCGGCGATTGCCCCGCCCCCACGCGCGCCCCCCGCGGGAAGCCATCCGTCAGTGTGAACGCACCGCGTGCTTGATGGCTGAATCAATTCACATCTGTGATCAACGGTGGGCAGCGCACGATGAGCTTTCAATCTGTACAAATCGACGGTCTGGCAGCTTCTGAGGTTCAGCCAACGAAATGCTGCGAGATTCTGCTAGGTTCGGGCTCGGCTCTGTTGCTTGGAATCGAAGACTAGCATATGGCGACTGAGATCAGTCCAGAACGCTGATTGGTGGGATTCGCGATACGATATCTGTCCTAGTGACGCGCGAAACGCCTCTCCCACGCCATCTAGCGTGTGGAACGGTGTAGTGCGGCTGGCGGATGGTGCATGTGGAGGGAATTCACCCGATACTGGCATCTGGGTTAGATGCGTCGAAAGCACTACCAACCTCGAAAACCTCAAAGTGACTATAACCAGTCTTTAATTGGTCATGCACCTATGCGCTACAAGTTTTTTACACATCACTATTTGCACTTCGGCCTACTTGGGGATTAGCTAGAACTAGAATTGACATTCCCCACAGCACAATCAATCACTGCGTGTTTGCACCATCTAATAAATCACATTGAAGCCCTGATGCCTTGGCAACAGGAGCCTGAGTCAATTCCCTCTCCCTCAGTCTCTGCTGACAGTTGAAGCGCAGCGACAGCATCACCTGCAAGCAAACCAGTGCAAATCCAGGTAGGAAAATTCATACATCACGTGAGTCCACCAATTAGCTGCGTGGGCCAAATATGTACGTACGGGCACTGTTTTCGATTCAATTCAATGCACTGCATTCACCTTGCGTTAAACCTGGCCCTGGAAAATGCACACACAGCCACTAGATGACCAGTGGAAGCATCCCACCTGTTGGTCCAAGTCCTCATAGTGAAACGGCACCGGACCAGGCACATCCAGCATTGAGATCCCACCTCTCCCATCTGCGCCCTCACTGCCCCCGCCCGCCTGCTCTGCATGAGCCCCTGTCGCCCCTGAAGCAGCCACAGGTGCAGCCTGGCCAGAAGCCACCTCCCCCAGGTACCACCTGAGGCGCTTCTCACAGTGCTCGCAGTGAGCATTGGTGCGGGTGGAGGCGTGGGCAGTGCGGGCGGAGCAGGGCAGCAGGCGGATGGACTGGAACAGCACGTACACTCGGAAATCCACCGCCACCGATGGGTGGGCAGACGTTGAAGGCGTGAGAGATGGCAGGTCCGATGGGAGCACGGGTGGGACGGTGCGCTGCTGTGAGGGGGACTTGCGGCGCGGCCAGAGGGAGAGGAGAGGCGGCAGGCACGAGCGGTAGGGCAAAGCAGCACCCCCATCCGGGTCGTCCTCTTGGGCATCATCCTCTCGCCTGCCCGAGTCGCTGCTGCTCGCCGCGTCCTCGTGATTGGCGCTGGAGGCCTTATTGCCATCCTCGTCATGCCCGGGTGAGTCAGCAGCATCACGCAGAGCGTGCGAGAGCAGTACGGGTCGAGTCAGCGGCGACAGGGCGCACGGGTGGGAGACGGAGGCCGGCAAGCACTGCACCCTGCAGGCTGCACCCGCCTGTTGGTCTGCTATGCTGCCTTCACCACCCGCTGGGCGCAATTCACCACCCGCTGGGCGCAATTCACCACCCGCTGGGCGCAATTCACCGTCTGCATCCGCTCGCTCCGCGGCGTGGCGAGGGTGGAAAGGCGAGGAGGGGGCCGATGAAAGGGAGTCGGTGTCTTGGTTGCTGCTCGTGTCGACAGCGTTGGAGCACGGGTCGAAGGAGAGAGCGAGCGCGGATGGAATGGGCAACCCGGCCCGCTCGTCCCGCCACCCCCACTCGTCCACCTCCTTCCATTCTTGCTCTGCCTGACCGACCTCCCCAGCCACCTGCTCCCTCCCACTCCCCTGCTGTTCATTCCCCCGCCTCCGCTGTTGCTGCTGCAGCTGCGCCACTCTCCGACCGCCTTGCGAATGCAGCTTCCCCATTCCCCTGCTTTTCATTCCCCCCCGCGCGCCCGTCGTCGGCGCAGTCATTTTCACCGCTGGGGAAGGCGCGCGGGAGCAGCACCACCACGCGCCGGTCACCGCGCGCCTGCGCTTCCCTCCCCTTCCCCGTGTCCCCACCATGTGCGCCTTCCTTTCCGCGTCTTCCGCCGGTCTGCATTCCGCGCGTGCCGCCTGCCGCCTTCCGCCGGCTTCCTTGACTCGTAGAGGATTTCCTCTCACGCGGCGCACAGCTCTGCGACCAGGTCCGTCGCGACTTTCTCGGCGGCTCTTGCGCCGGTTTAGGCGGTGCATTTCCAGCGGAGCAACTTGCGCGTGCCCCCGTCTTCACGTCCGCATCTCGCGGCAGCGCCGGGTCGCAGGTGAAGGGCGCGAATCGGCCCTGGCCCAGATGCCAGCCCTGGAACCAGTGGAGATTAATCTCCCCGGGCGAGTAGAAATACTCGGTGTATCCCAGCGACTGCCCCGCGACGCGCATCTCCACGCGGAACGGCGCGCGGAAGCTCGCTTGCGCCACCACCGTGAACGGCTCGCCCGCGCGGCACACCACCACTGCCTCCGTGGCGCTTGCGCCGCTCGGCGCGGCGCGTGATTCCGCGCTCTCTGAGGCGTTGGGCTTCTGGCGTGAAATGTGGCCGTTGGGCAATCGCGCGGTGGCTTCCGGAGGTCGCGCGGAGGTGTCACGTGCGCTGCTTGAAAGGCAGCTGATGAGACCGATCTCATAGGGGCTCATGGGACTGCTTGGGTCGCTGTTGCTGCTGCTGCTGCTGCTGCTGCTGCTGCCACTGCTGCCGCTGCTGCCGCCGCCGCCCTTGAAGGTTCCGCTTTCGCTGCTGCTGCGGCTGTTGATGGGGGTTTCGCTGCCGCTGCTACACCTGCCGGCGGATTGCGTCGCGGCGGCGACAGGCAAGGGAAGCGGGCTTCGAGGCTTATCTGCCGTAAAAGTGGCGCGCGGCGCGACGGTGGGAAGGGATAGCTCCAGCATGGCGCGAGCGTCGCCGTCCAGGACGGTGACGCTGTACGCAACGTCATCGTGAGTCACGATCATGGCGACCAATCCTATTGAAGAAGCGTAATCCTACGAATTAGATGGTTCAAAGAGATCGACGCAATGTACTTTCGAGTCTTGAGGAGTATTCCGCAAGCGGCCGTTAAAAAGACGTGAACATTGCAACGTAATGTATCAGCAACACAAGCGACACCTGCAAAGCGAAATTCTTCAGGCGCAGGTCCTCCCTCACACCTGCGATGCTATTCTCTGCTGCGTTATCTTGGTCGAGTATGCTACGCGCAAAAAAATCAAATGGTCGGTCGCTCGTCGGCTGAGGCAGCAAGGCGAAGTGCGTTTGAGTGGTGATGGCAGCATGGCAGCCTTGGGAGGGACGGACACCCACCAGGGGGAGAACAGCGACGCGGGGTGACTCCCGCTAGCAATATGCCCCCCCTACTCTGAATGCTTCCACAAATTCGCCCCTTCTCTGCTTACTCGCCCCTCGCTGCCTGCGGTGAGTAAACTCGCCCCTTCCCCACAAATCCGCCCTTGAGCCAAAGATTTCCGCCCCAGAATACTGTTGCCTTGCAGTACTCCCGCAAACTAGCTGCCAGCCAGAGAGACGCTCCGATGTTCCCAGAATCTTGGTGGAGATCTCTGAACTTGCAGGGGCGCAAGGGAACGGTCAGGATGGCCTCTGAGTAACCCGAGGCGGTCCTGGTACGGGGCAATTCGGTATGAAGATGTCGATCACCGAACCTGCCGTGACCAAACTGACGGCGTGGATGCAATTCCCAACGATTTCTGAGGTTGAGTCTGATGTTCAAATGACGAAGCACAACGGCTGGTCAATAAATTCAGCCAAGCTCACCAGTCCAGGTCTGCCTGCACCAAGGGGGAGGAAAAGGGACACTCGCGCGCCTCGTCGTTGATGCGAGCTGCAAGGCCAATTTGCAGGAACAGATCGTGGTAGAACTGTACTCATATAATGAGCTCCCATGTAGACGGATTATTGAAAATACATATACGCTACATGCCCCGACAGGTGTTGATGCAATAAGTTTCCATTTAGTTTGTTTTTTCATCTAAAATCCATCACCAACAATTGCTCATTTGTTTGTTTTTTTTTTGTTTTTTTTTTTTTGGAGAAGGAAAATGAAACTCCCAAAAAGAACCCAAATGCAACACACATAAAACCCCCCCTCAAGATACCCAATCAAAACGCCCAGTCAAGACACCTCATCAAGACATCCCATCCCACGCCTCATCCCCCCCCCCCCCCAATCACATCAACGTATCGACCATGTATGGGGCCTCCACCCAGAGAGCCCCGCCTTTCACATCGACATCGTCCCTCTCCCGATCCGCCAAATCTACGTTAATCCCCCCCATGGAAGACGCCGCTCGAAGCAGGATGACACGGGCTTGCGCACGTTGTAACGCCACCCCGATGAGCGCCTTCAGTGACCCTAAAAGATAAGCCGAAAAAACAGAGTCGTCCTCTCGACAAGCCCCCCGCGACATAGCTAGCCCCACGTGCGCATCCCCCTGCTGACAAAGCCACCGCTGAAAACGACCGCCGAGACACCCCCACGTCTCAACTATCAAAGGGGTGAACTGCACGCCCCGATTGCGTGCAAGCAGAGGCGCGTAATCACTCGTTTTGCGACGCTCCCATTCCCTTGCCGCCACGCCTATTTGACGCCCGCACTGTCCCAGCAGTGATGGAGACAGCGATAGCGGGTCCGCGACGCTGATCTCTAGGGCGTGAGCCTCTCCAGCCATTGGACGTCGCACCGCCACATCAACCCGCTTCCCTTGCAGCACCACACTATCCTCCAATGTCACCACCCCCGCCGACGCCTTAGAGATCTTCGCCACCGCAAACTTCACCTCGTCATGCACCTAAGAAGGACCATGGTGGTGCCTGCATCTCAGGGCATGGTGCGGGTCTGCTGGGTCAACATACGCTGTGCCACAAACACACCTCCCCGCCACCTGCAGCTGCTGAATTGGGAGGCCGAGCCGTATAGCAGCAGCAATGCCCCACTCAGCCGCAGTGAATGTGAGATCTGAGTGAGCCGGAACCGCCGAAACCCATGCACCTGCCCCCGGGCCCTAAAGGGATGTGAAACGGGCCAAGGTAGCATCGTCACGAGCCAAGCGGCGCAGTGCTTGGAGCTCCTCTACAGCTAACTGCCGTTGACGCGCCTGGAAAAGCCGAACAGGAGGGGCCGCTACACACAGAGGTAAGCCCGGTATCTCGTGGCGGATAGTCGCTGGCAGCTGCTCGAGAGCCTTGACAAACCACGGGTCAAGAAACTCTGCCCCTGTCGAAGTGGTGAGGTACTCAGCAAACATCGCCTCCTCGCCCGCCACCCCTAACTGTGCAATGTCCCGCGCGGCCTGCGCCCACCCGCAAACTTAGGACAGTGGGCTCAAAGAGGCCGCCGCCCGGATCCCGAACCCACCGAGACGCACAGGTAGATGCAGCTGCATGCCTGCGCGCCTAGACCGGTCGGGGTCCTGCTCCCAAGTGCCAGGTGGGAAAAGCTGCTCAAAGCAATCCTCTAAACAGCTGTCCCAATCCCTAAAAGCCTCAACCACCTCCGGACGCGGCAGCATAGTCCGGGCGAGGTACATCGGCCGCGCTGAAACTGCAATGGCGAGGAGGTGTGAAGCCGTCTGGGGGTGGTCGAGCAAGGGGAGCCATGGCAGTGGCGCCTGCAACTGTCGAAGCCGCTCCCGTAGCCGGACCACCTCCCAAACCTCCTCTCCAATAGGCACGCCCACCACAGTAAGACCCTCATCCACCCGCTGCATCCCCAATGGCAGTGTCCGCTCCACCCCCTTGCCCTCTCGCTCCCAAAACCGGCACTTGTGCGCCTGCACCTCCAGCCCCACCCACTCCAACCGCTCCCGCAGCACCCCAAAAGCCTCCAGAATCCTAGCCGCTGGCCCCAAAATATAGGTATCGTCTGCATAGCTGAGGAAAAGCAGGTCCTTGAACTCCCTAGTAATCGGCTCCATCACTTGCTGCTGCGTGAATGCGAAAAGAAAAGGGCCGAGCGGGTCCCCCTGCCTCGATCCCCGTGCTGACTCGAGGCTCTTTACGAAAGGGCCTGCTTGGAGGTACAGGTCGCTAGGTGTCCCATAAAAGACACGCAAGAATGGGATCATCCCTGAGAAAGGCGACTCCCGCAGCCCATCGAACATCACATGACGGTGAAACGAATTGAAGGCGTTTGCGACGTCTATCTGTAGCGCACACCAGTCGGGGTGAAGTGGCCAGCACTGACCGGAAAGATGAGTGAGAATCTCCGCCCCGACCCGGGTGCCCGCTCCCAGCTGGTTGCATGGCAGGAAGTAGGAAACCATCGCAGGGCGGAGCGAGATGCAGAGAGCACGAGCAAGGATACGAGGAAGCACCTCCCCGATCGCCACCGGCCGGACGTCGCCGTTAGGCTTGGAAAGCCGGACTAGGTTGGATGCGGCGAGCCACGGCCGAGCCCGCTCGGGGACCTGTCCCGCCACCCATTGGTTGAACACTTCCAACAGGTGGGAAAGGCAGGTAGGTTCAGTGAGGAAGGTGTTGCGCAGATGCTTTGTGACCCACCCTGATGGCCCTGCTGCTGAGGCTCGAGCGGCTGTATGGATAGCTCTGGCCACGATGTTGGTCGTGAGTGTAGGCCGCTGAGCGGTATCGATGGTGAAATCGCGGACCCACTGTGGTAAACTCGCCTGCGCTAGCCGGGTGCTTCTCTCGCAGCGACTGCACCATGACCTCAGACGGTCGAGCCAACTCCCCTGCTGTAAGGCAGGCCAATCCTCGGCTCCACTCCCCCACTTTGCACCGAGATCGGCACCGTGACAGGCGGATGGCATCCGGATCCTGGTCAGAGCGAGTGTAGGAAAGTGGGCGAACTGCTGGCCGCGCTGCCGCCATGGCAGAGTCGAGCAGCTCCCGCCACCTCCCCTCCCATAACGCACCCAACTGCTCTGTGATCAGCGCCTTCTGACCTATGCCTGGCTTTGGAGGCATGGCTAGGATGAGGCGCGGAAACGCCAAGAGTAGGAGGGTAGCGGCTTGATCTCCCGGCTGGCTCTTCAAGCGCTTAAGGATGCAACAGAGCGCGTCTAAGACCCCCGACCTGGCCCGCTGTGGGATCCGGCGAACTGTCCTCCCTCCAACTGCCTCCAAACTGAAAAATGTTTCCCATTCCCATGACGTAACCCCAGCCCACGCCTCCTCCCCAAATTCCCGCAGCGTCGATCGCTCCTGCGTGTCGGTCTCCACCAGAGACGGAATCGAGCCGAGAGCCTGTGCACGCCTCTCCGCCTCAGCCGCTCGGCATACCCTAATGTGGTTCGCTGCGCCCCCCCGCGTAGCGAAAGTGTGGAAACACGTGTCGCACGGGAAGCGGGGGCATGAGGAAGGCGGCAAGGGAGGTTCTTCGTCCGCCTCTAACTCCTCCGCAGTCGCCATGGGGGTATCAAGCTCCAGAAGTCGACACCACTCCTCCAACTGTTGCTCCTGGTCGTCCATCGATCGCCCCCCTGCTTGCTGCGCTCCTTGGGGTGCCTAGGGCACCCTCGGCTGCCCCCCTGGCTGCTGCACTCCTTGGGGTGCCCCGGTCACCCTCGACTGCCCCCCTGCCTAATGCTCTCCTTGGGATGCTCTGGGCACCCTCGGCTGCCCTCCTGCCTGCTGCACTCCCTGCCCTCCTGCCTGCTGCATTCCTTGGGGTTCCCCAGGCACCTTCGGCTGCCCTCCTGCCAGCTGCACTCCCTGGGGTGCTCCGGTCACCCCCAGCTGCTCCCCTGCCTGCTGCTCGCCCTGGGGTGCTCGGGTCACCCCCGGCTGCCCCCCTAGCTGCTGCTCTCCCCGGGGTGCTCCGGTCACCCCCAGCTGCCCCCCAGCCTGCTGCTCTCCCTGGGGTGCTCCAGGCATCCTCGGTTGCCCTCCTACCTGCTGCACTCCCTGGGGTGCCCCGGGCACCCTCGGCTGCCCTCCTGCCTGCTGCACTCCCTGGGGTGCCCCGGGCACCCTCGGCTGCCCTCCTGCCTGCTGCACTCCTTGGGATGCCCCGGGCACCCCCGGCTGCCCTCCTGCCTGCTGCACTCCCTGGGGTGCTCCGGGCACCCCTGGCTCCCCACCTGCCCACTGCACTCCCTGGGGTGCCCCGGGCACCCTCGGCTGCCCTCCTGCCTGCTGCACTCCCTGGGGTGCTCCGAGCACCCCCGGCTGCCCCCCTGCCTGCTGCACCCCCTAGGGTGCCCCGGGCACCCCCGGTTGCCCCCCTGCCTGCTGCACTCCCTGGGGTGCCCCGGGCACCCTCGGCTGCCCTCCTGCCTGCTGCACTCCCTGGGGTGCCCCGGGCACCCTCGGCTGCCCTCCTGCCTGCTGCACTCCCTGGGGTGCCCCGGGCACCCCCAGCTGCCCCCCTGCCTGCTGCACACCCCGGGGTGCCCCGGGCACCCCCGGCTGCCCCCCTGCCTGCTGCACTCCCTGGGGTGCCCCAGGCACCCCCGGTTGCCCCCCTGCCTGCTGCACTCCCTGGGGTGCCCCGGGCACCCCCGGCTGCCCTCCTGCCTGCTGCACCCCCTGGGGTGCCCCGGGCACCCCCGGCTGCCCTCCTGCCTGCTGCACTCCCTGGGGTGCCCCGGGCACCCTCGGCTGCCCTCCTGCCTGCTGCACTCCCTGGGGTGCCCCGGGCACCCCCAGCTGCCCCCCTGCCTGCTGCACTCCCTGGGGTGCCCCGGGCACGCCCAGCTGCCCCCCTGCCTGCTGCAATCCCTGGGGTGCCCCGGGCACCCCCTGCTGCCCTCCTACCTGCTGCACTCCCTGGGGTGCCCCGGGCACCCTCGGCTGCCCTCCTGCCTGCTGCACTCCCTGGGGTGCCCCGGGCACCCCCAGCTGCCCCCCTGCCTGCTGCACTCCCCGGGGTGCCCCGGGCACCCCCGGCTGCCCCCCTGCCTGCTGCACTCCCTGGGGTGCCCCAGGCACCCCCGGTTGCCCCCTTGCCTACTGCACTCCCTGGGGTGCCCCGGGCACCCCCGGCTGCCCTCCTGCCTGCTGCACCCCCTGGGCTGCCCTCTTGCCTGCTGCACTCCCTGGGGTGCCCCGGGCACCCTCGGCTGCCCTCCTGCCTGCTGCACTCCCTGGGGTGCCCCGGGCACCCCGAGCTGCCCCCCTGGCTGCTGCACTCCCTGGGGTGCCCCGGGCACGCCCAGCTGCCCCCTTGCCTGCTGCGCTCCCTGGGGTGCCCCGGGCACCCCCTGCTGCCCTCCTGCCCGCTGCACTCCCTGGGATGCCTTGGGCACCCTCGGCTGCCCTCCTGCTTGCTGCGCTCCCTGGGGTGCCCCGGGCACCCTCAGCTGCCCTTCCTGCCTGTTGCACTCCCTGGGGTGCCCCGGGCACCCTCAGCTGCCCTTGCGGAGATTAACTCTACAATGGTAGTGAGCTAGACTACAGGGGTTGGCACGAACTACTAGAGGTGATCTTAGCTTTGCTTGGTTCCTTAGTGTTTGCACATTCACGGAAGAATTTTGGCAAAAGTTTTCACTAGCAAAGTTAGAATTCCAGAATGATAGATCAAGCAAACTTACAACAATGACTACATCAGGCACCTAGCAACCCTGCTGCTAGCCTGGTCGACCGCCAGCACAGCTCGGTCGACCGCCTGCCAGCGTTGCGTAGAGGAGCTGCGCCAGCACTGTGGAAAGACGACCTGCCAACAGAGCAGGGCGGCGGCGTGCCAACATTGTAGCAGAGCGGCTGTCCAGCGTTGCCCCGTAGAACACAGCTGTGCGCGCAATCGCAGATGCGCGCAGACGATTGGCCCGACTTGCCTTGTTGGGCATCCGTCGGCTGTTGTCTGCGCCTGAAGAGCCACATCGACTTCGGGATACCAGCCCGAAGTCGCCTGCCCCATCGCTGATCTCGACGACGTTCGCGTGCCTCCGCAGAACTCGTCGAGCAGGTTACCCGGTAGACCTGGTCGACCCTGGTGCTCTGGTCGACTCCCAGGTGCCTCCCGTCGACTACTGGGTCCATCTGGTCGACCACCGGGCGCTCCTGGTTGACCACACCTCCCGTCAAGCTACCCCTTGGTCGACGGACCCCTTCCATCGACCAGAACTGCTCCGGCGACCTCCCGGTCGAACTGCAGTTCGACGGGATGCTCCGTTGAGCTCCCGGTCGAGCTGCAGTTCGACGGGATGCTCCATAGACCTCCCCGTCGAACTGTAGGTCAACGGACTGCTTCGTCGACCTCCCGGACGGCTCACCCGTCGCCCAGGCCAGTCAGTTGCAGCTGTCGAGCATCCTGGTCGACAGCAACACCACAGCGGTCCGCTGCAGCTCGTCGTAACCTGTCGAGCAGCTATCCCACTGTGAGCGGTCGGCTGCTACTCCCGTACATCCGACCAAGTTGTCGGCGTTGCCCAAGCGAGGGCGGGGCCAACACTCCATTCCCGTTAACAGCCCTCCTGCCTGTTGCACTCCCTGGGGAGCCCCGGGCACCCCCGGCTGCCCCCCTGCCTGCTGCACTCCCTGGGGTGCCCCGGGCACCCTCGGCTGCCCTCCTGCCTGCTGCACTCCCTGGGGTGCCCCGGGCACCCCCTGCTGCCCTCCTGCCTGCTGCACTCCCTGGGGTGCCCCGGGCACCCTCGGCTGCCCTCCTGCCTGCTGCGCTCCCTAGGGTGCCCCGGGCACCCTCAGCTGCCCTCCTTCCTGCTGCACTCCCTGGGGAGCCCCGAGCACCCCCGGCTGCCCCCCTGCCTGCTGCGCTCCCTGGGGTGCCCCGGGCACCCTCAGCTGCCCTCCTGCCTGCTGCACTCCCTGGGGTGCCCCGGGCACCCCCGGCTGCCCCCCTGCCTGCTGCACTCCCTGGGGTGCCCCGGGCACCCTCGGCTGCCCCCCTGCCTGCTGCACTTCCTGGGGTGCCCCGGGCACCCCCGGCTGCCCCCCTGGCTGCTGCTCTTCTTGGGGCGCCCCGGGCACCCAGGGTTGCCCCCCCACCCGCGGAGCTCCCGGGGGTGTCTCGGTCGCCCCCGGCTGCCCCTCCGCCCGCTGGGCGGCAGCTCCGCTTCTATTTCGGCCTTGCGTCTTACGAGCGTGTCGTCTCCCGCCTCGGCCCCGTGCCCGGGTTCTCTTCGCTTGGCTTGTAGGGTCCACACTAGCGACCTCCAGCTGCCCCCGCGCCGGCAACTCCCGCCGCTCCCCCTCCGGCAGTTCCTGCTGCCCTCCCTCCGACAGCCCCAGCTGCCTCTTGTCGGCAGCTCCTGCCGCTCCTCCCCCGGCAGCTCCTGCTGCCCTCTTGCCTGCAGCCGGACCTAGTTCCATGATTGGTCCTGCTGCACCTCTGGCAGTAGCTCGGCCATCTCCACATCCACCGCTTGCTGCTCCCTTGCTGGCAGCTGCCCCACCCCCGGCGGCTTCTGCTGCTCTTCCCTTGGCAGCTCAAGCTGCTCTCCCCCGGGCGGCCCCTGCTGCCCTCCTGCCTGTGGCCAGGCCTGGTTTCCCGTTTGGTCCTGCTGTGACTCTGGCTGTAGCTCGGCCATCTCCACTTCTACCGCTTGCTGCTCCCTTGCTTGCTGCTCCCTTGCTGGCAACTCCTGCTGCTCTTCCCTTGGCAGCTCTCGCTGCTCTCCCCCGGGCGGCTCCTACTGCCCTCCTGCGTGTGGCCAGGCCCGGTTCCCCGAGTGGTCCTGCTGCACCTCTGGCTGTAGCTCGGCCATCTCCACTTCTACTATTTGCTGCCCCCCAGCCGGCAGCTCCTGCTGCCCTCTCGCCGGCACCTCCTGCTGCCCTCTCGCCGGCACCTCCTGCTGCCTTCTCGCCGGCACCTCCTGCTGCCCTCTCGCCGGCACCTCCTGCTACCCTCTCGCCTGCACCTCCTGCTGCCCTCCCGCCGACACCTCCTGCTGCCCTCCCGCTGACACCTCCTGCTGCCCTCCCGCTGGCACCTCCCGCTGCCCTCCTACCTGCAGCTCCTGCTGCCCCCCCGCCGGCAGCTCCAGCTGCCCTCCCGCTGGCCGCTCCTGCTGCTCTCCCTTCGGCAGTACCTGCTGCTCGTCTGCCGACCGCGCCTGCCGCCCTCTTGCCTGCGTCTCTTGCTGTCCTCTCGCCGGCAGCTCCTGCTCCCCTCTCGCCAGCAGCTGCTGCTCCCCTCTCACCGGCAGCTCCTGCTGCCCTCCCGCCGGCCGCACCTGCTGCTCCCTTGCTTGTGGCTTCCGGGCCTCCCCCAACAGCCAGTTCTGCTGCCCCCCCTCCTGCCTCGAGGGCTGGGTCCCCGCTGGACTCCATTGCTGCACTTCCGCCCGGGCTCTCCGTCTCTGTTCCTGCCTTTGGGCCAGGCGGGGCCCGCGCGGAGCTGTGAGGGCTGGGTGTGCCAAAGGATTTCCTAGGGCCCTCCGCCGCCTATCATGAGACTCCTACAGTCGCCGGCGGTGTGCCTCCCATGCAGCCATCGCCGCGTCATCACCGGTACCTTGCCTGTGCACCCCATGACCACACTCGCCCTCGTCCGTCACTTCCAGGTCCCGGCTGGAGATGGTGTCGCTGCCACCTACGAAGCCGCCGAGAGTGTCTTTGGGTGGTTCCTCTATCCCCCCCCCTGTCGAGAGGGGTCCATACCTTTGTCGCTTGATGGGCTTGCCAAAAAGGCAGAGTGCATCCTCATGGTGGAGGCGACAGAGTTGTGGGTATTGCATACTCGGTGCTGCCTCCCTGGGTCTCTTGTGGCCAATCCTCGCGATGATCTTCCTCCCCCGGTCTGGGGGGTCTGGATCGTTGTTCATGGCGTAAGCTGTTTGCGGGGAGCGCTGGAGGGGCGCCTCCCGCCTTCGGTATAAGGTTCGCAGTCCGGGTGAGTCGAAGGTGTTGGGCGTCGCTGGCGCACGGAGACTCCCCTATACGCTGGACGCTCCTACCTGCAGGTGTTGGTACCTAGGCGCGGGTCTCGCTTTGTGGCCCTCCCTACACGCGGTAGTCGCTGCCTAGGCGCGAGCTTCGCTGCGATGGCGCTCCTACGCGCGAGTATAGCTGCCAGGGCGCTGCTCCCTCCGCCGCGGCGCGGATTTCGTTGCTACGGCGCGGGTTTCACTGTTACATGGCGGACTTCACTGCTCTTTGCCCGGACTTCACCTCTACGGCGTGCACTTCGCTGCTACGACGCGCACTTCGCTGCTACAGCGTGCACTTCGCTGCTACGGCGCGCACTTCGCTGCTACGGCGCGCACTTCGCTGCTACGGCGCGGACTTTGCTGCTACGGCGCGGGTTTCGCTGCCGAGGCACCGGATTGCGCTGCTACGGCGCGCAATTCGCTGCTACGGCGCGCAGCTCGCTGCTACGGCGCGCACTTCGCTGCTACAGCGCGCACTTCGACGCTACGGCGCGGGCTTTGCTGCTACGGCGCGGATTTCGTTGCTATGGCGCGGATTTCGCTGCTACGGCTCGGATATCGCTGCTACAGCGCGGGTTTTGCTGCCTAGGCGTGGATGTCGCTGCTACGACGGATATTTCGCTGCCACGGCGCGAATTTCGCTGCTACGGCGTGGATTTTGCTGCTACGGCGCGATTTTCGCTGCTGCGGTGCGGATTTCGCTGTTACGGCGCTGGTTCCACTGCCTAGCTACGCGGTGCTACCTGCAGTTCGCGGGCTAAGCGGCTAGATCACCGGTTGGTCAGCAAGATCGCTACTGTGCGGCTAGGTCGCGGGCGGGGCGGCTAAATCGCTGGCTAAGCGGCTAAGATGCGGGCTAGGCGGCTAGATCGAGGCGTAGGCGGCTAGATCGCGAGCTGGGCGGCTAGATCGCGGGCTGGGCGGCTAAATCACGGGCTGGGTGGCTAGATCGCGGCCTGGGCGGCTGAATCGCGGGCTAATAGGCTGAGTCGCGGGCTACGTGGCGGGATCGCGCTGCTACTAGCGAGGAAAGAGCTGCTGCCTAGCGGGAGTCGCGCTGCTGCCTAGCGGGAGTTGCGCTGCTGTGCCTAGTTAGCTATAGCAGCACACGGCTTTAGCCATAGGACAGTGGATGTCAGGTCCATCTCAACAAATAACATAAATAAATGTGGATTGTCCGCGATTCACGACTATATAAAAGCAATTGTAAGGAAAATCCCTTTTCCTTACTTCGCATCCCTGCTCAAACGCATACATCACTGTAGCACCTCAGTCAGCACCGTTACCACTCGCGATCATCGCATCGACAATCATCCCGCCATTTTTCGCACATCGCATCCCGACCTCACGGCTCGGCTGGTAACCCGCGCTCCGGGCCTACGCCTCGACACTTTCCCAACCTCAGTCCCAGGCTCGTCGCGCGACTACCACAGACCATTACCGTTACCACTGTAGTTTCGCTATATATTCTTCGCTCACGCCCTCGCTCATTGTATTCTTGCTTCGATAGTGCAATTCTCGTTCGTTCACTCAATTGCACTCGTAACACTTGGTTATCAGAGCCTACGATCTCAGCTCGGACCGCATCCACACCTTCGCTTCCCCACTATCTCAATTTTTTGGGGGGGGTAGACGTCTCTCAGCGATACAGCACCGCCGCTCGTAGTGCTCTCTCGCAAGCACGCACGGCCACGACCGAGGCTCTCGCTGAGCTTGCCCGACACCCCCGCCATGGCCGATTTCACGCTCGCCACATTAACGCAGGAGCAACTTGATCGTCTCGTGCGTCAACTGGAAGATTCAGCGCTCGAAATCCCGACGCTCACGGCGGAACGTGACTCCGCCCGTCAACAGTCCACGGTGAACGTTCCGACGACATCACACACACCAACAAATGTATCGGCACATTCGGATGAACTGATCGTCATCTCGTCCGGCACACCAACACAACACGACAGCATGGGACAACGCTCAGGCACAACCAGTAATGGCGCCGCCCAGCCGATGCCTGGCATGGGAGGAAACAGGATCGCACCAAGCCCGCGGGAGCCCCGAGAAGCCCGTCGGCACGTGGAATTTGCGGCGACAAGTGGCGAACAAGCCATCATGGCACCAATGCCGCTCAAGCCGCAACGCCCACCCTGCTTCGACCCAAGCCAACGCGGCGGTCCGACGGTTCAATCGTGGGTCTTCACGATGAACGTCATCTTCGACGCAAATTACGTCGAGTCGGACGCCGCGAAGATCCGGTATGCAGTTTCACTGCTAAGGGGCCCCGCCATGGACTGGTGGCGAGTCATCGTGACGTCGCCACGCGCCTACGAGCCACCGTCGCACGAGGAAGGGCCCACGGGTCCAGCTGTCACCTGGAGTTCGTTCTGTGAGACCGCCCAATACAGCACGTGGGATGCGTGGTGCGCAGGGCTTCGGGCGCGTTTTGAGCCGATCGCGGCTTCAATTTCGGCGCGTCAGAGATTGCGCACTTGGCGCCAGCTCGGGTCAGTTCAAGATTATACAAGCGGTTTTCTCGCACTTTGCGAGCAGGTCGGCTACATGCACGAAGCGGAGCGGGTGGACCGTTATGTCGGAGGGCTGAAGCCGGATATCTCGCATGAAATAATGCTGCGCGGACTCTCTAATTTTAACGAGATTCTCGCGCTCGCCGAGAAGATCGACATTCTACGCCGACCGAGACCGGGGTCCTATTACGGACATCGCCCTCGGGGACCGACCGAGCACGCCACTGTACACGCCGTTGCAACAAATGCAGCTGCCGCACCGTTTAAAGGGCGCTGCTTTGCTTGCAACAGGCCGGGCCATCGCAAGAGCGAATGCCCAGAGGAGCTGAGGCGCCGAGGAGCAGAGCAGGGGAGGGAGTCTCAGAGGCAGGGAAACGCCAGCAGTCAGTAGAAGTTGGGCCAACTACTGACGAGACTGCCTGCTCGCCCAACCACACCGTCCCTCACCGAGTCACAGTACCGATTCACGCCATCGATCAGGCTCGGATGAATAAGGAGGGTACAGCGACGGATTGCCCGGTACTGATCTACGGGAAAATACATGGAGCAGCAGTGAAGATTTTTATTGACGGGGGAGCAAGTCACAGCTTAGTTAATACCGCAACCGCACGGAAATTACAGTTAACACTTAACCGATGCTTACCTGAGATAGATGCACGCTTAGTCGACGGAACGCCACTAGCCATACGGGAAAAGGTGGAGCGAGTAAAAGTCCGCTGCGGAGGAAACTTCGGGTTTACACAGGAAATGCTCGCAACGACACTGGATGGGCACGACATTTTACTGGGACGTGATTGGGTGCGACGGTATAACCCGCGAATTGACTGGACGACGGGTAGCTGCACAGTGCGAAATAGTGGTAACTGGGTCGTCCTACCTCGCTGGCAGCCACCCGAGTCTTCGACGGTCCAGGTCAACGCCATCACGATGAAACGGGCTGTCGCTGCTGGAGCTGACGTGTACACAATGGATATAGCATTAGTGCAAGAAGAGGAGCTGCCGAGCGATTTTCAGAAACTATTGGCAGCTGTACCACCCGAACTTCAGGCACTACTGAAACGATTCCCGGGTATCTTTCCGGATGACTTACCACAAGGGCTGCCACCTCAGCGGGCGCATGACCATAGGATCGAGTTAGAACCGGGGGCACAGCCAACTGTACAGCGCCAGTTCAGACTGACACAGCCCGAGCTCGACGAACTAAGGAAGCAGTTAGATTATCTGTTAGAGAAGCAGTTTATCCGACCGAGCTCGTCACCGTTCGCCGCACCGATACTGTTCACACTGAAAAAAGACGGAGGGTTTCGCATGTGCATCGACTACCGAGCGCTTAACAGGGTAACACTCAAATCACGGTACCCCATCCCCCGCGCCGACGAACTGATCGACCAGTTACGAACCGCACGGGTATTTTCGAAAATAGACTTACGAGGAGGTTACCATCAGATTCGGGTCGAACCATCGGACTGCGCCAAGACAGCATTTAGAACTAGGTACGGGTCATTCGAGTATACGGTGATGCCTTTCGGGCTGACCAACGCGCCCGCCACATTTCAAATGACCATGAACGAAGCGTTTAGGCCACTTTTAGATAAATGCGTGATAGTTTACCTTGACGACATTCTCGTTTACAGTCGGGACAAGCAGCAGCACTTAGTCGATCTCGAAGCAGTTTTTAACATTTTAGGGGAACATCGGTTACTCACCAAGGGCTCCAAGTGCGAGTTTTTTCGGGACAGGCTAGAATTTTTAGGACACGTTATTTCGGAGGCTGGAGTTGAAATCGACCCTAAGAAGCTGGATACTGTCAACGCGTGGCGTCCCCCGACGAACATCACGGAACTGCAGAGTTTTTTAGGGTTCGTTAATTACGTCCGTCGGTTCGTCCCCGACATGGCACGCTTAACAGCCCCACTCACAGATTTACTGCGTAAGGGGGTCGTTTTTACGTGGGGGGAGAAAGAGCATGCTGCCTTCTCTGCCCTGAAAACTGTTCTCTGTTCACCACCCGTCCTACGCATCGCTGACCCACATCGCCCCTTCGAGGTTGTTACAGACGCGAGCGACATCGCCATCGGAGCCGTACTGTTACAGGACTTCGGCAACGACCTCCAACCCATCGCCTACGAATCACGCAAACTGCATCCGCCTGAGCGAAATTACCCGATACACGACCGCGAAATGCTCGCGATCGTGCATGCATTCAAAGTGCGGCGCTGCTACTTGACCGGCGCAGACGTGACAGTACGGACAGACCATCGATCCCTACAGTACCTCCGTGCACAGCCCCACCTCAATCCACGACAGATTCGGTGGCTCGACTTCCTCGAGTCGAACTTCCATTATACGGTCACCTATAAAAAAGGAGCCTCCAATATCGCCGACGCACTGACTCGCCCCACTGCCCAGATCCATGCGATACTACTCGCCCAGACCAGTCCGCTACTGACAGGACTATTTACCCACGGATATCAAACAGACCCATTCTTCACAGGAGGAAACTCGCAGCAATTCGCAGTAGCCAAGGGAGTCTATTACGTAAAAGTTGGAACCGACCGCATGTGGGTACCAGGGTACACACTACTACGGGAATTACTGTTACAGGAGGAACACGACGGAGTTACCTCGGGACATTTCGGAGTAGAGAAAACACGGCAGCAGCTGCAGCGGTACTATTACTGGCCTGAAATGTTGACCGACGTGCAACGACACGTGGCATCGTGTCCCACTTGCCAGCTCATGAAGTCAACCAGGAAGCGGCCGGCGGGACAATTACAACCAATCCCACCTCCAGAGCGTGCTTGGCAACAAGTGACGATGGACTTCGTCACGGGGTTACCAGCCGGGGCGAGTGGGAATGACGCGATCCTGGTCGTCGTCGATCGACTGACGAAAATGGCACACTTCGCAGCCTGCAAGAAAACAATCACAGCCGAGGAAACAGCCCGACTCTTCATCACCACCGTCGTTCGACTGCACGGGATACCAGCATCGATCATCAGCGACAGAGACACGAAGTTTACCAGCAATTTCTGGCGGAACCTGTGGCAGCAGTTCGGCACGCGACTACAATTCAGTTCATCGTATCACCCCGAAACCGACGGACAGACAGAACGGACAAACCAGACCATGGAGCAGCTCATTAGGGCCACGTGCGACGACCCAAACACGTGGGAGCAGCAGCTGCCACTCATCGAATTCGCATACAACAACGCGCCATCTGCCACGACCCAACAGTCACCGTTTTACCTGAATTACAGACAAGACCCCACAGTACCCATGACCCCAAATCCCGACAACCCCGTTCCACGTGCACAACAATTTGCCGAGATTTTGCAAGCAGCACGGACCAGGGCAGCAGAAGCAATAAAAAAATCGAACATCCTCGCTAAACGCAACGCCGACCGCCACCGCAGACCTGTCACTTATCAGCCCGACGACCTCGTTTTACTCGACACTCAAAACCTCCGCCTGCCCATCACTCCAAAACTCCGCCCCCGATACTGTGGGCCATTTCGAATTAGCCACATGATCACACATGTCACCGCGCACCTCCTCCTCCCTGCTGACTGGTACGTCAGCCCCTCGTTCCACGTCAGCTTGCTTCGCCCTTACGTACCATCCACCGGCCAACTCCCACGACACCGACCATCCAGCATGGCACGACCACCATCCGAACCAATCATCACCCCCGACAAAATCCTGAGTCACAGAGTTCGCGACCCCCGAGGAGCCCGAAAGATCGAGTTCCTGATCCGCTGGAAAGACCGTACACCTACCGAGGACAACTGGGTTCCCCTGGACATAATTGAAAACCACCCTGTCCTCACCGAATATCTGCGCAGCCGAAACTTCAAAGATGTCCACACACTTTCGTAAGAAGGAACTCCTTAGGAGGGGGGGGGTAGTGTAAGGAAAATCCCTTTTCCTTACTTCGCATCCCTGCTCAACGCGTACATCACTGTAGCACCTCAGTCAGCACCGTTACCACTCGCGATCATCGCATCGACAATCATCCCGCCATTTTTCGCACATCGCATCCCGACCTCACGGCTCGGCTGGTAACCCGCGCTCCGGGCCTACGCCTCGACACTTTCCCAACCTCAGTCCCAGGCTCGTCGCGCGACTACCACAGACCATTACCGTTACCACTGTAGTTTCGCTATATATTCTTCGCTCACGCCCTCGCTCATTGTATTCTTGCTTCGATAGTGCAATTCTCGTTCGTTCACTCAATTGCACTCGTAACAGCAATAAACAATAAAATTATAAAGTTAAGTAAACGAAATATTTGTAAAAAAAAATGTCATCGATCTTTTTCCATCACCATATAGAAGCTAACATTGGACTCACTTCTAATACAGTGACTGAGTAGGCATGAATTCGCCGTCGAATACAATTCGAAAGAGACACTCATCGGACTACACATCTACCATCAATAAATGTTCGAATGTAATGCTTAGGAGAAAAAAATGGATGCTAGGTCGGTAGTCCAATAATCCATGTTCCTGCACAAGGCTAGAAGAGAGAATTAAGTGGGTTACGTAAAAACTAAAGAAAACACTTATATGGAACTCAAGTACCGATAATCCTCACAACTTACCTCAATGGAGGAAAAACGACTCTGGCCCGAACACGTCGTTCTCCTCTGCACCACCGCTCTCGAGGAATTGAGTCGGGAAGTCAGCAGCACCAACTTCTTCACATGTGGTGCTCTCTTGTGTGCTCCTCATCGACCTTTTTCCATCACCCTGCTGTTGCCCCTCATCTAAATCAATTCCACTCACGTGCGCCACCTCTACTGAAATCTGCCCAACCTCTCGCTCCCCCTCTCCACCACACCCTCCATCCACCCCACTCGCATGCCCACCATCACCGTTCTCCTGCACATCACCCTCCTGCACATCACCGTTCTCCTGCACGTCACCCTCCTGCACAACACCCTCCTGCACGTCACCCTCCTGCACTTCATGCTCCAACCCGTCAACCTCAACTGCCTCGGTGCTGTTACTCGCCTTCTCAGTTACTCTGTTTCCCCCCTCCTCATTCAACCCGTCCAATACTATCTCTCTCCCCTCCTCAGCCAACTTCCCAGCCAATCCATCGCCACCTTCATTCACCTTCTCGACAAATCCCTCGGTCCCCCTTCCATTCTCCTCTTCCACTGCTCCCTCTTCCCCCTCCGCATTCATCCCCTCACTTGCACCATTCCTTTCCTCACATGATGCCTCCCTTTCTGCCTCTCCCTCTGCCTCTCCCTCCCCCTCCCCTTCTGCCTCCAGTTCTGCCTCTACCTCTGCCTCCCGCTCTGCATCCCCTTCTGCCTGCCCTTGTGCCTCTCCCTCTGCCTCTTCCTTTGCCTCCCCATCTGCCTCCCCTTCCACCTCCCTTTCTGCGTCCCTTTCTGCCTCCCCTTCTGCATCTCTTCCCTCTCCACCTTCCTCCACCATTTCCTCCTCCCCTTCTGTCTCTCCCAGCTTCTCTTGACCCTTCCCATCTTCCTCCCCTCCTTCCGTCCTTCCTTCCTCCTCTCTTTTCTCCCCTCGTTCCTCCACCCATTTATCCTCTTCTTCCACCTGTCCCTCACCTTCTTCCATCCCGCTCTCCTTCTTGTCCTCTTCTCCTACCTTACCTCCCTCTCCTACCTCCTCTCCTTCCTTCCCTTGTATCTCCGGCCCTTCACCCTCTTCTCCCTCTGCGCCTTCCTCCTTTCCTCCCTCCTCTCCTCCCTCCTCGGCCCTTCCACAAACCACCCGTTCCTCCTCATCCTCATCCTCCCCTACAGTCGCTCCACTCAGTTCCTTATCTCCCTGCTCCCCACACATGTCTACCACCTCGCTCTCCTCCACCCCTTCTTCTTGCTTTCCGCCCTCCTCTCCATCCACTGTTCTTTCCCCTTTAACACTCCCTGCCCCCTCCCCTCCCTCAACCACACTCCCCACATTCCCGCTCCCCACCTCACTCCCTAGCTCCTCACCTCTCCCAGCCTCATTCCCAGACCACTCTCCCCCCACCTCACTCCCACTCCCCTCCCCATGCGCACCCCCCATGCGCCTCGTGTGGTCCACACCGCGGCACTCGATCTGGTCCACACCGCGGCACTCGATCTGGTCCACACCGCGGCACTCGATCTGGTCCACACCGCGGCACTCGATCTGGTCCACACCGCGGCACTCGATCTGGTCCACACCGCGGCACTCGATCTGGTCCACACCGCGGCACTCGATCTGGTCCACACCGCGGCACTCGATCTGGTCCACACCGCGGCACTCGATCTGGTCCAGCGCCGCATCACTCTCCTCCCTCAGCGCCTCACACTCCTCCACGAACCGCACCCTCTCCTCCTCCAGCTGCTGCAGCAGCGCCAGCTCCGCCTGCTTCACGCCCTGCCGGAACTGCAGCAGCCGCTCGTGCTGCTGCTGCTTCAGCTGGGCCAGGCCCGCTTGGAAGACCGCTGCAGCGTGCAGGCTGCCACGCAGGGCGCTGCTGTGGTCGTCGCTGTGGGAGGACGGTGGGGAGGGAGAGGGAAGCCGTGAGCGAGAGAGGGAGAGGGAAGCAGAGAGCAAGAGAGGGACAGCGTGAGAGGAAAAGAGAGTGCGGGCTATGATGGCAACGTTGAGTCAACTCAAAGAAGAGGCCAAGGCAGGGACACCCAAAGGCAGGGACACCCAAACCAAAGGCAGGGACACCCAAACCAAAGGCAGGGACACCCAAAGGCACACACCTGAGCTCCGAGGAGCTGGACAGCTGGCGCTGCAGCGTGCGGGCGGCAGCCACGTGCTGCTCATTAGCCACCTTGCCCCGCCACTCCAGGTCCGCCTCCCTCTCCTCCACCGCCCTCTTACTCCTCTCCCTCTCCTCCAAGCTCCTTGCGTATGCCTCCTCCAAACTCGCCACCTGGTGCGGGAGGACGGGGAGGATGGAATGAGGAGTGGAGAGAATGGGAGGTGGGTATGAGGAGGGAGGCGGAAGAGAGGGAAGAGAGGGAGGCATTGAGGAGGCGGAATTGCCAGCTGCTTGTTGCGCGCCACCAGCGCCTGCAGCTGCGCCCCCTTCATGCGCATCAGCAAGACCCAGACCACCTGATTTCCTTGCGGCTCCACCTGCGTGCCCTGCCACACAAGTCCATCAACCCAGCTCTCACCACCTTCCCCCCACCACCACCGCTCACCTCCTCCTTGTGCTGCGCCGCCAGCTGCTTGTTGCGCGCCACCACGGCCTGCAGCTCCGCCTCCTTCATGTGCATCAGCTTGGCCGCATTGAGCACCGTGCTCTCCAGGTGCTGCCGCTGCTGCTTCTCGCCCTCCAGCTCCGAGGCCAGCTGCTGCCGCCGCTCCTTCTCCTCCTCCACCCGCTCCTGCAGCTGGTGCTTCTCAATCTTCACCTCCACCAGTTTGTGCGACATCTGTAATCGGGGTGGGGGGAGGCAAGGGGGGAGGCAAGGGGGGAGGCAAGGGGGGAGGCAAGGGGGGAGGCAAGGGGGGAGGGAACACAAGGCGGGCCAGGGTGACAGTTTGAGCTGCTGCATGCTCTCGCCTTCTCCTCCTCCACCTGCTCCTGCAGCTGCGACTTCTCAATCTTCACCTCCACCAGTTTGTGCGACATGGGCGGACAAAGGGGGTGAAGGGAAAGGCAGACAATGGTGACACATTGAGTTGCTGCCGCCGCTCCTTTTCCTCCTCCACCTGCTCCTGCAGCTGAAACTTCTCGATCTTCACCTCCACCAGTTTGTGCGACATCTGCAAAAAAGGGGGAAGTCAAGGGGGGGCGGGAAGCCAAGGCGGGCAAGGGTGACGAAAGGTTGGTTGGGAGATGTGAGAGGGGAGGAAGAAAGTGATGATTCTCCTTTCCACTCCCTCCCCACCACACCGGACCAACAGAGCCTCGGCTTATCTCCCTTTCAGACTGTTCTCCCGGCACCCTCTCGCAAGACCACCTCTCTCCGAGTCTCTCCCAAGGCGATTTGCAGAGAACCCAGGACCCCAGCACCCCTGCCTCACCTCCACCACTTGAGACTTGTACATGCCGGCCTGCATTGCCTGCTCGCGCATGCGCCGCAGCGGTTCCTCCACCACCTCCCTCCTCCTCTTCACCTCCACCTTCAGAGCTGCCTTGCCTGCCACACATGCACGAACACATGCACCCATCATCGTTCAGTGCACACGGTCATGCACATGATTCAGGGCACACGGAGGGCACACGGAGGGCACACGGAGGGCACACGGACCGGGACATGAAAGGAAGAATTACTTGGTTCAGGGAACACAGGCGAGCACATGGTCGTCGTTGCTGTTCCCCCGATCAGCCCGTTGGCATTTCCAACTCAAGAAGCTGCAACCAAATTTACAGCAGCAGTTGAACTTATCCACATCCTGCTGAGTCGTCAGGTACTCAAACAGGTTCCTTTCCCCTTCCCAGACCAATCAGTCCATGCTCCCCCGTTTTTTCCCCCTATGCTGCCCGCCCCCCCCTCCCCACCCCCTCCCCAAATGTCTCTTCCCCCACACCCTGCCCCACCTTTACAGCACCGGTTGAATTCATTTTGTTTGAGATTAGTTTTGAGAATTCTCAAAACTAATCTTTACAGCACCGGTTGAATTCATCAACATCCTACTGGGTCGCGAGGTACCCAAACAGGTTTCTCTTCTCTGACCGGACCACCCAGCCATGCCTTTCCCCAACTGTCCCAAACCCCACCCCACACCCTGCCTCACCTCTGCAGCACCGGTTGAATTGAATACATCAACATCCTGCTGGGTGGCACGGTACCCGAACAGGTTGCGCTTCCCCGACCGGTCCACCCTTGCCCCTCCGCCTTCCCCCTCCTGTCCCCTCGCACCACCTCATGCAACATCCCACCTTTGCAGCACCGGTTGAACTCATCAACGTCCTGCTGGGTGGCAAGGTACCCGAACAGGTTGCGCTTCCCCGACCGATCCACCAGCGGCGCCGACCGCCGTGCCAGCTCCAAGCGCCCGCGCCCCTCCCTCTCGAACTGTTGTGCCAGGCGCTCGGCCTCCTTGAATCCGTCAGGAGTGGCGTCAAAGACCAGAATGCTCATGCCGCGATGGCCCTGGTGGCATGGGGTGGGGGAGAGCACATAGGAGGGGTGGAAATGGAGAGGAAGAACGGAATGGAGAGGAAGAAGGAGAGGAAAAGGGGCCCAGTCATGGAATGAGAAGGCCGTGCCAGCTCCAACCGCCCGCGCCCCTCTCGCTCAAACTGCTGCGCCAGCCGCTCCGCCTCCTTAAAGCCTTCTGGCGTGGCGTCAAAGACCAGAATGCTCATGCGGCGATGGCCCTGGTGGGATGTGGGATGGGGGAGGACAGGCAGTAGGAGGGCACAGGGCATGGCGCAGTGGAGAAAGAACTTGGCTGAGAGAGGTGGACGAGGGATATGTGCGAGACCGAGAGGGCGTGGCAGGAATTTTTTACAATGTTCCCTTGTGCGTCTGTATAAGTGTGTGTGTAGAGGCGTGTGAGTGGAGGTGTGTGAGTGGAGGTGTGTGAGTGTGGAGGGTGCATGAGTGGAGAGTGCGTGGTTAAAAATTGCAGTCACCTGAGGGCCATAGGCATGCTTGGTCTTGACTATAAGCTTGTAGTGCTCGAAGTGCTTCCTGAGCTCATAACTGCCCATGCCTATCCACTGCTCCAGAAAGACCAAGACGCCAGAGAAGGGGACAGGGGGAAAAGGAAGGGGGTGTGGAGTGGGTGGGGAGGAGGGAGAGGAGGGAAGCTTGGGAGAGGAAGCAGCACAGCAGAGATGGAAAGTGAGTGTCAGTGAAGGTCAGGAAACACATCCAGTGTGGAAATAACAGCCCATTACAAAGCCCAGGGATGCAGAACAAGAATTGCAGGGCGGTGCTTGAGACCTTAACAGCCCATTGCGAAGCCCATTTGCCCTTTCTCCTCTGTGCACCCCATCTAACCATTGTAAACCACCCACTCCACCCTCTGCATCCATCCCTCACCCCATCACCCAACCTCCCAACATCACGCACCCTCCCATCACACCAACCCCCCCACACCCACCCGCCATCACCATGCACCCGCCATCACAAAGCACCCGCCATCACCATGCACCCGCCATCACCATGCACCCGCCATCACCATGCACCCGCCTATCATCAAACAACCATCCATCACGCACCCATCCATCACCACAACCCACCCGGCCATCCTCATCGGGTCGCAGGCGGGTGTTCCGGATCACCACCACAGGCGGCCACAGCACCGTCGCATTCCCCTCCTCCGCCCTCCTTCCCCCCACCCCCCGCCACTGCCCCTGCAGCACCCCCTCCTGCCCCTCCCTCCCCGGCCCCCCACCCCCCAGAAAAACCCCTCTCTCCCGCAAATCCATGTGCACGGCAGCAGCAAACGCCCGGTGCGCGCCAATTTTCCGCGACCGGATCGTCTCTGCATGCTGCAGCAGCGCGCGGATCCCCGGCCACCAGTCCGTCTCTCCCTTGCCGCCCTTGCACGCCGGGCACTTGTACTCGCGATCTTGCGCCTTGATCTGATCGGCAGACAGCTTCTTGAGGTCGGTGAGAAAGAGGGCGACGGCGGGCGAGTGCTTGTAGTCCGTGGCGGTCAAGTCGAATGCCGACTCCGCACCTAATTCGTCATCGTCGTCATCCTCGTCATCCTCGCCTTCCACATCCCTACCAGCGCACTCGTCGTCCTCCTCGTCGTCCTCGTATTCACCCAGCAGTCCACCCACCGCTTGCCCCCGGGGTGGAACACCAGCACCACCAGCCGCAGCGGCAGCGGCAGGAGCAGCAGCACCAGAACCACCACCAACAGCAGCACGAGCAGCAGCAGCACCACCAGGGCCGAACCGACTGCCACCAGCCGCCCTACCCCCGGCAGCAGCAGCAGCAAGAGCAGCGGCAGCAGCGCGGGCCCTATCAGCCGCACCAGCATTGCTCACACTATCTGAGAAATCCACATCTAGCTCGCTCACAGGGGGGATGTACTCACTGCCCCCCTCCCCTGCTGCCGGCAGTCTTAGCACACTCGAGTGCAGCTCTGACTGCGGGCCGTACCCGGATTGAGACCAGGAGGATGCTCCTGGTGATGCCATCACCCCCCTGCCGATCTCCGTGGGGAGCTGGGGGTTCTGGGCCCTGGGCGCAGCTGTAGCAGGGATTGAAGCAGTTGCTTGCTTCGCAGTAGCAGAGCTTGCAGCAGAGGGACTTGCACGGCTTGCACGGCTTGCAGCACTTGCAGGGCCACCCCGGCCCAGACTACCGCCTGTCCCCACCCACTCCTCCGCCCTGCTGCCCCCACCCCCGCCCTGCTCCCCGCTCTCCCCCATACTCCCGCCACCAGTTGCGGCAATAAAAGCGCCTGTGCCCCTGCTCATGCCCATCCCCATCCCCATCCCCATGCCCATGCTTTTGCCCATGCTCACTCCGGCTATAGCAGGATCAGGTGGGAGGCCGTGGGCAGAAGCGGGGGGGAGCGGGACAGCAGCAGAAGGCAATCCAGGCTGGGCGAGCAATGGGAAGGCGGTGGATGGGGGAATAGCCGGCCAGGAGACCCCCGTGTCGCCGTACGATTGGCCGGAAGGATCCGCAAAAGCAGGGGATTGGCCGATGAAAGAGGAAGGTGTGGAGGTGGGTGGAGAGGTGGGCATGGAGGTGGGGTGCGGTGGAGCAGGAGAGAGAGCCCCCGGGGCGGAGACAGTGGAGGGGGCGGGGACGTGGCCGGGAGGAGGGGAGGGGGTCGATGGGGTGAATGGGGGGGCGGATGCGCGGATGAAAGAAGGCGCCTGGGCGCTGATGAAAGAAGGCGCCTGGGCACTGATGAAAGAAGGTGCTTGCGCACGGATGAAGGAGGGCGCATCTGCTCGGAGGAACGTGCTGGCATCGGCACGGAGGGGGGAAGGGAGGGAAGAGGACGAGGCAGCAGAGGGGAAGGGTGGTGCATCCGCTCTCAAGCCCTCGCTCCCACGCACCTTGCTGCTGCCACTGCTCCCATCAGGGTTACCTGCACCGCTAGTCTCAGGCGTTAGAGACGTCTCAGCGCTGGTCCCAGCCTTGAGCCCAATAGCCGAGAGAATGCTGTCCGTCGCTGATCGCTCTGATACCACGCTCCCCGGCGCTACAGCCGCTGATACCGCTGGGACAACATCTGTCGCTGCAGCTGAGGCTGTAGCGACGTGCTGCCAGGCGCGCAGGCCCTTATTGAGTGACGAGACGGCAGAGGTGTTGCTCTCTGTCTCCCACGCGCTGCTGTCGCCCCTGCTGCCCGCCTCCCACCCGTCTATCTCCTTGTGCGCCACAATGGGGGGCACCATGGGAATGGGCACCACTGGAGGCACCACAGTAGGCACCATTGCCTCCTGCTCATTGCTCTTCCTCCACTCCCCGCCCTTCCCCTCTGCCCCGCCACTACCCCTCCTCCACTTCCCTTCCGCTGCAGCCTCACCCTCCCCTCGCCCTGCCCTGCTCCCCGCACCCTTGCTACCGCCCAGCCCCCCGCCCTTGTTTCTGCCCCCACCCGTCCCCGCACCCTTGTTTCCGCCACTGCCCGCCCCCCCGCCCTTGCTTCCCCCCCAGCCGGCGCTATCCGCGCCCCCCCACTGGCGCGCGAGCTGCTCGTCCTCCTCCTGCTGCTTCCAGATGTCCTCGTCAGATCCGCCCTCCCCCAGCTCCGCCCGCCTCTGCTCCCCAAACGCCCTCCAGCTGTCCACTGCTCCCCCGCCTCCTCCACTTGCCCCAGCCATTGCGTTCCCACTGCTGCCAGTGCCACCACCACCACCACCACCACCACCACCACCGGTTGCTGCTGCTGCAGCTCCCCATCCTCCGCCTCCTCCCCCGTCCCCCCATCCTTCCCCGTTGCTGGTCACCACAGGACCCCCTCCAGCAGCCCCTGCTCTGCTGTTTGCCACCGCTGCTGCTGCAGCGGAATGAGAGGACGTGGAAGAATGAGAGCGAGACACGCCGTCCTTCCTTCGCCACTCCAGCCCAGCCTTTCCCGAATCCCCCTTGACTGCGCTCACTCCCCAGCCATCACCAGTGCCACCGCCACTGCCAGCAGCATCAACAGCAGCAGGGCTGAGGCCGCCACTGCTCCTTTCCCACGTGGAGGCGCCAGCACCGGCAGCAGCAGCAACAGCACCATCGGCAGCAGCACTCCCGCTAGCACTGCTCCTCTCCCATGTCGACACAGTACCAGCAGCAGCACCACCGGCAGTGCTCACGCCCACACTGCTTCTCTCCCACGTGGACGCACCACCAGTCTCACCACCAGCGCCACCAACAGCGCTCAGCCCCCCGCTGCTCCTCTCCCACGCGGAAGCCCCCACCCCCGCGCTCCTCTCCGCCCCTCCCTTCGACCCCCCACCTGCCGCCTCACCCTGCCCTCTCCCGCCGACCCGCTTGCTCGGCGGCACATACCTGCCAGAGGTTCGGCCCGAGCCTCTGCCGCTGCTGGGCGCAGCATCCCCCCACTCCGCACCCTCTTTCCCCCCTGCCACGCTGGCGCTACCCCTATTTGCGCCCCCCCAGCCGCTGCTTCTCTGCCAGCTGGCGCCGGCGCTGTCGCCCCATTGGCTGTTGAGGTCTGACTTGGCGTCAGACCAGGCAGCGCTGACTACACTCGCGTCCTCGTTAGTAGCAGCGCTCCTGGGGCGCACGTAGCCACTAGCGGAGCTGAGGTCGCTCATGGAGTCGTTGTCCTTGGCTTTTCCCAAGGAGCCTTCCCACTGCTGCTGCGGCTGTTGCTGCTGCTGCTGCCAGGTAAGTGTTTCCTTTTTCGGCTGCTGAGGCGGCTGCTGCTGCTGCTGCTGCTGCCAAGTAAGGGGCTGTTTCGCAAACTGCTGCTGCTGATCCTGCAGTTCCTGCGGTTTACCCTCCTCCTCCTGCTGCTGCTGCTGCTGCCAGGTAAGCGGTTCCTTCCCAAGCAGCTGCTGCTGCTGCCAAGTGAGGCCCGGACTCGCACCTCCCACTGCTCCTTGAACTGGCACCGCCTGGGCGGAAGACGCCTGCTTCCCAAACTGCGCCTGCTGCCCCCTCGCCTCCTTGCCCGTCCCCTCGCCGCCGCTGCCACTGCCCACACTCCCCTCCAGCTCTCCCTCCTCCGCATCCCAAAACTCATCGTCCCCCTCCTGCGCCTCTTCATTCGCCCCACCTGATTTTCCCCCATCTTCTTCCACCTTTCCCCCTTCCAAAGCGCTGTCCGCATCCTTTCCGCCACCATCACCGCCAGCAGCGCTACCATCACCGCCACCATCACCGCCAGCAGCGCCACCGCCGCCCCCACCATCCCCATAACCCCCTTCAGCGTAACCATCGCCAGCAGCGTTACCCTCTTCGCCATACTCCCCCTCCGCATACCCCCCTTCCGCGTATTCCCCTTCCCCATATTCCCCTTCCGCGTATTCCCCCTCCGCATACTCCCCCTCCCAATACTCCCCCTCTCCATACTCCCCTTCCCCGTACTCCCCCTCGCCATAGTCACCCTCCGCATACTCACCCTCCTGAGCACCAGCGTCAGCAGCAGCAGCCCCAGCCGCAGCCCCGTCAGCAGCCGCGCCAGTGGCAGCAGCGGCGGGGACAGCAGCAGCAGCAACAGGCGCGTCCTTCCACCCGATGACATCCCCCCACCCATCGTAAATCGGCACCTTGCCCGCCACCTGCCCCTCCACGCCTGCACTGCTCGCCGCCGTGGCACCAGCATCGCCAGCACCTGCGCTTGGAAACGCAGCAGTGGTGGCAGAGGCAGACGCGCCTGAGGGCGCAGGGGTGGCATCCCAGGCAGAGACAGCAGCAGCGGCAGGCACGTTAACAGCGAGAGGAGCGGGGTGCGTGGAGGGAGAAGAGGAGTCGCTGCGGCGCCAGCTGCTGCCGTCGGAGCCAACGCCCGCAGTGCCAGGCGCGGCAGCCGCGCTAGCACCCCACGCCGTGCCCGCGGAAGCACCAGCAGCAGCGCGGGCAGCAGGAGGAGCAGGCGCAGCGGGAGCGGAGTACCGGCTTGCATCGGAGCCAGAGTCCTTGGTGCGCCACCGGCTGGCGTCCGAGCCTGAATCCGAGGGGGTGCGCGGCGCCTGTGGCGGTCCTTGGCTGCCCCCCCAACGCTGCGCGCCCGTTCCTGCCGCCACCGGTAACCCTGCTCCCTGCCCCGCTCCGCCTGCCCCTCCCGCGCCTGCGCCTGCGCCTGCTGCTGCAGCGGGCGCTGGTCGCCATGGCGCTGCTGCGGATGGCGCTGGCGCCTGCGCCTGCGGCGGGGGCATGGAGGGCGCAGCGGACAGCATACGCACTGCCTGGGGCGCGGCCAAGTGGTGGGGGGCATTGGGCTGAGGGCCCATGCTTGGGTGTGGGCCTACACTTGGCTGCAGGCTGGGGCTCGGTGGAGGCCGTTGGCCGGCAGCCCCCATCTGGCCCACAGGCCCTGTTTGGCTGGCAACATCACGCTCCCACCACTCCCCGCCTTGCCTCCCTCCGAGCCCCACCTGCTGCGCCGCTGGTCCATGTGCGCTGCCCCACGGTGCTTGCCCCTTAGCTTGCGCCGCTTGCCAGTCCCCCGTTCCATGCGCCTTCAGTTGCCACTGCCGCTGCCCCTGCCCCTGCCCCTGCGCCTGGGCTTGCCATTGCTCCTGCCCCTGCCCCTCCTCCCACCACGCTCCTGCATGCGCCTGCTGCCCTTGCCCCGCCCCCGAATGCGCACCCCATCCCTGAGGCCCTTGATTGGGCCCCTGCCAACCTTGAGGGGCTTCATTGCCCCCCTGCCATCCCTGAGGCCCTTGGTTCGGCCCCTGCCAAACCGGAGGCCCTTCGTTCCGGCCCTGCGAATCCTGGGGCGCTTGGTTTGACCCCTGCCAGCCCTGACCCGGACCCAACAAACCATGGGGCTGTTGGTTCGGTCCGGACCAGCCAGCAGCCTGGTTCGGCCCGGACCAAGCTTGAGGCTGGTTGGACATCTGGCCAGCCAGACCAATCGGCATGTGAGCGGGATTATGCCCCCATGTTGGGGGGGAAGGAGCTCTTCCGCCGTACGGCCCCTGAACGGGTGGTGCATACCCCCCCGGGGCGGAAGGCCCCGCGGAATGTGGCGGAGCGGGGAAGGATTGGGGCTGCTGGGGGAGATGCGGGGCGGAGGGAGTGAAAGGCGCGGGGGCGTGGGGCGGAAAGGAGGGTTGATGAGGCGGAGGTGGTTGTTGCGCAGCCGCTGACGGAAGGGGCGCCATTGGCGGAACGCGGGGCGACGGAGATGCGGGCACGGAGGTCGTGCTGCCAGGCGCACTGCTGCTGCCGGCAAGAGTGGCGGCAGTTGCGGCCGGCGCGCCGCCGCCCAGCGAAGCCCACCAGGGGATTGCGCTGCTGCTTCCTGCCACCGAACGGGTGGAGCTCGTGCTAGCTGCGGTCGCCGCGGTGGTTACCACCGACGGCGGTTTGTAACCGCTGACGCTGTAACCGGCGAGAACGCCACCCGGCGACACAGATGCCACACCAGGGCCCACGACGTCTTTCTTCTTCTTTTTCTTTGTCGCCGTGGGCGCGGGGCTTCCGGGTTTCGCCAGCGGCTGTTTCTTCTGCGCCGCCGCTGCTGCGGCAGTGGGGGAGGACGCCGCTGCAGCAGGTGCCTTCTTCGCCGCCTTTTTCTTCTTCGCCTCTGCCGCCGTCACTGCTCCTGCCGCTGCGGTTGCTGCTGCACCCGTCGCTGATGCACCTGCTGCTGCTGCTTGACTTCCGGACAGCGCCGGCCCTGGCGCGGCGGCGGGAATGGTAGAGGAGCCCCATCCCGCGCTGTTGGCGGCGCCCCACGACGCGCCGTACCCGGTGGCGCCAGACACGCCCCAAGAGCGGTCCGTATCGCGCCAGGAGTCGACGTCCGTGTCGTCCGACTCGCTAGCCCAGTGCTTCTCTTTGAGCTGCACTGAGTGGTACTGTCGCCAGTACTCGGCCGGGTCGATTGGAGCCGCCGCCGTGCTTGTGCTGCAAACGCTAGCGAGGTCGTCCATATCAGAGCAGTTTTTTAGAGGGGACGCGGAATCCTGCAAGATAACCGACGGGAAAATGCATAAAAAAAAACAGTCAGGCGAAACCCTTATCAGCCTTCCCAGATCGTAAATTCTGAGGCGGGGAATTTATAGCACCAAGCCAGCGACATAGTCGACAGGGCATAAAAATATCCTTGACTCACCTTCCGCGTCACATCGTAGTGAACTATCTCAGATCGGGGTAGCGTTCAAAGCAGACTCATCCGGACCGGAAGCAGCTGCACGGTTTCATGCAAACTGGCGCCTGAAAGATACTCTGCCGCGTACAATACTGATAAAAGAGGATACGCGGACTCGCGAAGGTAGGGTAGCGATAAGACGCTATTCCTACCAGGAAGAAAACGAGAAACCAAGAGTGGTGTGGGCAATCAAGAGAGCTGAGAACCAGCTCCCTTGATGTCCCAGACTCCAATCTAGAGAGTTCCAATGATGGGCTTATCTCAAGATGGGACGACGGGTGAGGGTTAGGGGATGCATGAAGTGAATCTGGTGGAATGAGGATAGCTTGATGTCTCCGAGAGCCACAGAACGGTTCGTTATGTTAACAGTGCGTTTCAGAAGCTTATGAATGCGGTGGACTGACACCACATCACAAGATCTGCTTTTATTCCCCCAACCTACACGAGCGCTGGATGGCAATGCCATGCATGTCAGCTACGACTATTTGTAACACGGCGAAATGTTCCGAAAGCAGGCACACGACAGAAATCCACGTCAAGCAAAACGCGTTTCAGATGTGACTTATTTCTTGCTACTGTGTGCTAATTGTCTTTCTTCCAGGGACTGTATTATACGTTTTATAAGCCGATACTTTTTATTTTTGTCCGTTACTTGACTTGGCGTTTCCGTGCCAAATTGGCGCGAACCCCACCGAGCCACACGCGACACGCCAAACCGAGCCTCTTTGTTTGGAGGGAGCATGCAAAAACGAGTCTCGAGGGGAGGTGTCGAGGCCAAGGCAAGAAGATGGCTGACCTCTTGACGCGCTGTTTTACCGTTCGATCTCATCACCCTTCGTTGCTAGTTGGAGGATCGACGGTCATTAATGGCTCTAAGTCTGCGAGGTCCGTTAGGGGCCACCATTTTTGGGGCCAATTTCGTTGGCAAATGAGGTTTGGCGGTTGGCGGCCGTACTTGGACCCCTACCTTGGAAATTGTTGGCCCTTCGTTTGGGACTACCTAATTGCTTGCTTTCAGATTGATTCCTCATTGCCTTCGATGGCTATCTTTAGAGTCGCCGATTAGGAGACAGCCAGCTGGTTTCAACCGACATAAATGTTTTACTGGCGCTCTAGGAGACACTATCACTGACACTAACTTCTCGGTTTAGGAAACTCTATCACTAACATTAGGCTTCTGTCTGGATCAAGTATTCAGATGGAGCGTGAAGGGTGGTCTTCGTATACGCTGGACGATAAGGGCATTAGCATTCGGGTACGGTCCGGTTCTCTGTTCTGCATGAACTGCTCCTCATGTTCACGCTATGATCCGCAGTGTTGCTGCTGTGTGCATCTGGTTGACTATGGCGTCGTAACCACGTCTTAGTTGCGTCCTCTGTTTGGTCGCTAATGTCCAGCATGTGTATGAACGGAGCCAGAGCCAGCCACGCTTTTTGTTATTCCTCCCATCCTTGCATAACGTTCTCTGTCTCTCAACAACCACCGGAGTTTTCCGCTTGCCTTCATGTTCCCAATCATGCTTCACTCCGTGCAGAATCGCGTGAGGTTGTCGCAAGCACCGGAGTCGTCGTCGGAGTCGTCGCTCGCCAGCTTCATCAGCAACCTCGCGCGGCCGGCCGGTTCGTACCGCACGCAGTTCCTGCCGTCGCCGCAGCAGCGCAAGAAGCAGCAACCGCAGTCGCAGCAACAAGCAGACTGCCAGAATCAGAATGACCAGGATCAAACCGCGCAGCCGGCTGAGCATGGGCAGAGCTCTGACGGCGAAGAGCAGAAGCAGTCCCATGCCGACCAGGAGCTGAAGCAGTCGCCGTTACCGCTTCCCCTCTCCCTCCCTCGCTTCTTTAACTGCCCGCAGCGGTCGTTATCGCTCGACCCTCGCATTCTTCGCAAGCTCCTATTCGAGCGACACGCAGAACCGTCACAAGACGACGCAATAGAAGGCGACGACTCGAGCTCCGCCGACAAACTGCCAGAGCTTCTGGAGGATATGAAGCATCCGCCGGAACCGCCGTCGAGCACGGAGAATAAAACATCGACCTCCGATAAGAAACCGTCCCTGAACCGCCGATCCTCGCTCCCGTTCGTCAAGGAGGTTCGGGAAGACGCCGAAGCTGATGACGACGGTGAGGCAAAGAAGATCGGCGCAGAGGGGCAGACGCGCGTTCTTCCGATGGACATTGAGATGTCGCCGCGCACGCGGTGGGAGGAGCTGAGCGAGCAGCAGCTGCTGCACGAGCTGCAGCGCCGCGAGGAGGACGCCGCGCGGTTGCGGCGCATGCGCGAGCAGCAGGAGAGGGCCGGCGCGCGGGACTCGTCGCGGGAGAGACGGCGGGACGTGTCGCCTCAACGGGTCAGTCAGCCCCTCGTGCGCCTTCGTGCTCCCTCGTGCGCTTTCGTGCTCCCTCGTGCGCCTTCGTGATCCCTCGTGCGCCCTCGTGCTCCCTCGTGCCTCTCGGGACCATTTATTCTGTGTGTTCTCTTACTGATTACGTAAAAAAAAAAAAAAAAGCCTCCCTATCCCACACCTCTCCCCTCTCCCCTCCTTCCATTGACCGGCTTCCCTCGTTCTTCCGCCGTGTGTGGTCCGCGCAGGACTTCCTTCCCCGCGACACCCTCACGTGGGTGCTGCTGGCGGGCGGTGCAATTGCCGCCGCGGCGTCCGCGGTGGGCAACAAGCGGCGCAAGGCGCACCTCACGGAGTCCTGCGTTGGCTCCACCGGACCGTCGGACAGCTTCGGCATGTCAGGCTCGGGGCAGATGTCAGGCTCGGGACAAATGTCCGGTTCGGGAAGTGCGGATGAGATTCGGAGGCTGAGAAGACGCGATGGGCGGTTGGAAAGGAGCCGAGATGGAGAGTCTTCTAGAGTCGGCGGGAACGGTGAGTGACACGCCGGGAAGCGAGGCAAGGAGAATGGCACTCCTGTCCCTCTCCTTCTCCTTACCCTTTCTCCGTCCACCCACCCACCCCCTCCTTCCTTCCCTCCCTCCCTCCCTCTCTCTCACCCACCGCCCTCTCTGAGTCTCTCTTTCTCAGCGAAGCACCCAAACCGCTTACTGTTCCTCCTGTCCCCGTTCCCACTTGCCGTGCTTTGTTAATCAGTTTCCCGCTCAGCCTACCTGTCTCTCCCCACCTTCTCCCCGCCTCACAGTCCCCCTGAGCGATCCTCGCGGCAGCAGCGTCACGGGGGACGGCGGGGGGCGCAGCAGCAGGCGCAGCAGCAGCCGTCACAGCCACCACCACGAACGCGCATACGACCACAGGCACTCGCACTCGCGCGGGCACGAGGGGCACGGGAGAAGGTCCCGCGCGCGAGGGCCTGATTGCGCGCCAGAGGACAGCGGGGAGTCGCGCGAGGCTTATCTGGGGGAGCAGTACTCCGGGCAGGGGGGCTACCTGGGGGAAAGGCTTGCGCCCGCGGAGCGGGGGAGCTACAGCGAGAGGCGGAGACGAGGGGGAAGCAGCAGCAGGACTTACAAAGAGGGCAGTGCGACCAGTGCTGCTGCTTACACCGCTGATGCCTACTCCCCTTCTTCTTCCTCCGCTGCCGCTGCTGCTGGTGCTGGTGGCGCTGGCAGCAGGGCGCGGACTTACTCCCTCTCCTCGGGTCAAGACGCCGCCGCCGCCACCGCCGCTGCTATGGCAGCCGGCACAGCCGCCGCTGCTGCAGGCGCGCTCGCCGCCCCCTCCCTTCCCCCTTTCGCTCCCCCTCACCACATCCTCGTGGCGCCAAGCGCAGCAACGGGAGGGGCTCCCCCGGTGGGCCTGGGCCTGCTGGGGAAGGACGCGCCGGAGTTCTGGGCTGCGCTTCCTTCCGACGCGCTTGCAGCGGCGTCCGCCGTGGCAGCTGCGGCGGCCAAGGGGAAAGCGCCCCTGTTTACGCCTGAGAGCTCCGCCCCTGGCGCGGGCGCGGGCCCGTCCTCCTCGCTTCAGCTGCGCACCCCGTCGCAGACTGGTGAGCGCGCGGCGCCGCACGCGCCCGTCTCTTCCCCTTCTCCTGGCGTGTTCCGCTTCACCGGCACCAGCCCCAGCGGCGGCGGCGGAACTGATGGCACAGGCGCGGGGAGCAGCGGAACGCCGCTGGGTCTTCTGGGGAGCGGCGTGGGGACTTTCTCCGGGCTGGGGGCGTCCGCGCATACGTCCAGCCCCTCTTCCGCCGCGGGGCTCCCCTCCCGCCGCGAGGAGGTGCTCCGGCTGCGCGCGCAGCTGCGGAGGCGCGACGAGATGATTCTCGACATGCAGACACAGCTGCTACGCCAGGAGGAGGGAGTTGCGGAGCGTATGGACGGGCTGGCGGAGCTTGAGCGCGCGCTGGAGGAGCAGCGCGCGGAGAAGGCGCGCGCGGAAGTGAGGGCGGCGGAGGCGGAGAGGGAGGCAGAAGCTCAGGCGGAACAGTGCCAGGCTTTGTTGCGGAGGCTGAAGGAGCTGGAACGGGGCAAAGGGGGGCGAAGCGGAAGCGGGGACAACTCCGGGGGTGGAAATGCTAGCGCGGAAGGAGAAGCAGGCGGAGCCAGTGGGGGGAAGTCGGAAGAGGGGGAGTCCAGGGCGGCGGAAGGCGTACTGGAGGCGCAGATTGCGGAGGCTGTGGCGGCAGCAAAGGAGGCGGCAAGGCAGGTGGCGGAGGCCGCAGCAGCGGAGCAGTACCGCGTGGGAAAGGTGGAAGGATCTCTGGCCGCGCAGCGGGAGTTGGAAATCGCCGTGCGGCGAGGCAGGCAGCTGGAGGAGCAGCTCTCTAAGGCAGAGGAATCCGCGGAGAAATGGGAGAGGCTTGCGCGGGAGGCTATGGCGGAAAGCGCGCGGAAGGAGGCGGAGGCAGCGGACGCAGAGGCGCGCGCCGCCCGCGCAGCAGCGGAGGCGGAGCGCTTGGATGAGGAGTGCGCGGCGCTGGGCGCGCAATACCAGGCGGTTCAGGAGCAGGCGGAGGCGCTGGAGAACGATTTGCGGGAAATGCAGGAAAAGGCGGAGCTCTGGGAGAACAGAGGCCACGAGGCCGTCAATATAGTGGAGATACTTGAAGCGGAGCTGACTGTAGCGAAGCAGCAGGCGGAGGAGGCGGAGGAGGCGAAGCGGGAGGCGGAAGAGGCGCGGCGAGAGGCGGCGGACGCCAAACTCGAGGCGGCTATGGCGCGGGAAAAAGTGGCGGATGCCTCCGCCGCGATGGCGGAAGAAGCGGAAGCGACAGGCGCGCGGGTGAAGGAGCTGGAGGAGCGGTTGGAGGAGACCGAGGGGCGCGCGCGGTACTGGGAGGTGGCGGGGAGCGAGGCGGTGGAGCAGGCGGCGGCGGCGGAGCGGAAGGAGGCGGCGGCGGTGGCGGCGGTAGAGCTGGCGGCGCAGATTTCGTACCAGAAGGGGCGCGACGAGATGCGCGCGGAGATGCAGGCGGAGATGGGCCCGCTGGTGCAGGCGTGGGAGCGGAAATGCGATGCGCTTCAGAAGCAGTGCGAGTCGCTGCAGCAGCGGAAGGGGGAGGTGCGGGAGGAGCGGGACGGGAGGGGCGGTGGGGGAAGCGGAGAGGGGAGGACAGCGGAAGGAAAGGCGGAGAGTGGGGAGGAGAGTGGAGTGGAGAGTGGGAGTGTGGTGGATGAGGAGGGGGAGGGGTCTGGGAAGAGTGAGGTGGTGTCAGGGGACGAGGGGGAGGGTACAATGCTTGCACCCACGAGCTCATCGGAAGAGGAAGGTGCGCCTGCCCCCAGCAACACACCTGCGCCATCCCTGGCCGCTGTGCTAGAGCAGGAGGTGCAGCAGCTGCAGGAGAAATTCGCGTCGCTGGAACGGGTGTATTCCCTGGCGGAGCAGGAGCGCACTGTGCTGCAAGAGAGGAACTCTATTTTGGAGCAGGCGCAGTCTGAGTTGGAGCAGGAGCGTGCAGGCCTGCAGCAGGTTCTGGCAGAGAGGGAAGCAAGGCTGCAGGCGTGGGAAAAGAAGGGCGAGGAATTCAGTGCAACAGTTGAAGAGCTGGAGGAGTGGAGGGGGAAGGCGGAAGAGGCAGCACTGGCTGCAGCAGCAGCTGAGGCGGTCCTCCTTGCAGCGTGCGAGCAGGCAGAGGCAGCTAAGGTTCTGGCAGAGGGGCGAGCTGCTGCTGTTACTGCTGCTGCTGCTGCTGAGACTGCTGCTGCTGAGGCTGCTGAAGCAGCAGCTAGGGCGGCGATAATGCAGGCAGAGGCGGCAGCCGAAGCAGCCAGAGAGGAGGCAGAGAGAGCGAAGGCCGAAGCGAGTGCTGCTATGGCTGCTGCTGTAGAGGCAGAATCATCTGCGAAGGCTGCTGCTGCTGAAGCTGTGACGGCTACTGAAGCTGCTGCTGCTGACGCTGTTTCAGCTGCCGAGGCTGCTGCTGCAGGGGCGCGAGAGGAGGTGGGGGAGCTCAAGAGGCAGTACAGGCAGCTCGTGGAAATGCAGGAGGCTGCTTCAGAGGCCGCGCAGGCGATTATAACGCAACAGGGGCAGCTTATAGCGGAGCATGAGGCGCGGATGACAGACCTGAGCGCGGAGCTTGAGAGCAGCCGCGCTGCTGCTGGTGAGATGAATAACAGGCTTGAGGGTGCAGTTAGAGAGACAGAGGAGAGGCAGAGGGAGCTGGCAGAAGCGGGTGCAGCAGCAGAGGAGAGGGAGCAGCAGGTGAGGGTGCTGCAGGAGCAGCTGCGTGCTGCCCTGCAGAGGGAGGAGGAGCTCCAGCAGGAGGTTCTAGAGGCGAAGGCGGCAGTGGAAGGAAGAGTGGCTGATGCTGTAGCAGCAGCTGTAGCAGCGGCTGTAGCGGACGTGAGAGCTAGTGAAGCCGCCAAGTGGGAGGGAGCAGCAGCAGCAGCTGCAGCTGCAGCAGAGGCGGAAGCAGCAGAGCGGTTCGCCAAGGGGCGGGAGGAGGGAATGAGCGAAGCTGCAGCTGCAGTGGCGGAAGCCGAGGCCAGAGCTGCGGCTGCTGCTGAAGTAGCTGAAGCCTTGGCTGCTGATGCGAGGGCACAGGCCGATGTTGCTAAGGAGAGGTGCGTGGTGCTGCAGAATGAACTAGAGGCGAGTGAGAGGAGGGCGCAGGAGAGTGCGAGGAGAGTGGAGGAGATGACGGTGAAGGAGAGAGAGGCGTTAGAGGCGCTTGAAGCGGCAGAGGCGTCTCAGGAGCAAGTGGTGGCTGCTGCTGTGCGTGCCGCCCAAGCTGCCACCCAAGCAGCCGCAGATGTCGCAGCAGAAGCAGCAGCAGAGGCAGCAGGCGAGGCTGCACGGCAGCAGCTGGAGAGAGAGCGGGAGGAGAGGAGGAAGGAGGTGGAAGCAGTGAGGGATCAAGCTGAGGCAAATGCAGCCGAGAGAATCAAAGAGATTGAGGCTGCAGGAGCAGGTGCAGTTGCGAGTGCTGTAGCAGAGGCTGTAGCGGCACAGGAGACAGAGGTGGCTGTTGCTGTGGCGGCTGCTGTAGCAGCAGGGGAGGAGCAAGCAGTCGAGGCGTTCAGGAAGGGGTTGGAAGCTGGTAAGAAGGAGGCGATGGTTGAAGCCGAGAAAGAGAGTGAGAAGGTGAGAGAGGAGTGTGCTGTGCTGGAAGCTAGGGTTAGAGAGACTGAGGAGAGGCTGAGAGAGAGTGAGAAGCAGCTAGAGGAGAGTGAGGGGAGGGTTGGGGAGAGGGAGAGGAGGCTGAAGGAGAGTGAGAGAAGGTTGGAGGAGAGCGAGGGGAGGCTGGAGGATTGGAGGAAGATGAGGGAAGCTCAGGAGGAGGCACTGGGAGGGGGGCTGATCACAGCAGGAGCAGCAGGAGGGGGTACAGCTGCAGTAGCTGCATCATCAAAACAAGGAGCAGTTTCAGCAGATGCGGAAGCAGCATCTCCCACAGAAGCAGCAGCGGCGGCAACAGCAGCAGAAGCAGCAGCAGAGGCAGCAGAGGCTGTGGAGGTGCCGATAGGGCTGACTCCGAAACAGTTGGAAGATGTAAGGGCACTTCTCGAGGAGAATCGCCAGCTGGACGCGGCCAAGGTGGCAGCCGAGAGGGCTGCTGAGTTGGCAGGCAGTGAGCGTGATGAGCTAGCGGGGCGTGTGAAGGAGCTGGAGAGCCAGCTGGCAGCGCTGATTCAGGAGCAGCAGGAGGCAGCAGCAGTGGATGTGAAGGAGGAGCAGGCACTTGTGAGTGGTAAAGATCCTGTGGTGGAAGAAGGGAGAGAGAAGGACGAGAATCTCAAGGTGTTTGACGGGCTGTCCACTCGCAGTCTTGCAGGCAGTGATGACAGCAGCAGCAGTGAGGGCAGTCTGGGGGAGGACGCAGTGGATGGACAGACAACAGCTGGTGTGGGGGATGGTGGGGCTGAGAAGGAGGTGGTGGAGGAGGAGAAGGAGCAGAGCGATGAGGTAGGGGAGCGGCAGTTGAATGAGGAAGAGAAGGTGCTGCAAGAGGAGGTGGACTCCGAAGCGGGTGGCAGTGGAGAACAGGTGGTTGTGTTGGAGTCGTACAGTAGTGGCGTCCCACCTGCCGTCCACCCTGAGATGCAGGAGGCTGGCGTGCAGGAGGCTGGCGTGCAGGAGGCTGGCGTGCAGGAGGCTGGAGTGCAGGAGGCTGGAGTGCAGGAGGCTGGCGTGCAGGAGGCTGGCGTGCAGGAGCATCAGGAGGAATCTGATGTTGCCTTGAGGGGGGACGGTGTTGTGAACCCGGGTGATGCAGTGAGTCAGGGTGGTGCAGCGAACCAGGACAATGCTGTGACTGAGGCAGGTGTAGACGCAAAGGAGGCAGCTGAAGCTATTCCGGCTGGAACTTCTCCTGCTGAAGCTACTCCTGCAAAAGCTATTCCTGCCGAGGCTACTCCTGCCGAGGCCACTCTTGCCGAGGCAACTCCTGTGGAGGCCACTCCTGCCGAGGCTACTCCTCCCGAAGCTACTCCTGCCGAGTCTACTCCTGCCGAAGCTACTCCAGCTGAAGCTGTGCCTGCTGGACCTATGCCCGCTGAACCTGTGTCGGCTGAAGCCGTAGCTTTGCCTACAGGTTTTGGCAATGAAAGTGCTGGCAGCAAAAGTGAGGCATTCAAGTTAGTTAATCCTGCCAGCAGGCATGAGGCTGACAGCAAGGATGGGCTAGCAGCAGCTGAGTCAAGTGAACCGGGCCCGTTCAAATTCAGCAGGGGAGGTGGAACTCCTCAGAAAGGCCGGCGTGGTGGTGGCTATAACCGAGGGGGTCGAGGTGGTCGACGAGGTGGCAAGAATTGGTAGCCCTGCAACTCAGGTACGTGGTCCTATTTGAGCGTCGCCGAGTTTGTGCATACTGCTGAAGATTTCTAACTTTCATGGGACGTGTTGTTTTGCAGGTTTATTTATTGGACGACGGTTGTGACCCTTCATGGAAATCTGACAGCGTCTCTATTTCTTCTTTAGTGATAGATTTATGTTTCACTTGCCTGAGGTTTCATGCTAATTGAAACGTCCTTCAGTATTTGCTAAATGTAGTGTAGACTGATCTAATCCTCAACGCCATTGGGCCAAGACGTGGCATCAGGGGAAGCCGATTGCATTTGCCAGTGTGTCGATGACGTGGACCCAGCTCCTCCGCAGCCCCAATAACATCTGCCAAGGATAACAATTAGCGCACAACTCCACCACATCAATCCCATCCCAGGGGGAAATCCCTTTCTCCAGACTGGGTAGACATTGACAGAAAAAGCTTCAGGGCTTCGGAACTTCTCTGAATATGTTCCTGTTTTTCTGAGGTTATGTTCTGGTGAGGAGTTTGCCACTGCCACCAAGCCGCTTGTTAGTGGCATCTGTTGAGAGCAATTAGGGCATGAACATTTTTCAGCGCGGGCTTACGAGACTGCTTTCAAGCCACGGCTTGCCATTTCCTGTGATACGCCGGCTCAACCTTCTCGAATCATCCGTTCCTGGACTGAGCTTGCCTCAGCAACGAATCGCGACAATGGCATGTAACGCAGCAGAGGCGTTAAGCTTGTCGCTTAGACCACCCGTTATTCCAACTGCCAACCCGTGCAGATTGCACAAGAAAAACACGACTAACGCCTTGGTCCAAGGAAGTCGCCTCACTTCGTTCCTTGGAACGCAACTTCACTCGCAGAATGACCGATTGAGACCATACGCGTCAGTATCGTCAGCGATGCCATCAGTGGTCGCTTCTTCAGCAGCTGTTGAGGCGAAGGAGGTGTCCCCTCCGAGTCAACCGAACGACGGTTCCGTGAAAGCGGCTGCTGCTCCTCCTGCCACGTGGAAGGCGAGCATTGACTTCAAGTGGGTACGGGAGAACCGGGACCTGATGGAGGCTAATGTCAAGGAACGTCAGTCCAATGCTGACGTGGCTCTTGTCGTGGAGCTTTACGAAGACTTTGTTTCAAAGAATTTGGTAAGAATAGTTCTTTAATTATGTTAATATTACATTGTTTATGCTTGCAAGACTACTTCTGGAATCACTATCTGTTGCTAATTCAGCAGTCTATCGTGCATGATCTTCTTGGCATATGCTGCATGGTGTGCGTGCATGCGTGGGCTATCAATCCTCCAGGAGGTGGATCGGCTACGCGCGGAGCGGAACAGAGTGGCGAACGCGATGAAGGCCAAGCTGGAGGCGGAGGAGAGGGCGAGGCTGGTGAGCGAAGGCAAGCACCTCAAGGACGTGCTCGCGGGTCTCGAGGCCGAACTGGGGGAGGTGGCTTCTGAGCTGCAGCGGGAGGGCCAGCGCCTCCCCAACTTGACCCATCCTGACGTGCCACGTGGCGGAGAGGAAGTGGCTGTCACTTTGCGAACGGTGGGCGAGAAGCGCGCGTTCGCGTTCCCCCCGAAGGACCACGTGGAGCTCGGTCTCGCGCTCGACCTCTTCGACTTCGACTCCGCTGCCGAGGTGCGCTCAGCCTGCTGGCAAGCCTGCTGGGTGCCTGCTGTGTGTCTGTCACTTCTGCATCCCCTCCCATTAGTCTAATATTCCTTCCTGAACTCCCCCCGTTCTTATTCCACCTCCCCTTTGAGTCTCTCGCCTGCATTACATCTTCCGCACTTGCTCTAGTAGCTTAGCCTCATGTAAAAGTCCCCATGCTAGTCAACTCCACACAAAGTTCAGCAATCTGCGCAATGAATTAACTGGCGCGTCCACTTCAATTCAATTTCCGGTATCTCCCCCACCTTCCGCCTCTTTTCCCCCCTCCGCCAGGTGAGCGGCGCCAAGTTCTACTATCTGCGCAACGAGGCGGCGCTGCTGGAGATGGCGCTGATCAATTGGGCTCTCGCGCTGCTCGTCGCGCGCGGCTTCACGCCCGTATCCACCCCCGACCTCGTGCGCGCGCACGTCGTAGAGCGATGCGGCTTCCAGCCGCGCGCTGCCAACACGCAGGTGTATTCAGTGGAGGGGTCGGATCTGTGCTTGGCCGGCACAGCAGAGATTCCCGTGGGCGGCAGCTTCATGGATAAGATCTTGAGCGAATCAGATCTGCCACAGCGCGTTGTGGCCTTCTCCCACTGCTTCCGCACAGAGGCTGGCGCTGCCGGCTCTGCCACCAGGTAACGTGGGGTTCAGGGAAGGGGAGAGGAATGAGAGGAGTGCGACCTGTTCTTGGTAGAGTAATTGTCGACATGCTGCCAAGGGTGGGCGTTATATCAAGGCATGCGTGTCTGAAGGTTACCCCCCGCTTACTGACGGTCGATCGCTGGTCTTTTCCCATGGCCAGCAATCAACAAACAATTTAAGTAAGCCAGAGCGACCGGGGCTGTGCCTCTCTCCTGCCCATGAAGCACCTCACAGTGGCCATGGGCAATTGCCTGTGTACCTACTATGTGGAGCCCATTGGACGGGGCGGGGTGAGGCAGGCCCAACACTCTAGTTCACCCAATCATTTCCAGGAAATTCTCGCCCATTTTACACACTCATGCCGTGTTTTCACCAGCGAGTTCATAAGCAACCCGGTTTCTATTTCACTTCGCCCTTACCCATTCGATCTGCCCCTGCTGCGCCAATACAGGGGGTTGTACCGCGTGCATCAGTTCAGCAAGCTGGAGATGTTTGTGGTGTGCCGCCCGGAGGACAGCGATGCCTTCCACCAGGAGCTCATTCAGATCGAGGAGGACATGTACACTGCTCTCGGACTGCACTTCGTGTACGGTCCTTGCAGGCGGTTCAAGTCTTGGTTGTCCTGTCTTAGTCTGCTCATCATATGCTTTCCATCTCATCCCACACCTGTCTCTCGAGTCTCACCTATGGAGTTTTACTCTTGTTCCCCCCATTGCCGACAGCACTTTGGACATGCCAACAGCTGATCTAGGTGCTCCTGCCTATCGCAAGTTTGACATCGAGGCCTGGATGCCGGGCCTCAACCGATATGGAGAGGTATAGCATTGATGTTCATTTTCTACCCTTTCCTTTTGAGTGATGGTGCGTTCGGATTGGTAGAAATTCATCCTGATGTTTGCATCTGACTGTGGATTTCAGATCTCTAGCGCGTCAAACTGCACTGACTATCAAGCTCGTCGGCTGAACATCAGATACCGCCCTGCATCCAATGCTGGTGGTGAGGAAGCAAGCAAAACGAAGCCCGAGAAGGGGAAGAAAGGTGGCAAAGCCAAGGCACCTTTGGCTCCACCACGGTTTACCCATACATTGAATGCTACTGCCTGTGCGGTTCCTCGCCTGATCGTGAGCATTCTAGAAAATTTCCAATTAGAAGATGGTTCTGTAGAGATTCCAGAGGTTTTGCGGCCATATATGGGTGGTATCTCTGTTATTAGGCGGAAGTGAATATATTGAGCTGTCGCTGACTTTTACAATTGCCTTTCTCCCACTGACTGTATTCATAGGGGACGCAACCCATGACAAATCCAACTGAGCTCGTAGGCGACAGTGCACTTTCTTTCCTTGTTAGACGGTGTCTGATTGGTCACGGCTTACGTGTTTCAGGGACATTTATGCGTCAATCCTTCTTCCCTGCTGGTGCTTTCGAAAATTCTGTAGATATTCCTGTACAGTAACTTTCGCCTTCTGGAAGTTTGAGTTGACTGACAGATCACGTCACACGCACGCCGAATCGCTCCCATGTGGTCCCAACCAGCTGCCCAGATGTTCTGATGCACTTCTTGGGAAGTGGTGACTGCCGTTCGTTTCAGTGCGATGACAGAGTGAAAAGAATCTCACCAATCGTGGCAAAGTTTTCTCCTGCCCGAACTTACACCCTTCCCAGCGTCCACACCAATCGATGGTTGCTTGCGGTTGTCGTTCTTGCTGTCATTTCCAGGTCCCATCTCTTCCTCTCCACCGACGTCACAGATTCAAGTTTTCCAGAGAAGTTCTATTTTCATTATTCGCAACTGCTTGTGCCTCTTCAACTTGCAGCCATTGACTAGCGATTGCGCCTATTTTCAGCAGTCTGTTTCGCGACTCTCCATCAGTGCATCTTGTCAAGCAACTCGCTTTCTTGCTTAGTTGATATCAGCAGGTTTACGCAGGCCATGGCGGATCCCTCCTCGTCCCGCAGTTCTCCCACAGCCGACATAGGTCTGAAGCATCTCGAATTTGCTAGGCATGCTGTGATAAGCTTGTACATCCTCCTCTTTAAGCTTTACGAGCAAGCCAAGGGAAACTCAGGCTCGCTTCGAACAGGAATTGACAGGGTGGAGAGCATGGTCAGGACCGTGATTGGCCCTGTGTGGAATAAGATTGAGGACAAGCCAGACGAAGTACTTCGTTTCGCAGACGAGAAGGTAAGATTGAATATGCCCTCTCCCATCATACCCTCTCTCTATATTGCATGAAGTCTGATGGATCCGTTTGGCATTCAGGTTGACGTCGCACTGAAGTACGCGGACAGCTACATCCCTAGAGACTTGGCTTTCCGAGCTTCTGATTTTGTCCGCACTGTTCCGGTGCGTGCCAAGGAGGCACTTCACGGCTATCAGGAGAAGGGGGCCCTTGGCGCAGCTAAATCCTATTATTACGACTCATTGGAGCCGGTTCTGTCAGCCTACCTTGTCTTCTTGTGGCGCTTGGCGTTGTCCATGCCGCTTGTTCCCCATGTAGTGGTAGCAGCTTACCCCACGGTATTCGCAGCAGCCAGTAAGTACAACACCGTCGTCGCATCGTTTCAAAAATCCGACTTCGCGTATGTGAAGAAGGCTGCGGATGTGGTCCCGCTTGTTCCTGTGGAGAAAGCTGAGAGCTACGTGAAGCTCAGTCTACAGCAGGCTGGAGTGCAATAACTGACATATCCAGACGTGACATGTTATATGTATGCATGTTCTGGAATGATAGTTTAGTGTATGGAAAATACGCAATTTCTGGCAATTTGTAGATTTCTTGCATATGGCAGCTACAGGCAATAACTGTGTAAGGAATTTTTCGGATTCCTTACTGGGTCACACTGTACGCGTACAAACCTGACTTTTCGGAAAACCAGGCTCGGTCCGACGACCTCGCCTTCCGAACCACTATCGCGTCGTTTTCGGGTTTCACAACCCCGAACCTGCACCCAGCCATCCTGCGACCCTACAACCTCAGCCCAGCTAGCTTCGCTATATTAGTCCTAGGCCTCGTTGTGCTATCAGTAGTTGTAATCACTTCCGCGATATTGAATTCTGCGCACTCTTCTTTCATACAACTCATAACAAACTGCCTGCTGTGAATAACATTAATGGCACTCCCGTAGGTGCGAGGATCACTGAAATTCGTAGTGTCTGAGAAAGAAAGAACGAGTAGTCATGCTCTTACACCTATACTCACAACAATTATTCAACACTCGTGATTATTACCCAGCTGTGCTACACGCCATGGTGGCTTCACATTGGGAGAATGCCATTATGGGTAAAAAGCCAAGACGGATCAACTCAAAATCGAATCCAGGCTGAAAGAGTTATGCTGACATTTTCAAGACAGGCAGAGTCGCGACTCCGTCCTCCCTCACTGCTCCGCCAGTCACTTGGCTCTTCTGAGTCATTCCAGCTGAACCCGCAACCGCAGATGCCATAACCTGCCGCGACACAATCTTGCGCACGACGCGGCCGCCGAAGGCGTGGACGAGGATCCAGGGGTGGGAGAGCAGCTTGGCGGCGGAAGGGCGTCGGCGCGGGTCGCGGTGCAGCATGCAGCGGAGTAGCCCCTTAGCCTCCGCCGACACCCCCGCCCACGCGCCGCTCGTCAGGTCCAGCGGCGCCTCCAGCACGGCGCGGAACACGCCGTTGTCGTCAGCGCCCCAAAACGGCGGGCTGCCGCTCAGCAGCACGTACAGCACCACGCCCAGCGACCACACATCCGCCTCCGCCCCATATTCGCCGCTCAGCACTTCCGGTGCGATGTAGAATGGGGAACCGGCAATGCCGCACGCCCTGGTTTCCCGATCGACCTGCACCGCAAGGCCGAAATCCGCGACTTTCGCGAACAGCTGTGGGGGGTTCTGAGGGCGTGTCGGCAAAGTCCCGGTTGGTGTCGGTTGTCTCCGGTGAAGGAGAATGTTTTCCGGCTTCAGATCGCGATGCACAATGCCGCGGGAATGGCAGAACGCGACGGCCGATACGATCTGACGGAATATCAGCGCCGCCTCTTTCTCTGGTAACCTCTTTCGCCGCACGACTTCGTCGAACAATTCCCCGCCTTCGCACAGTTCCATGACGAGATGAATCTCTGATTCATCTTCGAAAACCGTTCGAAGCTGCACCACGCCCGGGTGTCCCGCGACGGTCTGCATTATCGCCACTTCGCGCCGCACGTCCTCCCTCGCTGATTCCGTGAGCAGTCGATCCTTCATAATCGTCTTGCACGCAAGCACCTCGCCTGTTGCCCTGTTCACGCACCGGCGAACGACGCCGAAATGGCCGGAACCGATTGGCTCGTCGCAGATTGAGAAGTAATCATCGAGGCGCGCCGTGCATTCCGGAAACACGGCGTCGCTGGACGGTGTCGTCGCAGGCTGCGCGGCGTCGCTGTCGTCGTCGAGACGAAGATCGGAGAGTGGCGACGCTAGTAACAAGTCGCTGGGGCATTTTCGTGGTCGTTTCGCGGGGCTGCTTGTCTGAGTTTTCCTGTACTCCTGTGACCGCTCACCGCAATCTGGAGCCATGGCGTAGTTGCTGGTAGAAGGAAGATTTCCTCGTGTATTCTCAGAATTAGCGGCTATCTGGGGGGAGATTCTATTGCGAGTAAGGGTGGAGAACCTGCAATGCTGAGAAATGAACAGCTGACGGGAATCTTGCTGTGTATGACCAGCTACGTCCGACCAGGAACACAGTACTGCAAATGTGGATGTGGAGGACTGTGGCGGTCGGCCGTGTTATGTAACACAATGCACACAGCTGGGCAGGATTATGTCTGTGGATAGCAAGGCCCAGGTGCGGAGCTCACTCCTGCTTCTTACGCGGAAGAGATGATTGTAACGCGGCTTTATTTCCTGGCTTGCTGCGACGCTCCAGCTGCCTCAAAAACACCCTGAAATATTCGAAAGAAGCACAGAGACCTACAATGGCTCGGGCTTTCAGACGAACCCTTATTAAAGTGTAGCAACAATAATTCTGTGCTGTTAAATAAAGAGGCGATCATTTCCTTCGGCTGGTGGGAACATGACTAGGGGAAGACAAGGATGGTCTGGCGACGAACGGGGAGGTTCTGACTGACATTCTGTGTACCAGGTCCTAGTTGGAGCTCCAAATAGACCTTCTCTGCGTGTGGGTGATGGTCATTACTTACCCAGAAAACAAAGGTTCATGCTCTTGCTGTGAGGGAAAACGCTAGCCTCTATGGTGCTGCTGTTGTCTGTGTGACGACCACCCTCCACGAGTCCCATGCTTGACTGTAAAGATGTCGCATGCGACAGTCTAGGAGGAACACGTCGTCCGGTCCGCATTCCACGACCCAGATTTTTTTACGACGACTACCTGCGACTGGAAGGACGACGATCCAGCCGTGCACAGCTGTCGCGAACGTGGCTTTGAAGAGTAGACAAACCTCGATCTGCTTCGTCCCTTGTCCTGAATTCCATTCTAGGTTGGCAGATTCTGTGGCAGCCGACCGTCGAACCGATGGCGCTTGGGGATCCGTGGACGAGAATTGCCTCTTCAACAGACATTCATCATACAGTTTCCTTCCTATGGGGGAAAATCTGCTCGTCGAGTAAGATGAACCACAAAGAATGCGGTAGATGGATGTCATTGGGTGATATTTCGAAGCATATCCCATTGACCGTGAAATGCCCTCCGCGTGGCATTTTGCAACTCCACGGAGTTCAGATAGGCCCCGCTCCATCTGGCGGGTGTCGCGGAACTTGAAGGACAGACCAGACCAGCCAGCTCGCCCCGCGTTTAGTTGAGGTCTGAAACTCACCACATTCGCGTGCCCGCCATGCTATGGCCAATTGTGGGTGAGATGAGTGGAGCGTGATTTGTAGGACGCCTGCGGCTGTCTGACCGAAAGAGAAGATTTTTTGTTGGTGCTGGTCTTGCGTCTCCGTCAAGGCCATGTCGTCCTGTCTTTACCTATCCAAGCGGATGCACGCACGTGACGACGCACACACACGCCACAGCAACGCGCACTTCATTGTCAGACTAAGATCTCGTTATTAAGTGCAAGTGGTGTTGCCATAGCACTTCGTTATGCTGTATTTGTAAAGTTGATCGTGCCATTCACCCCTTCCTGGTACCTAAAAAGGAGACGACGTTTTCTGTCAAACACTATATCGTGTTAATTACATCCTGAAGTGTAAAGGGATGAAGCTATTATATACGATAGCGAATCCATTAATTCGCTAAAATGTTGCAGTTTGGGGTACACCAGATTCACGCCATGTGGACGCGCCACTCGCTCGCTATCACATGAACCTGGTTGGACCAACTGTACAGTACAGCTTGCAGGCGGGAGCGGATGAAACTGTACTGCAGTCTCCTGATTTGCCGACATATCTCCTGACCTGTACGGGCCTGCGCTGTAACCCTCGGCCATCACGTTTGCCCCACATCTGTGTCAACTACCAGCAATGTGGGGCATTGGAGGAAGTGTCACCAACACGGCGCCACGCCACGTGAGCAGAAGGGGGTTGCTTCTCTTGCTCCTTCACTCCCACCATATACATGCACCGCGCTTCATGGCTTCTTTCTTCTTAAGTCCCAGCCCAGCATTCATCCATTCTTCATTCTGTTCGTTCCAGCCGAACGTCGCCCAAGTATTTCGGATCCACGATTCCTAGTGAGTTACAGGGCCGCCATCGTTTCCTCTCTCCGAGATCGGACATTGGTGCAAGCTTGTAGACGTGCGCTTTCCAAGATCCTTCTGCTTGAACCGGACGTGAGGGAATGCCGCCCACTATCGAAGCGGCCGCAGCTCCCGAGGTCGGCAGACTGCTCCCGCCGCGAACCATCGCACGCCGAGATTTGGCGCCGCATCCATCGAAGACTATTAACCAAGGTAGATCGGACCTAAGTAACCAAGGCAGATCGGATTTGAGTTTAGAGGCTATTGAAACGGAAGCGAGAATGTCTGCACCGGCGAGGGGGATGGCTGCTATGGAGGCAGGCGATAGGACGGCTGTAGCTCAGCCAATAGAAAGGGCCGATGAGGGGGCGGCTGTAGCGGAGCCGATACAGAGCGACGTGAGCAGGCAGTCATCGGTCAGCGGAAGGAACGGTGCTGACGAGCCTGCGGAGCGGGCTTCCGGAAATCACGGCGCGGATCACGGGGCGGGTGTAGCACGCGCGTTGCAGCAAGTGGCGGCGGCAGGGGCGCAGGAGGACGATCGCAGAGACGACGGACTGAGCTTCTGGCAGCACATGGTTGCAGGATCTGTCGCAGGTGCGTGTCGCCCATAGCAGAGTGTCGCAGGTGCGTGTCGCCCATAGCAGAGTGTCGCAGGCTGCGTCGCGGATCCCGACCGAAACGCGAGTCTTAGCGTCTGCAAAGCGTCTCGCTCGTTGCGCCGACGATCCCGATTCGCTCAAAAGAGCTCCCCCGCCACTCTCCATGGCGTGACCAGCCACTCGCTCACATTCTTAAACTCTCGCACCGTGAATCCTAATTCCTGCTGCTGCAGCCTTTTCCCCCCCGTCTCGTCGTCTCTCCGCCTTCCTCATCACCGACGCGCCCACATGCCCTGTCAACGTCTCTGTCTGAATGTGCCTCGTGGAGCACGTGGCCTTGTCTCCTTGAGAATCTTGGAAATACTTGATATCTTTTTTTTGCTCGAAAATTCCTCCCAATCTTGCTGCGCCCTCCCACCCGCCAGGCATGGTAGAGCACATGGCCATGTTCCCCGTCGACACAATCAAGACGCGCATGCAAGCGCTCGCCACCACCAGCCCCCCCGTTCCCCCCGTTCCCCCCGCGCCCTCCGCACCCTCTGCTGCTTTCTCCGCCCTCCCGTCCGCCTCTCCTTCCGCGCTTTCCTCCTTCTCGTCTCTCTCCGCCTCTAGGGGCGTCCCCGCTGCCACTTGCGCCTTCCAATCCACGTGCTCTGTCGCAAATCCAGCATCAGCAGCAGCGCAGACCCTCTCGCATTCGCCCACAATCCGGAACGCAGTTTCGTCTATCCTTAAAACGGAAGGCGCGGCAGGCTTATATCGGGGAATAGCTGCCATGGGGCTGGGGGCCGGTCCTGCCCATGCCGTGTACTTCGCCGTTTACGAAGCGGCGAAAGAGTCGTTACTGAGAAACAGCAGTAGTAGCAGCAGCAGCGTCTCCGATGGTTCAGGGTTTACGCCGGCTTTAGGGTTTTCGCTGCCACCAGCAGTCGCGCATGCGACGGCGGGCGCGCTGGCGACGGTGGCGAGCGACGCGGTGCTGACGCCGATGGACGTCGTGAAGCAGCGCCTGCAGCTTCGGCGCAGCCCATATGCTGGCGTGGTGGACTGCTGCCGCAAGGTGCGTGGGGAGGAGGGTGGGCACGTTGGTGGGCACGTGGGTGGGCACGTGGGTAGGCACGTGGGTGGGCAGGTGGGTGGGCACGTGGGTGGGCACGTGGGTGGGCACGTGGGTGGGCACGTGGGTGGGCAGGCGAGTGGGGAGGTGGGTGGGCACGTGGGTGGGCACGTGGGTGGGCACGTGGGTGGGCAGGCGGGTGGGGAGGTGGGTGGTTCTTGAGAATTCTCACAAACCTCTCAAAATGACTGCAGCTGCGGCGCAGCCCGTATGCTGGCGTGGTGGACTGCTGCCGCACGGTGGGTGGGGCTGTGGGCGGGCAGGTGGGTGGTTCTTTGGGATTCTCCCTAATCCCCCCAGTCTCCCACGGCGGCACTCTCAAGGAGGGTGCAGGACTGCGGAGTGGGGGAAGTGGAGGGGAGAGGAAGCAGGGGGAGAAGGTTGGTGGGGAAGAGGCTGGGGAAGGGAGGGTAGGGGGATATGGCTGTGGGGGAAAGGCTGAGGGGTAGCGCCGTGCGAGGATTGGATGGGTTGTTGAGGATTGAGGGCAGCCGGGCACTTGACCAAAGTGTCCCCATGCCTTCCCTTTCCCCTTCTCCTTCCTCGCGCCCTCTACCGCACCACGCTAGTCATGAACGTGCCTTTCACATTTGCCCCCATGCCCACTCCGTTCCCCTTCACCTTCCCCTCCGGCCCGCCCATCCCCCCCAACGCATCTTCCCACACCCAAATGCTGCAGGAGGGGGAAATCCGCGCCTTGGACCGCTCCAACCACACCACTCGTCATGAATGTGCCGTTCACAGCCGTACACTGTGCAATGGTGCCCCCATGCCCCTCCTTTCCCCTTCCGCTTCCCCCACCCGCCCACCCCTTCCCCCAACCGCCTGTCAAGATCCAGATGTTGCAGGAGGAGGGGAATGCACGCCTTGGACCGCTCGTACCGCACCACTCATCATGAACGAGCCCTTCACAGCGTGTTCATCACCTGTGTGCCCGCGTACACTCCCCACATGTTTCAGATGTTACAAGAAGAGGGAATTTACCCCTTCTTTCGCTCCTACCGCGCCACACTGGTCTTGAACGTGCCCTTCACAGCCGTGCATCTTTCCAATGTGCCCCCATGCCTGCCCTCCCCTTTCCCCTTCCCCTTCTCTTCATTACCAAACACATTTTACTCAATCCAGATGTTACAAGAAGAGGGGATTTACTCCTTTTACCGCTCCTATCGCACCACGCTAGTCATGAACGTGCCCTTTACAGCCGTGCACTTTGCCACGTACGAGGCCAGCAAGGCAGGCCTGGGGCGGGCGCTACCGGGGGAGGCATTACCTGGGGAGGGCGTGCTGGACGAGGACAGGCTGCTCACTCACGTGCTGGCGGGCGGCGCTGCTGGCGCTCTTGCCAGTGCTGTGACTAATCCTCTTGACGTTGTGAAGACACGGCTACAATGCCAGGTGGGTTGAAGGGTGCACGGGTGGGGAGGTGGTGCTGGTGTGTGCAATGCAGGGTGCAGAGTGTGTGTAAAGTGAAGAATCTGGGGAATGGTGTGATGGTGTATTGACGCGGTACTGCGTCAATACACCACCACACCATTTTGCACTGCACACCTCCATTCCTCGCCTCACTGCCTCCTGCTCCCACACTGAAACTTGTGCGTGCAGGGTGTCTGTGGAGTGAAGCGGCTGCAGAGTGCATCGGTGACGGCAGCGCTGCGCAGCATAGTGAGGGAGGAGGGGTGGGGGGCGCTGCTGAGGGGCATGCGAGCACGAGTGCTTTTCCACACGCCCGCCGCTGCCATTGTCTGGTCAACATACGAAGCTTCCAAGAACCTGCTACGGGACTTGTGAGGGGGGGTGGCTGCTCCAAGGGCTGCTGTCCCTGTGTTATGCAAATGCAGCTCTGTACCACCCTTAGTACGGTACCTGGGTCAGGAAATGGGAGAACATTAGTGGTTGTTTATTCTGTGCTATGCTAGGTTGCATGGTTGACTATAGAGTGCTGTGCTGACGCGTGGCACTCTGCCGCAATTGGTGAGAATGCTGCTGTTGAGGCACTTTTTTCTTGCTGTTGCGGCAGCAGATGGTACAGCTCACTGGTTGCATAATCCACCATCACCCATCCAGAGGATGACCTCATCAGCTTGCTAAGCACGCTGAGCAGCCACTTGGTTGTCACTGTCATGATACATCGGCCAGCTGAACAGCATTGCATCTCCAATTCAAATGGCTCCACCCTGCTTTCTACCACCCAAAAGTATCCCCCCCTTGCTGCCCTCCTGCCACCCTCCCTATGCTCCTTGCAACTAGTCATCTGGAAAACGAATGAGCTGCGGGCAGTGGAGAGCTGATTCTTGTAGCTGGGCTGGGCAGTGAGCAGCTTTCGACCATTCTCAAGAGCATTTACAATACCGTACGGCTGGCTGCTATTCTTCAATGAATGAGCTGCTGCTGACAGTTGAGTGAGAGGTGGTCCGCTCAACAGGGCTGTGCAGCTTTCAAGGATTTCCATAACCAGATATAAAAGGGGTACTGGTCGTCTTGAATGAGTGAGTTGCGGGCAGTTGAAAGGTCCTTCGTATGGTACATTGTTGGGCTGGGCACTTGTCTAGGATCATTCAAAGCACATCTAACATGGCTACTACTGCTCCTATTGCATGAGTGCACCGCGGTGCAGTTACAGGTGGTCAATACGATCAGCTGAACAGACTTCGATGCATTTCAATACGGTATCTACTCTAACGGCTACTAGTCTTCTTGAATGAGTGAGTTGCGGGCAGTTGAAAGATGCTCCGCATAGATGGGCAACTCGAGGAGGAATGCAAACTTGATGAAGTGAGGCAGCATGGCATACAGGCCAGGGGGGAGCGGGATGAGAGGGCTGCACACACCAGGCAGAGGAACACAAACAAGTGGCCAGTAGGAATCGAAACGCACCGAGGACACGGATGGAGGGAGGGTAAGGTACAGACAATGGCACACAGATGTGGTTGCTGGCTGTGCGCAGGTGAAACCTCTTCACATCGAATGAACTGATTGGACCGAACTGGCAGTGCACCGCACACACCTGGTGTTGGCACGGTAGTGAAGATAATCCGCTCGCTGGCCGAACTTCTTGTTGGCGGACTCCTGCCATGGGTGCATGGTGGGATTGGAGAGACAGTGATGAGGGGATGCGTGCATGGTGGCAGTGGGCAGGCATGGAGTGAGACATTGACAGCCGTTGGAAAGGAGTATACATGGATTCAGCAATAACTCAATCGACACAAAAAAAATGCAGTGATGAACAGAATCACAAGCGAGAGCGTAGTGCAAGGTACGCACCTCGAGCAGAGGCATGCGGGAGAGGAAGAGGAGGATGGGACGCACTGACTCACAACGTCACCTAAACGTCACGTCGTACCAACGACACACAACCTTCTGCACGCACCTCAAGCAGAGGCATGCCCGAGAGGAAGAGCAGGATGGTGGCAGTGAAGAGCGGACTCGCCACTGCCACCCACTGCCACCCCTGCAGCACTGCCGAGGTCACCACCAGCACCCCCACCCACGCTAGGATCTGACCAGGGTCACACGGAGTGGGGAAGTTGGGTGGATGTGGGAGGGTGGTGTGGCAGCAAGACTGATGTGCTTCGCACCCTTCCCTTCGGAAACACATTCCCCACCTAGGCTCTTCTACGTACGCGTTGCCATCTCCCACTCACGTCCCTTGCAAACGCTCACTTGCACCATACGTTATCCCTTCACTCACCTTCCCATACCCAGCCGCCTCACACTCCCTACATACACTCACCTCGCCACAGTAATTGGGGTGGCGCGACCAGCTCCACACGCCCACGTCACACCAGTGGCCGCGGTTGGCAGCATCTGCCTTGAATTGCAGCTTCTGCTGGTCTGCCGCCCCCTCCAGCAGCACGCCTGCCGCCCACAGCGCACAGCCCAGTGCGTCTACAGGGCCCAGTGGGGGGTTGCGGGTGACTGTGGCGTTCACGATGGTGACTGGGAGCGACACCACCCACACCCACACCGCCTGAGGATATTGGGGAGAGGGAGTGGGGAATTAAAAAAAACCCAGTGTGTCGGGAGGGCCCAGAGGGGGGTTGCGAGGGCTGTGGCGTTCACGATGGTGACTGGGAGCGACACCATCCACACCCACACCGCCTGATGAGACGAGGAGGGGAAACAGGGGAAGGGGGGGATTAGACAGGTAGAGAGTGGTGAGGGCCCAGAGAGGGGTTGCGTGTGACTGTGGCGTTCACGATCGTGACTGGAGGGACACCACCCACACCCACACCCACACCACCTGATGAGACGAGAAGAGGGGAGGGAAGAATTAGATAGGCAGAGAGTGAAGTAGCGCTAGAGGGGGGTTGCGGGTGACTGTGGCGTTGACGATCGTGACTGGGAGTGACACCACCCACACCCACACCGCTTGATGAGACGAGGAGAGGGGTGGGGGGAACTAAATAGGCAGAGATTGAAGGAAAAGAGAGTGTGGAGAGACCACAGGCAGGAAGAGTGTGACGTGAGGGTGGTACCTGGAACACCCAGAAGATGGCGAACTGCAGGACGTTGTTGCGCGTCTGATCGAACCTGTGGTCCTCCCCCCATGCAAGAATGCTGACAGGCGCACAGGAAACGGAGGGTTGGGTTGGGTTGGAACCGTGAGATTTGGAAGAGATAAGTTAGGAGATGATGCAGAGGGCGCAATAGAGAGGAGGACCAGAGTAACGGGACACTAGGAGGAATACTCGGATGATAGCAGGTGAACACACCGGAAGAGAAGGAAAAGGCCGAGGCGAAGGCCCCAGATGACGACAAGGGATGTCACCAGCACCTGCACAGTCCCAGGCAAGGCGCAAGCGAGAGGCAGGAAACGAGAGCCGGGAACCAATGAGCAGGGGGATCATCGCCTCCTAGCAAGACCCTCCGAATTTCGTCATTCCAACACTTTCAACAAAGGCGGTAACCCTATGTTTTCGCAAGTACACGAGTCGCGACGAGAAGGAATTGGTCTAGAGTACGTTACCTGCCGCAAGTACCAGGTTCCGCTGAGGAAGGAGGTGAGGAGTGCGAGGACAATGAAGTTGGTGGTTCCTGAAAACGGCATCGCATGAAAATAACATGTATTGATTTTAATTTACCAGCCAAAAAAGCTACGGAATGTCGGAACGGATGATTGGCCGAGAACGAGCATCTGATGAGCCTGCTGTATTGGCTGTGCGCACCCGCAAAATCTGTGACTTTATCGAACTTGAAGCCAGCAGCAATCACGAAGAATGATAACTGGTACGCGATGGTGACTACAGCGGTGATTGCGAGGTAGTTGGAGTCAGTCACAGCAGCCATGGCGTCTGGGAGCGCACTTGAGACAGACAAGGATGACAGACGTTTCGAGATGCGGCGATTTCTCGAAGGGCTGAATACTGGAGTGCGAGAGGCTGAATACCGGGAGAAACAACTGATAGAATGAGAAACCGCTGACGGAATACGATGCTGTGAGTCAGTCACGCACTGATGCGGATGAGACCGAAAACGCTTGCTGGCGAAGACGTTTACGCTCTGGTCGCCGATGTTTAATTTACTGCAACATATTGACTTGAATGCTGACATAACGCAGTTATAGTCCTCCCTGTTTGCGTTGTGCCCATCAGCAAGCTCTACGAGGCCGGGTTTGCCATACAATTCGCGGAATTGCTGGAACTTCGCGTTTGGTGCTGCTGGGATTGCAATTCTGCTTGCTGACGCTGGGAATGAAGCATCCAGCTGGTTTCTGTGCTTGGGGGCAACGTGGAATGTCAAGTGAGTGATGGCGAATTCTAGCGAATCAGTTTGAGAAAGCGAAAAAGACAAAGGTGATGCGGAACTACGTTTCGTTTTGGCTGAAGTTCGTCTTGTTATTCTGCCTCTTCGTGAATCCAGACACCATAAGTCTGTGTCCTGCCACGTGTACCTCACCTCGAAATTCTCGAAGCTCAGAGGGCCACAGAAGTATACGGCTCGTCAGATTGGGGCCGCCACCCGGCAAGCCTGAACCAATCTGAGGGCGTGTCCAGCGCGTACACTTCGGGATTTTTACTTAATTTAACGTATTTTGAATCGCTCATAGAAACAGTACAGCCAGGTGTACCCTTCTGGTTTCGCGTCCAAAAATGTGCGGAAAGACACAATTCGCCCCTCAGCACAAGCCGAACATCATGTTGCGCGACAGTGGCAACAGCACAACTCTGTAACCAGAGGGGCGGCAATTTAATTCCCAGAAAAATTCGCAAGATTCAGTTTCGCGAAAACCCCAGATTCTCACGAAATTCGGCCTTGACTTCGTTGAGCCGTCACTGTAGCAACGTGGACGCGTGCAAGTCTGATTCTGAGGTTAGTTACGTGCGTTTCGCGTCATGTTAACGATTCGGCGCACGTGTGGGCTGTTACTGGTTTACATATCATAGGTGTTCGTGTCCAAAAAAGATGTAAAATGTGGTTACAATCCGAAAAAGTGGTAACTGTAGTGCGAGGTGAGCTGTAAACGTACGCGCTGGACACGCCCTGAGGCTTGCCAGAGGGCGGACTACAGCTGTGTAGACACCTCGATGTTTGCCAGATCGAAACCGACGGCTCAGATTTTTAGCTTCGGACGGATAGCCAACCACATTTCAGTTGCACTCCCTCGCACCACCCGCTTCTGATAGAGTATCCCCATACTCATTTCCTGGACTGCCTTCTCAATCTGGACAGAATAGCTTTTACCAACTAGTCCATGGCTGCACTTGGATTCAAGTCTCCATATGATCTTTGAAGCGTGATTGCTATAGGAAATTACTTAGGTCACGCATTCCCTCATTCTAATGCATGCTCAACGTTACCGCCAAGTAAAGTTCTCGGAGCTCATTAGCTCCAGCCTTGCATCAGCCTTAGATCATCACTCCCAGTACCCTGCATTCAAAGCAATAATTCAACCCCATTAGGACCGTGCGAGGTTCTCATGCCGCCATAGAAGCAACAATGTCAACTGTTCAACCCGCTCGAACCATGAATCATGGTCACTTACCGCTCACTGGAGAATCAAATCGCATCTCCAAGAGCCAGATCACACACATTGTCAATGGTTCCCCCCATCAGCCAGTTTTTGCGCTTCGCCCTGTTCTTAGCGGTTCGGCTAGCAAAGGATTAAAATCCCATTTCTGTCAACTTGCTAAATCTGACTGCAAGGTCAATTCTACAATTCGTCGCCGGTTAGTAAGTACCAGCTTCTTGCACCGTCCGTCTCCTGCATCATTCCCGTCATCCTCGTCGTTTCCAATCCATAATCGTAACAACCGTCGCCAGACTATCATTTGCCAGACAGCAGATGGCAGCAACCACCGCGAGTGGTCACTGGGTGACCAGCAAGGGCCGGGACGAGGTGGAACCGGCGGCGGGGTGTGGGAAATCGAGTCGTATGAAGAGGCGCAGATGGGTTCTGAGACAGGGATAGAGGAGGACAACGGAGCCCTTACGGGATCGCGCACCCGGCGAGAGCAATACAAGTCTTCTGCTCGTGAGGTAGAGGAGAGCGACGGTGCTCGTCCAGCGAGCCACATTTCTACAGATGAGCACTCGACTGACCACGAAGCCGCACCTGGAGTCGAAAACGGCAGCGCTGTGAGCGAGAGAAACTTTTCGGCCGTTGATGATGCCAGTGAAGGAAACGGCGGGGTTCGAGCAAGAATCAGCAGCGAATCTGAGTTAAGGGCCCAGGATGATTCGCGGAGTGCCGTGCTACCAGATGAAACGGCGGGTTTTCCGGAGGCGTTTGGGCGGACGATGCGCAGGATTCCAGTGGCGGTTTGGAGGGCGATTGCTGTGCTGCGCGCCGTGCTGCCACGGGGGAGCTGGTGGGACCTGCAGCAGCTGGCTGGGGGGAAAGCAGCACGCGGAAAAGGGGCTAGTGGGGATAGCAGCAGCAGTGGGGATAGCAGTGGGAAAGGGAGTGGGGATGGGGATTCCCCGGGTGAGCTGTGGGACGCCATTCGCAAGCTCTGGCGGTTCTGCGCGCCCAACAGGACCATGCTCGTCCTCGCCTCGCTCTGCCTCGCCCTCGCCGCCGTCAGTCCTGCTTCCCCTTTGTGAATGAACCTCCTCCTCTCCTCCCCCACCCCCCTCCGCCTAACACCACGGAATTTCAAGCCAGAGACGCGAGGTCGCATGTGTTATGCATGTTGCCCTTCCCTGTACTCCACCACACCCCTCACGCCTCTCTCCACCCCCTCATGTCCTTTCATCCCTGCTCTCCATCACCACCACACGGTCTTTCTCCCCCCCCCCACACTGCATCTTCCCCCCCGTCTCTTTTACCATACCCATTCCTTCCAACCTCGTCCCCCCCCCGCATCACTTGGGCCCGCGCCTCTTCTCACATTCGCCCCCAATACCACTTGATTTTTTGCCTCCTGCTGTCGGAGGTGACCCTTTTCCCTTTTTTCCCCCCCACCAGCGATTGGAAATTCCCTCCTCTCCCCCCACCCTCCTCCTCTCCCTCTCCCTCGCATCGCTTCCACACCCCCACGTCTGTGCGCCACCAGCTGTCGGAGGTGACCATCCCGCACTTCCTGGCGGCCACCATATTCGCCGCGTCCAACGGGCTCAAACCGCAGTTCGACCGCAACGTGCAACTCCTCATCACCATGACGCTCGCCTGCGGAATCTTCAGGTATGCGACGTGTTCAGGTCAGGTGTGTGTCACGTTCAGGTGTGCGCAGTGTTGTAACCACAGACAACTTGAGCGACACTGACTTGCCTTGCTCTCCCCTGTGGTCGTCTCACCCTTGTCTTGCCCATCCGAGCAGTGGTCTGAGGGCCGCATCCTTCACCATCCTCAACCTCCAAATGGTCAGTGCACATTGCAGAACACGCTGCTTTTACATGCCTGCTTGCACTCTATCCCTCACCTGTCTGTCCTTAGCCCATCTTCACGCCCTTGCACTCCTCTCCTCTTTTTGGCAAGTGCGGATCCCTTCCCACCATTCTAACACGCCACCACATCTCCTTCTTTCACCCTCACCCCTTAACCAATTCTCTCTCTCTCTCTCCCACGGTGTCCAGGTGTGGCGAATAGGGGTGGTGCTATACGAGACACTCATCCGGCAGGACATCTCCTTCCTTCTTTAACTCTGCAAACCACCTCCCCTGCTCCCCCCCCCCCCCCTGTGTCCAGGTGCGGCGAATGCGGCTGGCGCTGTACGAGACGCTCATCCGGCAGGACATTGCCTTCTTTGACGGCCAGTCAGTGGGCGACCTCACGTCCCGCCTCGGCTCCGACTGCCAGGCTGCTGGGCACACCGTGGCCATTGATCTCAACATCATGCTGCGCAATGCTCTGCAGGTGGGGTGCTGGGAGGGAGGGAGGGAGGGAAGAAGGGAGGGAGCAGTGCGCTTGGATAGGCTTGTCGTATGAGGGACCATTGCAAGCAGGGCACACCGTGGCCATTGATCTCAACATCATGCTGCGCAATGCTCTGCAGGTGGGGCGCTGGGAGGGAGGGAGGGGATGGGGTTGGTTGGTTGCATGCGAGTTAGGCATGACGTATTGATGAAAACAGCACACAGTGGCCATCGACCTCAACATCATGCTGCGCAACGCCCTGCAGGTGCGGTGGTGGGGGGGAGGGAGGGGATGGGGTTGGTTGCTGCGCAACGCCCTGCAGGTGGGCAGTGGGAGGGAGGGGTTTGTGGTGGGGTGCGGGGTGTGGGGAAGGGTTTGTCTATGAGCACAGGTTATGCAGTGCGGACCAATGGATCATTCCACGCGCGCCGCACCTCATTCCACTCGCGCCGCACCTCATTCCACGCGCGCCGCACCTCATTCCACGCTCGCCGCACCTCATTCCATGCGCGTCGCACCTCATTCCATGCGCACCGCACCTCATTGCATATGCGCCGCACCTCATCCCACGCGCACCGCACCCCATTCCACGCGCACCACACGCTCATTCACTGCAACGCACGCTCATACACTGCACCGCCCGGTCATACGCCGCACCATACGCTCATACGCTGCACCGCACGCTCATACGCCGCACTGCACGCTCATGCGCTGCACCGCCCGCTCGTACGCTGCACTGCGTGCTCCTACGCTCCTCATGCGCTGCACCGCCCGCTCATGTGCTGCACCACACGCTCATGCGCTGCACCGCACGCTCATGCGCTGCACCGCACGCACATGCGCTGCACCGCACGCTCATGCGCTGCACCACCCGCTCATGTGCTGCACCGCACGCTCATGCGCTGCACCGCACGCCCATGCACTGCACCGCACGCCCATGCGCCAGAACACGCTCATGCGCCACACCGCACGCTCATACGCTGCACCACACGCTAATACGCTGCACCGCACGCTCATACGCTGGACCTAGGGGTGAGCAAAGAAACGAACACCTGTTCGGTTCGCCCCGAACGTGTTTGAGGCAAACCAAACAGGTTTGTTTTTTTGCTTTAAGTGTTCATGACAAACGTGTTCGAGGTTCGCCCGAATACGCCTTCACAGGCGAACACCGAACACCCTTTTTGGCTAAAAGTGTTCGGTTCGGCGAACGGCTGTGTTCATACAAGGGGGAACACAAACACGTTCGTGTTCGTCCCTTGCTCACCCCTAGCTGCACCGCACGCTCATACGCTGCACCGCCCACTCTTACGCTGCACCGCCCGTTAAATACGCTGCACCGCCCGCTCATACGCTGCACCGCCCGTTAAACACGCTGCACCGCCCGCTCATATGCTGCAACACACGCTCATACGCTGGACCGCACGCTCATACGCTGACCCCAACCTGATCTTAAACCTGATCTCAAACCTGACGTCAAACCCAACGTCAAACATGACGTCAAACCTGACCCTAAAGCTGACGTCGAACCTGACGTCAAACCTCACCTCAAACCTGACCTCAGACCTGACCTCAAACATGACGTCAAACCTGACGTCAAACCTGACCTCAAACCTGACCTCAAACCTGACGTCAAACCTGACATCAAACCTGACGTCAAACCTTACCTCAAACCTTACCTCAAACCTGATCTCAAACCTGACGTCAAACCTGACGTCAAGCCTGGACTCAAACCTGACCTCAAACCTGACGTCAAACCTGACGTCAAACCTGACGTCAAACCTGACCTCTCAAACCTTTCATCAAACCTGACCTCAAACCTGACCTCAAACCTGATCTCAAACCTGACGTCAAACCTGACGTCAAACCTGACCTCAAACCTGACCTCAAACCCGACCTCAAGCCTGACCTCAAACCTGACGTCAAACCTGACCTGACGTCAAACCTGACTTCAAACCTGACCTCAAACCTGACCTCAAACATGACGTCAAATCTGACCTCAAACCTGACGTCAAACCTGACCTCAAACCTGACCTCAAACCTGACCTCAAACCTGACGTCAAACCTGACCTCAAACCTGACGTCAAACCTGACGTAAAACCTGACGTCAAACCTGACCTCAAACCTGACGTCAAACCTGACGTCAAACCTGACGTCAAACCTGATCTCAAACCTCACCTCAAACCTGACGTCAAACCTGACCTCGAACCTGACGTCAAACCTGACCTCAAACCTGACCTTAAACCTGACCTCAAACCTGACCTCAAACCTGACCTCAAACCTGACGTCAAACCTGACCTCAAATCTGACCTCAAACCTGACCTCAAACCTGACGTCAAACCTGACCTCAAACCTGATCTCAAACCTGATGTCAAACCTTTCGTCAAACCTGACGTCAAACCTGACGTCAAACCTGACCTCAAACCTGACCTCAAACCTGACCTCAAACCTGACGTCAAACCCGACGTCAAACCTGGCCTCAAACCTGACCTCAAACCTAACGTCAAACCTGACCTCAAACCTGATCTCAAACCTGACCTCAAACCTGACCTCAAACCTGACCTCAAACCTGGCCTCAAACCTGACGTCAAACCTGACCTCAAAACCTGATCTCAAACCTGACGTCAAACCTGACGTCAAACCTGACCTCAAACCTGACCTCAAACCAGACCTCAAACCTGACCTCAAACCTGACCTCAAACCGGACGTCAAACCTGACGTCAAACCTGACCTCAAACCTGACCTCAAACCAGACCTCAAACCTGACCTCATACCTGACCTCAAACTTGACGTCAAACCTGACCTCAAACCTGACCTCAAACCTGACCTCAAACCTGACCTCAAACCTGACCTCAAACCTGACCTAAAACCTGACCTCAAACGTGACCTCAAACCTGACCTCAAACCTGACCTCAAACCTGACCTCAAACCTGACCTCAAACCTGACTTCAAACCTGACCTCAAACCAGACCTCAAACCTGACCTCAAACGTGACGTCGAACCTCACCTCAAACCTGACCTCAAACCTGACCTCAAACCTGACCTCAAACCTGACGTCAAACCTGACGTCAAACCTGACGTCAAACCTCACCTCAACCCTGACGTCAAACCTGACGTCAAACCTGGCGTCAAACCTGACCTCAAACCTGACCTCAAACCTGACATCAAACCTGACGTCCAACCTGACCTCATATCTGACGTCAAACCTGACCTCAAACCTGACCTCAAACCTGACGTCCAACCTGACCTCAAACCTGACGTCAATCCGGACGTCATACCTGACCCCAAACCTGACCTTAAACCTGACGTCAAACCTGACCTCAAACGTGACGTCAAACTTGACGTCAAACCTGACGTCAAAGCTGACGTCAAACTTGACCTCAAACCTGACCTCAACCCTGACGTCAAACCTGACCTCAAACCTGACCTCAAACCTGAAGTCAAACCTGACATCAAACCTGACGTCAAACCTTACCTCAAACCTTACCTCAAACCTGATCTCAAACCTGACGTCAAACCCGACGTCAATCCTGGCCTCAAACCTGACCTCAAACCTGACGTCAAACCTGACGTCAAACCTGACCTCAAACCTGATCTCAAACCTGACCTCAAACCTGACCTCAAACCTGACCTCAAACCTGACCTCAAACCTGACGTCAAACCTGACCTCAAACCTGACCTCAAACCTGACCTCAAACCTGACCTCAAACCTGATTTCAAACCAGACGTTAAACCTGACGTCAAACCTGACCAAACCTGTTCTCAAACCTGACGTCAAACCTTTCGTCAAACCTGACCTCAAACCTGATCTCAAACCTGACCTCAAACCTTACCTCAAACCTGACCTCAAACCTGACCTCAAACCTGACCTCAAACCTGACCTCAAACCTAACCTCAAACCTGACCTCAAACCTGACCTCAAACCTGATCTCAAACCTGACGTTAAACCTGACGTCAAACCTGACGTCAAACCTGTTCTCAAACCTGACGTCAAACCTTTCGTCAAACCTGACCTTAAACCTGACCTCAAACCTGACCTCAAACCTGACCTCAAACCTGACCTCAAACCTGACCTCAAACCTGGCGTCAAACATGACCTCAAACCTGACGTCAAACCTGACGTCAAACCTGACGTCCAACCTGACCTCAAACCTGACCTCAAACCTGACGTCAAACCTGACATCAAACCTGACCTCAAACCTGACGTCAAACCTGACGTCAAACCTGGCGTCGAACCTGACTACAAACCTGACCTTAAACCTGACGTCAAACCTGACGTCCAACCTGACCTCAAATCTGACGTCAAACCTGACGTCAAACCTGACCTCAAACCTGACCTCAAACCTGACGTCCAACCTGACCTCAAACCTGACGTCAATCCTGACGTCAAACCTGACCCCAAACCTGACCTTAAACCTGACGTCAAACCTGACCTCAAACCTGACGTCAAACCTGACCTCAAACCTGACGTCAAACCTGACCTCAAACCTGACGTCAAGCCTGACCTCAAACCTGACCTCTAACCTGATCTAAAACCTGACCTCAAACGTGACGTCAAACCTGACATCAAACCTGACGTCAAACCTGACGTCAAAGTTGACCTCAAACCTGACCTCAAACCTGACGTCAAACCTGACCTCAAACCTGATGTCGAACCTGACGTCAAACCTGACTTCAAACCTGACATCAAACCTGACGTCAAACCTTACCTCAAACCTTACCTCAAACCTGATCTCAAACCTGACGTCAAACCCGACGTCAAACTTGGCGTCAAACCTGACCTCAAACCTGATGCAAACCTTTCGTCACACCTGACCTCAAACCTGATCTCAAACCTGACCTCAAACCTGACCTCAAACCTGACCTCAAACCTGACCTCAAACCTGACCTCAATCCTGACCTCAAACCTGACGTTAAACCTGACCTCAAACCTGACCTCAAACCTGATGTCAACCTGACGTCAAACCTGACGTCCAACCTGATGTCAAACCTGACCCGAAACCTGACCTCAAACCTGACCTCAAACCTGAACTCAAACCTGACGTCACACCTGACGTCAAACCTGATGTCAAACCTGACGTTAATCCTGACCTCAAGCCTGACCTCAAACCTGACGTCAAACCTGACGTCAAACCTGACCTCAAACCTGACGTCAAATCTGACGTCCAACCTGACTTCAAACCTGACGTCAAACCTGACCTTCAACCTGACCTCAAACCTGACCTCAAACCTGACCCCAAACCTCACCTCAAACCTGACGTCAAACCTGACCTCAAACCTGACGTCAAACCTGACGTCAAACCTGACGTCAAATCTGACCTCAAACCTGACGTCAAACCTGACGTCAAACCTGACGTCGAACCTGACCTCAAACCTGACCTCAAACCTGACTTCAAACCTGACGTCAAACCTGACGTCAAACCTGACCCCAAACCTGATGTCAAACCTGGCGTCAAACCTGACCTCAAACCTGACCTCAAACCTGATCTCAATCCTGACCTCAAACCTGACCTCAAACCTGACGTCAAACCTGACCTCAAACCTGACGTCAAACCCGACCTCAAACCTGACAACCTGACGTCAAACCTGACCTCAAACCTGACCTCAAACCTGACGTCAGACCTGACGTCAAACCTGACGTCAAACCTGACCTCAAACCTGACCTCAAACCTGATGTCAAACCTGACGTCTAACCTGACCTCAAACCTGACATCAAACCTGACTTCAAACCTGACCTCAAACCTGACCTCAAATCAGATGTCAAACCTGACCCCAAACCTGATGTCAAGCCTGACGTCAAACCTGACCTCAAACCTGACATCAAACCTGATGTCAAACCTTTCGTCAAACCTGACCTCAAACGTGACCTCAAACCTGACGTCAAACCTGACCCCATACGCTGCGCTGCACGCTCATACGCTGCACCGACCACTCATACGCTGCACTGACCGCTCATACGCTGCGCCGCCCGTTCATGTGCTGCACCACACGCTCATTAACTGGACCGTACAGTCATACACTGCACCGCACGCTAATTTTCTGCACCGCAGGCTCATACACTGCACCCCTTTCTTTTCCCCATGCGCATTCCCCCATCCTGACGTCAAACCCGACGTCAAACTTGGCGTCAAACCTGACCTCAAACCTGACCTCAAACCTGACCTCAAACCTGACCTCAATCCTGACCTCAAACCTGACGTTAAACCTGACCTCAAACCTGACCTCAAACCTGACGTCAACCTGACGTCAAACCTGACGTCCAACCTGATGTCAAACCTGACCCGAAACCTGACCTCAAACCTGACCTCAAACCTGAACTCAAACCTGACGTCACACCTGACGTCAAACCTGATGTCAAACCTGACGTTAATCCTGACCTCAAGCCTGACCTCAAACCTGACGTCAAACCTGACCAAAAACCTGACCTCAAACCTGACGTCAAACCTGACGTCCAACCTGACTTCAAACCTGACGTCAAACCTGACCTCAAACCTGACCTCAAACCTGACCTCAAACCTGATGTCGAACCTGACGTCAAACCTGACTTCAAACCTGACATCAAACCTGACGTCAAACCTTACCTCAAACCTTACCTCAAACCTGATCTCAAACCTGACGTCAAACCCGACGTCAAACTTGGCGTCAAACCTGACCTCAAACCTGATGCAAACCTGACGTCAAACCTGACCGCTCAAACCTTTCGTCAAACCTGACCTCAAACCTGATCTCAAACCTGACCTCAAACCTGACCTCAAACCTGACCTCAAACCTGACGTCAGACCTGACGTCAAACCTTTCGTCAAACCTGACCTGAAACCTGACGTCAAGCCTGACGTCAAACCTGACCTCAAACCTGACCTCAAACCTGATGTCAAACCTGACGTCTAACCTGACCTCAAACCTGACATCAAACCTGACGTCAAACCTGACCTCAAACCTGGCCTCAAATCAGATGTCAAACCTGACCCCAAACCTGATGTCAAGCCTGACGTCAAACCTGACCTCAAACCTGACATCAAACCTGATGTCAAACCTTTCGTCAAACCTGACCTCAAACGTGACCTCAAACCTGACGTCAAACCTGACCCCATACGCTGCGCTGCACGCTCATACGCTGCACCGACCACTCATACGCTGCACTGACCGCTCATACGCTGCGCCGCCCGTTCATGTGCTGCACCACACGCTCATTAACTGGACCGTACGGTCATACACTGCACCGCACGCTAATTTTCTGCACCGCAGGCTCATACACTGCACCCCTTTCTTTTCCCCATGCGCATTCCCCCATCCTGACGTCAAACCCGACGTCAAACTTGGCGTCAAACCTGACCTCAAACCTGATGCAAACCTGACGTCAAACCTGACCGCTCAAACCTTTCGTCAAACCTGACCTCAAACCTGATCTCAAACCTGACCTCAAACCTGACCTCAAACCTGACCTCAAACCTGACCTCAAACCTGACCTCAATCCTGACCTCAAACCTGACGTTAAACCTGACCTCAAACCTGACCTCAAACCTGACGTCAACCTGACGTCAAACCTGACGTCCAACCTGATGTCAAACCTGACCCGAAACCTGACCTCAAACCTGACCTCAAACCTGAACTCAAACCTGACGTCACACCTGACGTCAAACCTGATGTCAAACCTGACGTTGATCCTGACCTCAAGCCTATGTTGCGCCTGACGCGTCAGGCGTTTTTGACGCTGGCGTCTGGGCGGGGCGTCCAGACGCTTGACGCCCGGTGCCCTCTGCCCTGGACGCCCGCTTGACGCTAGTCCGGGCAGGGCAAAAATGTTTTCCGGGCAGGGGTAAAAAAACCTGCCTAGTAAGGATACGCAGGGGTTAGAATGCAAGAAGTTAACATTTGTCACCTATAGTTATAAATACTCCATAATATCCAGAAAATCCTGAAAATCTCCAGAAGGCGTGGAGGCACTAACAGAATGACCGGCGGGACTAGGAGTTGACATGATATCTTAATCGCCTTGACCTAATTCTAGCTAGGAAGGCTTAGTAGCGTGACTGGCGAATTCTAGTGTAAGGAATGCTTGACAATGTCGAGAGCAACAGATCTGCGTAATGTCGACCTAGATCTGGATCTCTAGTTTAGTTGGGGGTCGACCAGGTTGGGAGAGGTAGATGTGGATGGGTACAAATGTGTGGGGGGGAATAAGTGAGGGTTGCGTGTTTTAAGTCAAAAACGCGGCCCCCAGATGGCAATTTCATCGTCAATTCTGGTCGCAATGAAATCGCGAGTCAATTTCGTGCAGGAGAATTTTTTTTCGGGCTGCCCGAAAAAAAATTCCCCGAACGTCCAGTGTCAAACCGATTTGACGCGTCCAGCGTCCGGACGTTCACGTCCGGACGCTACACGCTGCCCTTCCAGGGCGTCAGGCGCAACATAGCCTCAAGCCTGACCTCAAACCTGACGTCAAACCTGACCAAAAACCTGACCTCAAACCTGACGTCAAACCTGACGTCCAACCTGACTTCAAACCTGACGTCAATCCTGACCTCAAACCTGACCTCAAACCTGACCTCAAACCTGACCTCAAACCTGACGTCAAACCTGACCCCAAACCTCACCTCAAACCTGACGTCAAACCTGACCTCAAACCTGACGTCAAACCTGACGTCAAACTTGACCTCAAACCTGACCTCAAACCTGACGTCAAACCTGACCTCAAACCTGATGTCGAACCTGACGTCAAACCTGACTTCAAACCTGACATCAAACCTGACGTCAAACCTTACCTCAAACCTTACCTCAAACCTGATCTCAAACCTGACGTCAAACCCGACGTCAAACTTGGCGTCAAACCTGACCTCAAACCTGATGCAAACCTGACGTCAAACCTGACCGCTCAAACCTTTCGTCAAACCTGACCTCAAACCTGATCTCAAACCTGACCTCAAACCTGACCTCAAACCTGACCTCAAACCTGACGTCAGACCTGACGTCAAACCTGACGTCAAACCTGACCTGAAACCTGACGTCAAGCCTGACGTCAAACCTGACCTCAAACCTGACCTCAAACCTGATGTCAAACCTGACGTCTAACCTGACCTCAAACCTGACATCAAACCTGACGTCAAACCTGACCTCAAACCTGGCCTCAAATCAGATGTCAAACCTGACCCCAAACCTGATGTCAAGCCTGACGTCAAACCTGACCTCAAACCTGACATCAAACCTGATGTCAAACCTTTCGTCAAACCTGACCTCAAACGTGACCTCAAACCTGACGTCAAACCTGACCCCATACGCTGCGCTGCACGCTCATACGCTGCACCGACCACTCATACGCTGCACTGACCGCTCATACGCTGCGCCGCCCGTTCATGTGCTGCACCACACGCTTATTAACTGGACCGTACAGTCATATACTGCACCGCACGCTAATTTTCTGCACCGCAGGCTCATACACTGCACCCCTTTCTTTTCCCCATGCGCATTCCCCCATACCGCCTCCTTCATTCCCCCACCTACTTTGACGTGCAGGGCATAGGGGCGTTTGTGTTCCTCATTCGCCTGAGCTGGCAGATGGCACTCGTGACGGCTGCGCTCTGTGGCCTCATGTGGTACCTGCTCATGGTCTACGGGAGGTATTTTTGCTCTTTTCATGGTCAATCCATGGCAGTTCATGTGTAACAGAAGCAAGCATTTTCCTGGCGGGCGCCAGAGTTGAATCGCTGCGCTGCTCACTGCCTGTCTGAGTTCGCCAATTTTCACTTGACTACCTTTTATTTTCCCCCACCTTCCCATGCCATGCCTCCCACCCACCCATCGCCTTCCCTGCCGCGCAGCTTCTCCCGGAGGAGCTCCATGGTGGTGCAGGACACTGTGGCCGCCGCCAACGAGGTGAGCAAACCGGGGCGGGCAGGAACCGGGCAAAGACTTTAGGCACCTCGAAACGCCTCTTTCAGCGGACCTCCATGGTATGGTGGTGCAGGACACTGTGGCAGCCGCCAATGAGGTGAGAGAACCCCACGGAGGACCCACGTGGCTGAGAAAACACCAACGATTATTTCGTCCTGTTAGTGCCATTCACAGGTGACGAATGACGTGTTTTCGCTAGTAAGGGCCTAAAGAAAAGCCACCCATCTCCATCCCACCCCTGTCCATGACATCCCCACCCCCCATTGACCCCACCTCAGGTGGCGGAGGAGACACTGTCTCTCGCCCGAGTGGTGCGGACGTTTGGCACTGAGAGCAAGGAGGTGAAGAGGTGAGGCCGCCCTTTGTGCATGAAGTTGGGTACCCCACCTGCATCGCATGACGTCTTGAGTGCTGTCTGGACTGCATTCCCTGATGTGCTTTTCCCTGCTTTGTTCAATGTTATGGTCCTCTGCTTACTGTCCCCTGGTACACTCTGCATTACGTCACTGTTTCGTCTTTTCAGATACTCCGTTCACCACAAAGCAAACTGTGCGTGCATGCGTGTGATTAAGTTGATTTGTTCTTGTGTTTCAATGAGCGTATACCGACCTGTGTGTGCGTGCGAGTGTGTGTGTATCAGGTACGAGGTGCCGCTGAAGCGCATAGTGAATGTGGGTCTGAGGCGGTCCGTGGCGTATGGCGTGTGGACATGCACCGGCAACACCATCTACAACGCCACACAGGTATGCTAAGACGTCTGCTGATAAGAACAGAGCCTTTGTTGAGACATCCCAAAGCCCTCACCTCCTCGTCTCCTCTTCCCCTCGCTGGAGTGGCGTAGGCGTGCGGACGTGCACTGGCAACACCATCTACAATGCCACGCAGGTACGCTCTTGAACATCTTGTGAGATGTCTCATCTTAAAGCCCCACAACACCGTCCACAATGCCACGCACGTAGGTACAGCGAGAGCTATGGCGGGGCGCATGTAAGCTGAGCAGCCGACGCAGTTCATGTTCTAACCACTGTGAATGGGGCATGTCATGTGGTGCTACTGCATTCCTGGGTGTTTTTGCAAATTCTTGAAAGTCCTCCTCCTTCCACACACCCTTTCCTCATTTCCCCCACCTGCCACCCCTCAGGTGCTCGCGCTGATCATGGGAGGAGGGGCGGTGATGGCAGGGCGCATAACAGCGGAGCAGCTGACGCAGTTCATTCTGTACGCGGAGTGGGTGGTGCACGCCACGTGGTGGGTGGGCGACCACTGGGCGTCCCTCATGGACTCGGTGGGCGCCTGCCATCGCGTGTTCCAGCTGCTCGACCTGCCGCCCTCAGAGCAGCTCACTCAGAACCATGGTGAGAGGGCTCACACAGGGCCATGTTGGGAGTGCTGCTCACACAGGGGAAGAGTGAGTGGGTGTGCCTCTATGGGAGTCAAGAGTAGAATATGGGCTCCTGTCATAGCATCTTGTCACTACGGCTATGTTAGGTCCTATGGGCACATGATGCTGCGTGTGGTATCCCTGGGCCTCCCTTATGGACTCTGTTGGCCCGTCCCATCCCATCTCATCACATCACACTGCTACCCTCATCCCACTCAACTCCATCATCACCCTCAACTCCATCATCCTCAGTCTTCCCACTCATCCTCCTCATCCCCCTACCCTCGCCTTTCCATCTTCGCCTTGATTGCTCCCCTGCTCCCCGGCCTGGCATCAGGCCGAGTGCTGCCGTCGCTGAAAGGCAAGCTGGAGTTCCGCAATCTCTCCTTCCGCTACCCCACCCGCCCTGAGGTAGCAGAAAGAAATGATTTCTCTAGATGATGTTATCAGCTTCCCTCCCTCCCTGCTAATAACATTTTTCCTTGCTCCACACTCACTGCCTCTCCCTCCCTCTCTTCCCCAACCCATATTTATGTTTGCCATCAACTCCTCTCCTGCTCTTACAGTCACCCATGTTGGATCAACCACTGATGTACCCCCCCTCCCCTGCACTGTCCCCTCTATAGGTACAAGTGTTGGATCTCAACGTCAAATGAAAGTAACCACCCCTCCTCCCCTCTCCCCCCCATTCCTCTCTCTGCAGGCACCGGTGTTGGATCACATCAACCTGACCATCCAACCAGGCGAGCTGGTGGCGCTGGTGGGGCTCAGTGGCAGTGGCAAGAGCACTCTAGTAGGGCTGCTGCAACGCCTCTACGAACCCACAGAGGGGCAGGTGAGAGGAGTGGGTGAGAGAAACAACATGCATGCGCTCCGCTCTGCAATGTTGATGGATTTTCGTTAATGGTTTCGTACTGTCTGTCTGTTCACAGGTGCTTATAGACGACGTGCCTCTACCAGAGATTGACATCGCATGGCTGAGAAGCCACATTGGCGTCGTCAGCCAGGTGAGCTCGCCTCTACCCCACTCTCATTTTACTCATCCCCCACTCTCCTTTTACCTTTCCCTGCTTACCTTTAGTTTTCTCTTCCTATTCTCCCACTTTCTTCCTCCTATCACTCCGAAGGCATTTTCTTCATGCAAAGTCAATCACCCCCAAGAAATCAACAATCATGCTCAATCTACACACCACACACTCTGCCTTGCATGTTAATGATTCGCAGAATGAACAAGACCCATCTTTCCACCACTTTTACCATACCTTGCCCTCCACTCCCCACTCTTCACTCCCCATTACCCACTCCCCATTCCCCATTCCCCATTCCCGACTCTCTACTCCTCCCTGCCCCACACGGCTCCATCAGGAACCCCGCCTCTTCAGCACAGACGTCGCATCCAACATCGCTTATGGAAGCAGAGAGGAAATTTCCCAAGAACAAATCACCCGAGCTGCAACCCAGGCCAACGTCCATCAATTTGTTTCAGGGCTGCCCGAGGGCTACGATACAGTGGTGGACAATGCCCGGTTGAGCGGCGGGCAGAAGCAAAGAATAGCGATTGCCCGGGCTTTAGTGCGCGACCCAACCCTGCTGATTCTGGATGAAGCTACAAGTGCTCTGGATGCTGAGAGCGAGCACTACGTGCAGGTGAGGGGAGGAGGGGGGAGGGGGGCGTGTGGGAAGAGTGTGGTGTGGAGTGCAGGAAAAATAGTAAGCTGCTGCTTTTTGCTGTGCGGAAGGGGGAAGGCATGGAGTGCGTGCAGGTGAGTGCACTCAGTTCCCCATCCTGCTGCTCACCCTGTTTGTCAAATCTATCAACACTCCGTCACTTTGTGTCTCTCGCCAATGTGAGTGTTCCTGCAGATGGCATTGGACCAGGCCATGCATGACGATTCGGCAATGGGAAGGAGAAAACGGACCATCATTGTGATTGCTCATCGGTATGTTGGATTTCCCCTGCTCATTTACACAGCATTCGCTGCCTGTCATGGTGTTTGCATTCGGCTCTCGTAACGATACTAAGTGTCTCTGGATTGTCACCTCAATCATGCCAAACTCCGTTACGTTAATTTGTGTGTCCATCTGTTTCCCACAATGCCAGGTTATCCACGATTCGCTCCGCAGATAGAATAGTGGTCATGTCCGCAGGCAAGATTGTCGAGGTGAGTAGTGGAGGGTGCTTTTGGGATCTATGTTTGGATACTTGGTTTTACAATTATCCCTACTACCTCGTAATCTACGTCTGTCTTTCAGGTTGGCACGCACCAGCAGCTGATGGATAGGAAAGGGGAGTACATGAGACTGCATTTGCGCCAAATAGAAGCCCTTGCCTGATTATTGCAGAAGTATAATATGTGAATTGTGGTAGGCGTGTACTCGCTCGCTTCTGCTATCGAAGTCGATTCGATAAGGCTGTACGCGAAATCTCCGGTTTGACCCCGCGAGTCAGACAAATTTACCCACCAACCTCACTCCCGTCACTTGCGAAGCAAGTGTACAGTCCGACTTTTGTCGCGACGGTTGTTGCTGTTGCTGCTGATTTGCTGTATGCTGCCTGCACCTGCCCACTGATGCAGCTCACTCGTGCTGTGCTGTATCTGTGGCTTTCGTCGAGTTACCATGTGTATCCAGCATGGAAGTCAACAGTTTCGTCGAACAACGTTCCTCTCACCTCGACTTATCCAACCAACCACCTCGCAACTGACTCTCGCACATCTCACCGAATACGGCAGCTCCCTCGGCCGCGAAAATCGACTCCCGTTTTCGTCAGTGTCGCAACATATATGTGGGTTGGGGCTGATTCCAACTCTGCGCATCGTATCTGCACTTGAGTTGGCTAGAGTTGGGTAGGGAAAATTAGTGTTCTAGAATCTAGGGTGCTTCTCCAGAAAGCGCCGTAATTTTCAGCGTTTGCCAGCATCCACGAGTTACATACGTACGGATGGTATTAAGGTTTTTTTGCACAGCTCTCGGCGTAAAGCTGACTGCCACGTCACACATATAGCGCACGGCAGACGCGGAACAGTCGGATGGGAATGGGTCGCGAGCAGGGCAACGATCAGGAGCTTATTCTGGGCCTGGGTGTCAGCCACTCCGGCAATGTGCTTATATCGCATAGTTCCAGCTCATTAGCGGATGACTTTAACGAGGTGCTTCGCGAAGCCATCGCCCAAGTACCGCCGCACGTGCGATGGTTCTCCGTCGTAAGTGGATCATGGTAGCGCCATGCCCGTCGCATGATGCGACTCAATCGCTCCACATTCTGCCTCCGTCATTTAAATCTCTCACCGCGTTTCGTTGGCTGTTCGCCTTTACCAGATGGTCGCCCGCCGTTCCGCTGTTCGTTGCTGCCTTCCCCGGGTTCACCACCCCGCCTTCCCCCACCTCACTCCACTCCAATGCTCGCTCTGACCTCACCCTTCCTTTCCCCCAATGCCTTCCGCTTCTCTTCCGCCCTTCCGCCGATGCCCCCAGAGTCACGATCAGCGCATGATCATCCACCTCATTCACCGCAAGCAACCGGGCGCGGAACCGCCACTCGCGGGAGCCTCCGCCTGCGGCGGCGCCACCATCGTCACCGCCGCGGCGCACGAGTGCGCGGATCGGCAGCGCGTTCGCCGCCTGTTACAGTCCCTCCTGGACGAATGCGCTGCGGAGCTGCTGCCGGCGGTTGACGCCGCGGGGGAGGCACAGGCGCAGGCGCACGCCGCGGAGCGCGATGGCGGAGCGGTGCACAACGGAGCGGCAGCAACAGCCGTGGAAGAGCCCAATGTTTTGCTGTCAGAGAGGAAAAAACAACAGCTAGAGAAGCTAGGGCAGCGGCTTAGGTCTTTAATCGCATCGCATAGGGGCGCCGTGCCTCCGCGCCCCGTCCTGATGCTCTACCCCGGCGCGCCCAAGCGCTTCCTAACGCGCGCGCCCGAACCTCCCCCGTGGGAAGGCGGCGCAGGGGAAGCGGCGGATGAGGAGGGGCGGAGGGTGCTGGCGTGCGGGCGCACGCGACTGCAGAAGGAATTGGCGGAGCTGGATGAAAACGAGGATGATGATAACGAGGATGACGCGTTTGTGTTCAATGTGGCGGGGAGAGTGGCAGAGGGGGGAACTCACGGGGGCCTGCGCGGGGCTGCGAATGGGGGCGCTGGGAATGGGGACGCTGGGAATGGGGGAGCTGGGAATGGGGGAGCTGGGAATGGGGGAGCTGGGAATGGGGCTGTTGAGAGGGTGGAGGATGAGCGAAAGACGAGAGAGAAAGCAGCATCCTCTGCAACAGTAGCAGCAGGTGGGGGAGGAAAGAAAGAGCAACCATTGCAGGCACCGGCCAGTGCTGACGCACACGCCCCCTTGCGGCCACCGCAGCCGCAACAGCAGCTGCATGGACAACAAAAGCAGCAACAGAAGCAGCAGCTGGTGCTGCAACCGCAGCAGGAGGAGGGGGAGGAGGGGGGGGAGGAGAAGACAGAACAGCAGGAGCTTGCACAGCCTGGCGCGCAACAAGCAGATTCCGCAGGCGGGTCAGGGTGGACCAGCCCCCTGGCCTCTGCTGATTTCTCCTGGGCTGCACACATGGCACCTGACGGCTTGTTAGGCAGCATTGCCAGTGCTGTGGCAGCAGTTGCTTCAGGTTCCTCCACACCCCCTTCACCCTCACCACAAGGCAACACCAGTACACTCCCCCCTGCCCACCCTGCTCCCTCTACCCCCCCACCTACCCCCACTCCTGGTTCTGCCGCCTTTCCCCCCCGTCCTGCCACTCTCACCACTCCTGCTCCCACCATCACCTCCGCATCTCCCGGCCCAGCCAACCCTAGCGGGCTCTTCCAATCAGGCATCAATGTGATATACGAGTCAGCAGTGGCTTTTTCTACCGAGTATACCAACACGATGCGCACGCTCACACACACCACCAGCGCCACCAACGCCAACTGGTCTACCCAGTTCTCCAACATGGTTACCGCTGCTGCCATCGCTGCCGGCACCCTGGCCAGCGGCCCTGCTGTTTCAGGAGACGTTTCAGGTGCTGCTTCAGGTGGTGCTGCTGGTGATGCTGCGGTGGGCAGCAACAGGGGAGCAAACACCGCCTTTCACGCTGCCAGAGCAGGTCTCGGAGGTAATCCCACTGCACCGGGTAACGCTGGGTTACCTCCGGCACACGGCAGGCCCAGGGATGGGAAGGTGCGGGGGCGGGTGGGTGACGTGGCGCCGTCAGGGCTGACGTGGGAGGAGGAGATTGCGTCCCAGCTGGCGTCTGTGGGCGTGGCTGTGTCGTCCTGGGGCCCGGGGGAAGAGGTGCGGGCGGAGAGGGGAGGAGATGGTGGAGGAGGTGGAGTAGGAGGAGGGGGAAGGGGAGTAGGAGGGAATGGCGAAGCAGCAGCGATGGCTAGTAATGGCGTGTCACTCGCAGCGGCAAAAGTAGGAACAGGAGCGGCATCAGAGAGAGAAAACACTGCACCTCCAGCAGCCCCTTCAGCAGCTTACCCAACAGCAAGGAGTGGTGGCAGCAGGGCGAGGACTCAGAGCATGGTGGGACTGGTGGGGGGGGGCAGGGCAGCAGCGGGAGCCAAAGGAGCAGATGGAGGGGTGGGGGGGCGGGCCACACTAGGCATAAATGTGGGGAGGGCAGGGCACAACAGGGCAGCGTCTGTAGCGGCGTCTGTAGCGGGGGCACCACCGCCGTCCCCAGGGAGTGGGAACAAGTTTGGGGGGTTTGGGCTTGGGAGCTTTTTCTCTAAGGGGTGGAGGAAGGCGTTTAACCTGGAGTGACTGTGAAGGGACCTGCAGGCGGATGGGGTCTCGTTTAGAGTTCTAAATAATTAATTTCAAGGGGTGGGGGCAAGGGCGTTATATCTGGAGTGACTGTGAAGGGACCACCGGGCGGAGGGGGTACTATAAGCCCTGTGGTAATGGCCATGGTGTGGAGAAGGGTGAGCTATGTGGAGTGGAGTGCTTGTGAAGGGGCCAGTGGGTAGAAGGGGAGATCCCTGAACCCCTGTGACCAACGGGTAGAGAGAAGCATTCAACGCGAAGGGCGTGTAAATTCGGCCACCATCCGTCGGGCCGTTCTGGCGCGAGTACCCATTTGAACCCCTAAGTACCAAGCTGTCACGTACCCGAACCCCTTCGTACCCTAATGGCCGGAAAACCGGCCATAGCAATTTTCGCATGTGTGCGGCGATTCTACACGGCCTAAGGGGTCAACCGTGGGCAGGGAAAATGGCTGCACCACTTTCTTTTTGGGAAACGCGCGCTGGCCGTGTTACTGGTGTGTGTACCATACGGTATTTTCGTTAAAATCTAGTTTTTGTGGTTTGAAATTTCAAGCACTGGGTTGTGACAACCACAGGAATCCATGATCCATCCTGTTACCGGTATCTGAACGTGAAATTCTTCGCACCATGCACGAGGACTGCGGCTCACACATTGCCCAGTTCACACCCATCACATCACATGCTGGTGTTTCTGCCATCCAGGCAGAAAGGTTTCTTTACAAGTCCCTCAGAATTGCCACATCATCGCACTTGTTCGCATGCATCTCCAACAGCAGCACACACACCAGCCAGCAATGGGCAGCGCTGCTGCAGTCACAGCAGCACATGCCCATCCACGGGGTGCGGTGCTGCTAGCGAGTGTGCAAGCATCATGTCACTAAATCCATCATCATTGGGACTCGGGGGATCAAGCTGACTTGACGGATGGCAGCAGGGATGCCATCCAGTGAAGGATAAAAATGAGAGAGAGAAGAGAAGAAGTGGGAGTGTAAGATTTGCACCAATAAGAGGAGAGAGTGTCAGCATGCTGGAATGAACGGCTCAGATGCAGTGCTCCCTTTTGGGATTGCATTGTCGATTTACAGAATGCACTGCCGCACGAGTAATAAACAAATTGGGGGATTGGTGGGTATGCACTGTAACACTGGCACTTAATCACCCTTATTGATTGACTGTGACCAGGATGCACCGTTGGACACGTCACAGCCACGTGTCACGACAGCATAACCCGACAGCTTCAGCTGACGTGTCATCATATCAGAACCCCACAGCACTGCGAACCTCATCCACACTGCAACCCTCTCTGAATAAACCGCAAGTCAGGGCCACCTCGCGCAGCTTCTCAGAAACTTCTGGCGCCGGCCAAACCATCCTGGCGACTAGTAGAGCTTCTAGAAACCCTAGGAGGCAACCGACGGCCACGTCGAGAACGAAATGCCGTCCCAGGAACACTCTGGAACCGGCAGTCGCAGCACCCCACACGGCAATCGCTGATATAAGTAACCAAACCCTAAATTCTGGGCTTAAATCGGCTGATAAAGCGGTTGTGAAGCTTTCAGGGAGTAGACGTTGCAGATACGGCGGGATCAGGCGGCCGGGGTTGGCGGGAAGCACATGGCCGAATTCGGCGGAGATGGGTGGGAGGAGGTGGAAGAGGAGCGCTGCGATCATGATGGCACGCGACGCGTGGCCGCTGGGGAAGGACCACTGATCGGGTGCCACGACGATCAGCATCCCGCGATTGTAGAGCGGACGCGGCCGGCGAAACGCGATCTTGAGAATACCGACGACCGCCAGATCGAGTATGCAAGCGAGGAACGTTCCTAGAAAGATCTGACGGATCGTCGCGGTGGTGAAGACAGGAGAAAGCCAGAGCGCGAAGCAGAGAGGGAGGAGGAGGCGGCCATCGCCGGATCGCTCGAGGAGGATCAGGAAAGAGCGGAAGATCGGCAAATGCTCGGTGGCTTTATAGAGGCGGGTCGACACAGCGGTGTCTCGGAGTACTAGCCGCGTCAGAAGACTAGGTACTGACCGATCGGCAGCCATGAAGGGGGAATCTGAGAACGGAACTAATTAGTTGCATAGATACCTCCGTACTGACCTGAATTGGGGCGCGTTTCTATCCCGTGTCAGACACGAATCCAGACACGAAGTTGAGGTTGGGAAGACCCAGGGACTCGGAACGCTGGCAAATTTAGGTCCGGAAGACACAAACCGAGTCTCTTTGTGTCTTCCGAAGCTTTGACCTGATGTCTGACACGGGATAGAAACTGCCTTTGGTAGGCAGGTTCTGGTCGCCAAAATTAGGGTCCTATGGTATCCGCGTTAAGGTAAGAACCTTTAGCAAGTACAAATCCTACTATCACTTTGTTTAATCTGATTTTGCTTTGCTTATTGGATCAATTCTGTGAAGGAAATGGTTTGTTTATCAGCTGTAGGCTGCAACACTGTATCGAGTCTCTCACCTCTGTCGAATATGACCTGCGCTTCGTTTTTCTTTCGCCTTCGAACGATCTACACCAGGTGACATCAACAGATTGCCGCATCAGCAGCGTTGTTTTGACCCGAAGCTGCATTCGTTCCCAGGTGAAGCCCGAGCAGCCGAGTTTGGTCGAAGGGGGAGGAATTTGAAAAGAGACCTGACCTCTGAGAATCCACGCTCGAAGTGGCCTGATTTGTCGTCATCTCCCACCAACAACGTGTTTCTTGTGAGATTCTGTGGCATCAGAAAGTAGTCTCTGTTTGCTTATGCTAGATCCCTTGTACCCTCACATGTTGGTGGTGTTATTCTCATGTACCTATCTCAAGACAATACCACACATTTTGTACCCTTCGGCTGCCTGTACCGCAAGGTGCGTAAAAACATTGCTGGATTTAGTTGTTAACGCCGGACCATTTCTAGACCCAGAAGAACATCACGTTAAAAACGATTGCATTCTCTGCCTCTGTGTACACGTACAGTAGCTTGGATCAGGTCCAAGAGCAGCTGTGGACCTCGTTTGACCCTCTTGTCGTCTTTCTCGTCCTCCCCCCGCAGTAGTCGTTGCGATTGTGCGAAATTGATGTGCTCCAGCAATCCTTTTTGCCCACGTTTCCTGCCGTCGCTCTAAACCGCCTTACTGGTCTTGCTACGGCTGGAGAGCACGTCCTTATTCAAAGAACCGAGTTTCATTCCGTAATCCGTTCAGTGAAACCATCGAGAGAAAAGGCTAAACTTTCACATCATGGCGACGACTAAGACCAAAGCCGCATTCATCTTGCTCCTCTGCATCACAGGCCAAGTTGTTGCAACTCAACCTGCGGGCGTCAACACTGGCGGCGGCACAGACAACCGCTCGTGCCCCATTTTCCAATGCCAGTCCAAGTCGAAACAGAGTGGCCGCTTCGACTCCGTGAACCCTAAATTCTCCGAGGCCTTCACGTACAGCGCGACCAAGGACCCGAACGAGGAGTGCTGGAAGGTGTGCCAGTATCACAACCAGGGCAACCGCCCCGACCCCGTCGTGTACTGGCAGTACGAGCCCTTCACCGACCCCACCACCGGCGGTAAGCATTCATGTTCCGTGTTTCGCACCGAATCTTGGGTACATTCCTAGCTCCGCAATCTCCGTGTCGTATCTCCCGCTTGCCGGCATCGACGTTCTCAATCTGCGTTTGTCTCCGTCCTTGAATGTTCTCGCTCCGGCGTTATCCGCGCAGGTCTGTGCACATGCTACGGCGAGGAGGTGTGCAAAGACAAACATTTCGTCGACCCTACGAAAGATAACGGCGTGCGCCCCGAATTCATCTACGTCGGCAAGATCTGCCCCGCCAATGGCACCGGCGACCCGCACTTTGTCGGCGCCGACTTGTCGCGCTTCGACTTTAGCGGCCGGCCCGGCGAGGACTACTCGCTCATCTCCGACGCCCACGTGGCAGTCCAGGCTCACTTTGATGGCCGCTGGGGCGAGTGGGAAGGCCGCAACAAGGCGTTGACGTGGATGCGCCAGATCAGCGTTCTGTGGGGGCACCACACTATTGTGTTCGAGGCGCGTCAGGGCTGGGCTGCCGACTACCGTACCGGCTACCTCCAGCGCCTAGTGGTTGATAACGAGGAGGTTAAGCTGGGCGTTCCCGGGTCGCACCTGGAGGCCGCGTCGTTCTTTGACGGGCAGGTTGAGATCAAGTGGGTAGCTGCGAAGAAGCCGGTTAAGGACGACCTTGTTGACGAGTACGAGATTCGCATCAGCGACATTCTCGCCCTGCGACTGACTCTGCGACCGGAGATCGAAATGCTTCGCACGGATGAGGACGGGCTGGTGCACTTCACGGTGGATGTGATGAGCGCCAAGCTGTCGCCCAACGTGCACGGCGTGCTCGGCCAGACCTACCGCCCTGACTTCGCCGGCCGACTGTAAGTCGCTGCGCTTTTTCCCGCTGCTTACTTGCAAACCCGAGCGAGCCCCTTCCGCACCGCTTTTGTAGCTGTAGTTTTCCGCACCCGCCCTGACATTTGTCTCTTTCGTTCTTTTTTGTTGAACGTAGTGAGAAGCAGAAGCTGGTGTACAGCGAGCTGTTCAAGACGTACGTGGTGCCGGGCGACAACGCCGAGGGTTTCATCGACGGAACCGTCGACGACTACAAGTGCTCCGACCTCACCCACTCCGACTGCGCCTTCTGCCGCTTCGTGCGCGCCGAGGGCCTCGACGACGAGACTGCTCTCGCTGTTGAGATGGCGACCGGCGCATCGTCGTCGTTCAGCGACAACGGAAACGCTTACTACCCCCGCAAGGCGCTTATCGGCGCTTTCTAGATGGACACAAGCGCTTGAAGTCCCCCTTAGCGTCTTCTATTCCATTTGATTTGCTTTGGGATTTTGGTTATCCCTCGTGTATGTAATATAAAATCACGCTGGTTGCGTCCATGCCCACTCCCAGGTTCTTGATGTGAAAACCTTGAAATAAAACCTTGAGAGCCCAATTAATTAATAATTCCCTTCACAAAGGCCTCAGTTGA